GTCCATGTTGCAATGGATAGTCGGAGTCGGGCCTTGAAGCCGGAATCATTCCCGGAAGTTTAGTTGTGTGTGTGTATGTATGGGTTTACCATGTTTCCTGAAACGGTTAGTTTTAAGAGCATAATACACAAGCGCGCATATACTTACGGCAATATACTGCCCGGCCTCCTTCTTGTTACTCCAGAAGAGTTGAGCCTCCTCGTAGTTGAGGTTACCCTTGGCCATGGCCACGTCGACCAAGGCGGCCTCGACTCCTTCTCCCATACCCTTGCCACTGCCGCAGACAAAGACGCGGCCGTCCAAGGCGTTGATGACGAACCAGACCAGGTCGGCTTGGTGGCGGACCTCTTCCTGGACGTACTTGCTCTCGCCTCGACGGCTCTGGACCACAGTGCGCACCTTCTGCTCGTCGACCCCCCACTCACCACTGTAGAGCTCGTCGAGCAGGGAGTCCCGGACACCCTGGAGCACCCACACCTTGTTGGCGCAGTTGGCAGACTGCAGCCGACGCTGGACGAAGCCGCGGAAGGGAGCGATGCCCACGCCGGCGCCGATGAGAAGCATGGGCCCATCGGATGCGAAGCGCTTGGCAAGGGGGTTGGCCATCAAGCCTCGGAACATGGGCACGGAGATACCCAGGGTTTGGGGGTCGATACCCTGGCGCTCGGCCTCGATCACCTTCATGGCAAGCTCCTCCATGTAGCCGGATCCGACGCCGGTCCGAATGCCGCCCTTCCAATCGTCGCTGGTGGCCACCGAGACGGCGATCTCGACGAAGCGGCGACGGTTGCTCCCGAACCGGGTGCAGGACAGGAGAGGGTCTTGCGACAGCGAGTAGAAGCGGGGCATCAAGGTGTTGAGGATGGACAACAGGTGATCAAGAGGGGGCTGGGACGAGGGGAACGCCTGCAGCAACTGGGAGACGGTGATGTGCAAGCCCGTGCGCAGATCACAGAAGGCGCCCTGGCCTTGGGCCGACGAGAGGTACTCGAGGATCTTCTTTTCATTGGGTTCCGAGGCGTATTCGGCCAACAGGCGGAAGAACTGCTTGGTGGGGGGGTAACTCTGGATGTCGGAGCACCAGTTCAGCAGCTCCCGCCGGGTGGTCAGGAGGTCTCTGGGCTTGTCGTCATCCCAGATGGTCGGCCAGCGGCCCTTGGAGGTGTGCAGGGTGACTTTCTTATCGCGGATCGCCTTGGGGATGCCGAGCGCGTCAAAGATGGCGTCGACTTCCTCGTCCTTGTTCCTGGGGCAGATGCCAATGGCGCCGCCGACGACGAACTCGACGTTGCCACTTTCCGGAGGGTAATCGGTGACGTCGATCTCGAAGTGGAAGGTCCGCTTCTCGGCCCCGGGCTTGGTCAGCTCGCGGGCGTGGTGGAGCGGAGCACGGTAGACGTCGAAAGGGGGGTGAGGCTTCACAAACTGGGGAGGGTGATCGGCGGGTCCCAGCTTGACATCCACGGCGGAGATGGGCACCGGGGCGAAGGACAGGGTCTTCTCGGGTAGCGGAACGATGCTGGTGAGCATGCTGTCCAGGGCCAGGTTGTCGACATTCAACTTGAGAGACTGGAACGCTCGGTTGGCAGGCGGGAGCACGGCATCCAGGCCGGCCGTCGAGGGAGCGATTCTCTTCAACGGCTGGCTGCGGCAGCATCCACCTCCGCAGCAGAAGCTCTCGACCTTCTGGGTGCCCCCATTGCCGACATTCTCCAGCACTCTCCGCATGTCCTCGGCATTCTGCGAGATAAGCACCGTCGAGGCACGGCGACGGCGACCGGTTGTCACCGGTCCGGTAGACAATCTCTTCGACTGGACAAAGGCATCCTCATCAGAGCGAGGTTCGATTGGGGGGGTGATGGGAGTGACGGGGCTCTCCACGTATCCTTCCTCCGACGAGGCCTGGGAGAAGGAGAAAGACGAGCCGTCGAAGTTGAAATCGGTCTCTGACAGGGACCGCACGCGAGGCTCCTCGGGAATCGGGTTATCCGGATGAGAAGTCGATGACATCGGGATGGCCTGATGGTCCCTGTAGGTAGGCCGGGGGCTTGTCCCCGGCCTGACCATGGGAGCCATTGGTGGCGAGGGAGGAAGCACAGCGTGAACTAGAAGATTCATTCACATTAGGAATCGTTTTTTATTTATTTCAAGCCATTGCGGCGAAGCACATACCCATTGGGCTCCTATCAGACCTGGACACTCTCCAGATCACAGTGAAACCGATAGATGGAAGAAGAGCAAAACGGTTCCAGTAGCGTAGCGACAAGGTTGCTGGGAGGAGGGTGGAGAAAAGAAGTGAACGAACGGAAAGAATTCACAGCCTCGGCGGACGAGGGTCCGTCATATAGGAAATCAGATGCTCTGAGTGGAGATTTCGGGGGAAGGGGGGAGGCTTGCAGGGATGGATCTTGTTAGAATAGAAAGACAGTCGCGTACGGAGGAGAGGATCGGTAGAAGCTCCTGAACGACGGTTTGAAGAAAAAGAGGGGAGGGCAGATGATATTAGCGGCGACCCGAGGAAATGGCAAGTGACGCCTTGGCATGAACCCGGTAATTCTGCGTAACGATTACACACAGCAGACGTTTGGTTCTGGCTGGCTATTGGATTGTCCAGTCCGAAACCTCGCCACTTGAGACACCTGGTATGTACCATGTATGTATTATTGAGGGAGCAGAAGGAGGAGGAGAAGAAGAAAATACTCCGGACAGTCTGGAACCTACCGCAGAACGCCGGAAACTACGGATTCGAATCTAGTCGCCATTGATGGAGCACCTGCTCCATAGGGGGAAGTAGGCTAAGTATCCGCGGAGTACTACGGAGGAGACGTGAGATCGACCTTGCATACGTCTACTGCGCCTAGCCAGGATCCGGCAATTGGCAGTGGGATCATGATTCTGTGTGTGGGAGCCTGTACCTACGCATTAGGAAGAATTCAATGCGGTATCGTATGGTAATTACCGGTACTGCAGTAGCCGAATTTTTACTCCCGGATTTGTCCGTATCTAATCTGATGGTAGGCGTATGTAGTACATACCTACGAGAACGGAGAACGGAGCACTCCGTGAAATTATGGATATAAACAAAAACAATGGAAGACACGGCAAAGCTGTGGAGTTGATTTTCTTTAAATAATTAAACAAAATAAATAAATATACATATAAATAAAATAAAATAAAATAAGCAATAACGCTGGCGAAAAGGAGAGGCCAAATGGCCCCATTTTTGGCGCTCGCTCGCCTCAACGGAAGTGGGACACGGATCAGATAACATGTCATTGTGACACAGCACCACCCGGCAGAGGGCATATCCGATAGCGTTTCGTAGAAAGTTGGACAAGGTTTCCAAAAAGGGAACACAAATACTACATACAGAATATAAAGCAAAGTAAGGCTTTAAAGAGGAAAAGTATAGCAGGAATCAACACCTAGTATTTACTATTACGAGATCTACAAGACGACTCTGGAACTAACTTCCTAACCAAGGTAAGGTATGAGAGGACCTGGTCACCCGATGTCGGCCACGGCTCTCCGAAGTCGTCCCACTGCAGTAAGGGGCTAGTAACTCCGTACTAAGCCGCACGTAGTTACCCCCGTAAGAATGGTAATTATCATATCAGATCATCAGTTCCTAATACGTCGATGCGATCGATCCTTCATACTACCATCAGACAGACTATCGGTCTTGGTAGTATCTACTATCTACTTAGATGTCTACTCCCCACCCATAAATATGGAGTACTTTTAAATTAGTTATCTAATTATACTACATACTCCCCGTACCTGCTCGCCTTCCAGAATACTCCGTCACAATGTGGATACTGGTTGGCGTACTTTTGTTATGGTGGCTCGTACTCGGTAAGTTGGTGCTAACTAAGTACTAAGTTACCCAAGTACCTAGGTACCTGAGTTATCTGATCTGTACCTAGTCAACTATAACTATACCTAAGTTTAGGTTCTCTGTGGTTGCCTATAGTTAATATCAACTACTCAGACTACTCCATACGAATACTACCTTATTTAACTAACTTTGGCCATGATCATAGCTCAATCGAAATCTTACAGAATACTACATTGTTAATACCTGAGGCGGTAAATTTCTCTTTTAGTGTCTCAACCCTCAACATTTTGGGTGCCAATCAGCGGCTGTATATTATGCACACTGCGACCTCCCGACGGAATACCCGAGGCCCAGCCAGGCCTATATTGGTTATCTGGATCGGTTAACATGCTATCGATTATTACTTAGTAGTAGGATGCCATTGTCTGATTCTCTAGTGAAATCAAAAATGAAATAAAATAACTATTCAACTGTTTTATCTACTATCCTCCGATTGGTTTCCTATACCGAGCATACTATAGAGTAAAGGTAAGGTACCGGCTCCTCCTACGCTATTATCATATGATCTGTCGTGACTCTGACACTCTGTAGTCTGTACCTGGGATTAGTCAAGAAACTCTGTTTATTCTTAATGATAAAAATCTTATCTTACAATGACTAATGCCTTTATGATCTATAGATACCGAGTGGACTGACTGTTCTCAGCAAGCCTGTCAGTCCTCGCTACCAGGGAGTTATCTCCTTCAGTAGATAGAAGTCGGGATACCCGAGACTTTAGGCACTGGACTAGGTAGTAACGCTAAATGGACAGATTTATCTATCCGTCAGTGAAGCTCTTTTCTATTGATTCCTGAGACAACCCGATTAGAGTCTTTGTAGAACCGAAACAGATATTATTAGAGTACTCATCAACTGAAGGATATTATTAGAGTACTACATCAACGGAAAACGAAGACACTGCTGATAAGTCTAGATGAACGCCTTCTAACGCCATTTCTTAACTAAAAAAAATAGTTCTAGACCATCATGACATAGCGTCAGGACGTCGGAACGGATGGGCTTCGGTATTCCTGCCCCAGATCAGCTCTCCGTACGGAGTATGGTCCTGGTCAAGAGATGGAACTTACAGCACAAACTTGTCGAGACTGACAAGGTCCGGCTCGGAGAAGATGAGGTAGAAATACTTCAGGGTCTCCGCCATCCAGAAACTCTCCATGTAGTCTTGCTTGGTGGTGCTCGCGTTCCGCACATCGTCGACCGCCGCGTTCGCGTAGTCGGTTCTCGTCAATCTGTCGATATTGCGGAACATTCGCCATGCGGCATCTTGTAGCGTCTTGTCTCCTGTGATTCGATACAAGACAAAGATAGATTCGATGGCTTCGGGTCTTGGGTAATTGAATGTTAGTTGTCCTCTGTTTGCTCCTCTCTGCTGAAAAAGAAAAAAAAAACCATGAACTTACCTTAGAATATAGCTAGGGTCGGTGATATCGAAGATGCCTGGTGGCAGCTTATGATCCTTTATGATACGCTGGGCATCATAGGCCCGATCGCCAGAATGCGCATACCGGCCCAATTTCTCCAGCACGTCGCCACGCCATTTCTCCTCGTCCCAGGAGCAGGCGTCCAAGCCTCTACAGGCACTGACGTAGAAGACTTCCGGCATGACCCCCGTCGGCATGAGATCATACGCCCAGATGCACCCGTCAACCAGTTTGCGTGCAATCGAGAGCTCCTCTGCACGCTCAAAGACCTTGGCACCGATCCCGACCATGCCACCTAGGAAACACTTGAGGTGCTCGGCTCGGTACTCCATGTTTTTCTTGCCCGTGCTCGTCCCGATGTTGACGTTGCCGGCAAACAGGACATCGCTGCCGTTCTCATCCATCGGGCGAAACAGAAGATGCTCCTTGATTGTCTCCATGGCGATTCCATACATCTTTCGATACTGGTTTGTTTGGCTGCCGAGCAGGACGTGCTCCTTTGGAAGATACTCGTAGGTCGAATCCGCCATCCCTCCGACAGTAAAGCGATGGTCCAGGAATTCCAGTCGGTATGCGTCCATCGTAACCGGCCATAGGCCTGGCAATTTCGTTTGCTCCTGACTAGTTTCAAGAAAATCCGTGACTCGCTGGATGGCGTCGAAGTACTTCGAATCGTTCGTCAGCTGCGACAAGCGAGTAAACTCTAGGTTCAGAGAACCTATTTCCGCGAGAATAGTGTTTCGACTCGGCAAGATCGCCAACCCCTGTGTAGATCTTTTGGTACCGGTCAACATTTGCTCTCTGAATGTGATTATGTCTCTTCCGGGTGGGTGGGTTTGCTATAGTTGTTTCTTTCGAGAAACTTTCCTCACCTTGTCCATTCCCATCGGGACTGTGGCATCCTATTCTCGGTATCGAATGCATCATAGATCATGTCGGCTACCTCAGTTGCCTTTTTCAGAAGGATGGGGTACTTCCCATCGGTCAGGTCATAGGCCCCCAAGAAACCGCCGACATAACGGATGGTGGTTTCGAAGATGTTGATTACCATTGAGTCGGTGGTGGTGAAGTCAATTTGATCGAGGGCGGCCAGCGCTTCCTCGAACTCCTCGTTCATGCCCATGATGAGAAGCGTATCCAACGAATCTACCAAGGTGGCAGCCCAGCCGCCAAAGGCGTCCCTGTGAGTACCACTGAGCGGAGACAACTCGTCCCGTAACCAGGCATGCTTTTTATATCCCTTCCAGGAACGCTGGAACACCCTCTTCACCTCCTGCTGTTTTTTGACCCGCTGCCAGCGGCTGAGCCATGACTCTGTCTCGAATTCATGTTGGATCCGCGGGATGGGCTTCGGCACACCGGTCGGAAGGGGAATATATGATTCCACAGGGTTCAATTCCGGGTGCTTCGACCAATGGATATCATCACCGCTGTTCTTTGAGCTTCCAGTTGGGATAGCTTGCTGTACATACTCCCTGGTATACGGTGTCTCTTCACTGGGGGGCAAAGTCGAGAAAATAATATATAGGAGAACGACAAGGATCAATGTTGGGAGAATAGCGCTTTTTCGAACGAATGGCATGTTAAACAAAGGACTGACTATTAAGACTTATTCCTCCAAGAAATAAAAGAATAAATAATAGAAAAAAAAAGGAAATCAAATTAAATGAGCGATTGCTGTGTGTCCTAGGGAACCATTGGTATCGATGACAGCACGGTCGAAGCGACGAGTCCGCGTGCTATTCTGTCATCAACATACGAGATAGAAGATGAAAGGAGACAACTGCAGGTGAGTTTGGCTGCCTCGTAAAGCTCGGAGTCGCTTGACACATACGGAGTACTCCGTAGACCACTCGATTCCTCTCCCCCCTCCCCTGGGGCCGGGAAACCTGCCAGCGGAGCAGCAGTGCCCCAGTGATCAGCATTGTTTCATCGCCGCCACATTGTGAGGGCTCTAATTGGTAGCTCAGAAGCCTTGTATGCCGAGATCCTATGAAGAATAATTCGAACGTATGGCGATTTTTGAGGTGCTATCGCGGAGGCCCCTGCTGGGTTGACTCCAGTCCAGTTCCCAGGAAAAACTAGGCAAGGTAGAATAAACATGGGAAGTCTGCGGAAAGTCTGGCCCAGTCTATTTGCGGCACTTGGCAGCCTCAGGCCCCCAGGCAACATCCAATCCTTGGCAGGGCTTGGCAGACCCACAGAGCTCCGCATTGGGCCCAGTTCTGGTCGTGCTCCAGACTACGCGTGGTGCCTTGAGGATCAGGCATAAAGGGCCAAGGCACGCAGAGTCATGTGACCGAGTTTGTTTTGTTTGCAGCAACGAGCACATCGTGGAAGGAGGTCCTCTCCAGGAAACGATGGAGGATTCGCCAGCTGCTTTCAGTTCACGGAAAAAGAGCCAAGGAAAGGCTGGCTCATCACTCCTACAGCGACCTGCTGTCTTATAACTACCTTGTAGGAGGTAGTGGTGCAACACAACGCCTCCATATGTAGTCGCTTGTTCGAGGAACTCGGCCTTGTCAAAGACATAAATAACACTTTAACCCCACTGTTGGGAGGGTTCCATACTATCATTTCCTCTATGTCACGATTGGTCTTCTCTTTAAACTGTGCCTGAACTTGGTGATACTTGGTTGAGCTCTCTTTCGCCTCTTGCGATTCTTGGTTTTTTTTCCTTTCCCCCCCCCCAACAACCGACTGGCCTGAGAAGGCTGGAATCAAAGAAGAACAAACTATCTAGGCAAATAGTAACAGACCTCTCCATCTGGAAGGGGCGGAGCTGTCAGGGATGTCGATCACAGGGTAAGAAGAAGCCTATCCCATACACGTTGTCTCTGATTAGCCACTAATGCCTGTCAGGGTCTTCTTTATTCCTTCAAACCCCAATGCTGCCACGGCTTTTGCAACAGTGAACGAACGTCTCCGCTCCTCTTTTGCAGATGAGCCGGTTCCAGTCGGTCGTTGGGCTCTGGAACACAAGCTGATGCGGGATACTCCGTCTTGCCTGCCTGCCTCAGCAAACCCATCACAGAAACCGTTGCAGCCGCGGTACATGCAGTTTCTTTCGCTCTCTCATTATCCAGACCATGGGTTCGTCTACACATCTGAATCGACAGAGGAGCACCACCGAGCCAGCAAGGCTCCTAGCGCCGCCCTGGGCCTCCAATCAGACAAATCCTCGATGATCATGTCCACTGTCCCACTTGCATCCTACAACACGCTATTTGGTCATTTCGCCTTCGCGTGCCAGCCGTTTTGGTGTCATCGCCACACTGTCACCATCCTAGGTGGGATAGTTTACGAAATCGGGGATTTTCGAGTCCGCCTCGGGGATGTCCGGCAAACCCAGCCCGCAGTCCGGGTTCGAGGCACAGTAGTTGAGATCGAGTGGAGAGGACCGTCGCTTATCGCCTCAATTCCGTCAAGGACAGCCCTCACCAATGTCAATACCGAGACGGATTCGGACTCGGGCATCAACGTGACCCCACCCTTTGCGGTCGAGGAGGCAGACATAGACGCTGAATACGCCGCCGCGGCAACCCTGATCCGCGAGTTCTGGGCTAAACTTGATATCAAAGGGGCACGGGAAGCCATCCTTGTTCCCGATGTCGGGAAGGAGATCAAACAACGTCTCCGCCAGTGGAAACGGAAGGGCTCAAAACGCTCGCGGGAGCCCCAGAGCGCTGTGGATGATCCGCAGGATGAAGACCCAGATGTAGACGCAGGGGTTGATCTGGCGAGGCAGTTGATGGAGATCCTCAGATTCAATAGGTGATCCCAGGTGTAAATATATGCTGTCTATCAAATTCAGCCTGATTGAGGCTCAAAAGAGGATCATTTACCAGTACCTCGTTATAGGCAACCGTATCGCAAGACGTAAATTACTCAACTTTGGAGAGAGATGGCAGGGTATGTGCAGTAATCTCGCTACACAGAAACTTGAATGTCAAGATCCTTCTCAAAGCGATCCAATCTCTGCGAGTCGTCGCAAGAAGCTAGGAGATAGCATACAAGGGTCGAGGATAGATTGATATAAAGTGGTACTAAACAGGGGCGTATAAAACAGTGACTAAAAAGGATATGACGCCCCTTCTTGAAGAACATGGAAAAAAGGAAAAGCGAAAGGTCATGCAAGGCTTATCGGGCTGTGCGCTTAGATTCGACATGTTAAGATCTTCTATGGTCGCATGCATCCTTCATCGGGATCCACTCCTAGCTACAAGACGACGACAGGTGGAGGGTATTTGACATCCAGTGTTAAAAAAAAAAAAACTCGTCAGAGGTTTCCGCGGCACAAGTTGGTATTTGGAGATATAGGGATTGGATTTCAACGAGCGAAACTTGGAGATACGGAAGCAGCGAAATATAAAGAGTCATCGACTAACAGGCGTTTATTTTTGCATCATCAGCTGGACGAACTCGTTATCTGTAGAATGAACGTGGTTAGCTGCAAGCTTTGACATGGGAGATTGGAGCGCCACTAGGTGCCTCCCCAAGGGAAAAAAGGTTATCGTACAGTCGATTCTGCCATCGCCATCCTGGTCTGCCTCGCGGATCATCTCGTCGACCTCATCATCGGTGAGCTTCTCGCCGATCGAGGTCATCACGTGGCGCAGCTCGGCGGCCGAAATGAAACCGTTGTTATCACGATCAAAGACCTTGAAAGCCTCCCGAATCTCCTCCTCTGAATCCGTATCCTTCATCTTGCGGGCCATCATGGTAAGGAACTCTAACCGAAGATCATCACGTTAATCCACCAGTCACTTGTATATTGTCTTCAAAGCTGCAGAAACCATCGCATACCTGGGAAATCGATAGTGCCATTGTTGTCGGCATCGACCTCGTTGATCATATCCTGAAGCTCGGACTCCGAGGGGTTCTGGCCGAGGGAGCGCATGACCGTACCCAGCTCCTTAGTGGTGATTTGCCCTATTGAGTTGAACACTCGATATCAGCATTACACGTCTAGGCAGGCTTCAATATGGAAGACGGGTTCAAGGTGAATTTAGAGCGGGCGGCTTTTCTGCTTCATCAGTCGTGCACTCACCATCGCCATCCTTGTCCTGTTTTGACGTGTTAGTATATTATTCAACACCTTCGTCAAGTCTGTTCCTACGAAGAGGTCATGGTATACTTACAAAGAGGGAGAACGCCTCCTTGTATTCGGAGACCTGCTCTTCAGTCAAAGAATCGGCCTAGGGGAGCGACGGTCAGCGACGTCCTTCTCGAATAACAACAAAGGCTTTACCCCGCCGAGTGGGGGGGTTCAGAATCCGCAACCAGTTCGAAGCAGACAGGAGAGCAGGGATCCCATACCATTGTGTATCGTAGAGAAAGATGATAAAGGGAGTTGAGAAGTCACGAAACAGGTGGAATTGAGGAGTGAGAGAGAGAGACTGAAGCGTTCGAAGAATAGTGGCGGAGTGGTTGAACGGCGATCGCGGGCAGCTGAGGGAGCAGTCAGTCGCTTAGTCCAGTTAGCGTCCCATAGGGATCTATCTATTTCTGCTTGCCTCCCCCGTATCACCACCAGCCCTGCCATCTCTACAGCCTTATTATTGGTAACCTCGATCCCTAATATCTACCGGTATATTAGGACGGCTGACGACGCCCGTGGACCTCCGGCAAAGCTTGAAAAGAGCCGATCAGCTGCCTGGAACTTTTGCCCCTCGACACAGCCCGTCTTGTGCATTTTACTATGACGCTTACTTTTGTAGGACAGTCATGACTCCATAAAGGATATCCTTAGATGCATATTAGTATTTTTCTGAGAAAATGATTATATAAATAGAATAAGAAGATCAGGACCTCTATAACTATTATTCTGCAATCTGCAGCACACGTGCACAGGGGTACTAGCCACAGTATAGAGTAATTTGCGGCTGAATAGTCTTTACCTATCATATTACACAATAGGAAGTAATTACATGCCATGTTTAGAGCTCTGTATAGGTCTATACTCTGTAGCATCAAGATATTTATCTATTCATTAATGATTACTTGCTAATATTACCTTTTCCCATAATTATAGGTAGCCTCAACCAGTCAGGACATAGTGCAGTCATCATTTAGGTATAATACAAAGTAAATTACCCATAATGTACCGTGGACAACAGTACTATACCAGAAATAAGGGGAAAAGGACAAGATCTCAGTGAAGTATTGAATTAAATTATCATAGAATTACCATCATCACAATTTAAACCACCACTGACTATACCTTGCAAGCCTTTGGGTAAAGTACTGGTAGTTATCGCACTGTTTGTATTGGCAATACGGGAAAATTACGGCCTATCCAAAACGGGATGGGCGTAGCTTTCCCCGGGCGACCGTTTGACGTCGGAGATCAAGCAAGCTGGCAGGCGATGTCATTCCTGCTGCGACCGGAGCCACAACTTGAGAGGAGCCCGTGCTAGAGAGTCGATTAATATTATTATTTATATCTACCAGGCTTATCTTGACAGACTCTTCTACTCTCTCTCACCCCACGTGCCGATGATGAGTAGATAATTTCACTTCCATCAACGAGCAAGGGAACACTCCGCCGCCGACTGGCGACTTCGTGCACCATGTGGCGGGATCGCACAAACCTGTAGGGCTCTATATCCTAGCATTATTTTACCAAAGAGAGTTTTCTCTAACAGTATCCTTACTCTTCAGGTATATTTCCTACCGCCAGTCGTTCGCACACCACCCGGCCAAGAAGCCACGCTATATCGGCTCGACTAATGGCTTCACGGACATTCCGTCGGCATCGGAGGAGAACCGTAGGCTGATTCCAGAGACTGGCGGCTTTGACGATGATGGAGATCTGGTGATCGAAATGGACCTACTACCGCCGCGCTGGGTGGATATTCAGGACGAAGTGACCGAGTTACTGGCGGATATTGCGCAAAAGTCTTCCCAACTAGACAAGCTACACCAGAAACATCTGCTACCGGGATTTGGCGACGAGGATGCGCGGAAACAAGATGAAACGGTGATTGAGCGACTGACACAAGAGGTCACCCGCGCATTCCACGACTGTCAGAAGGCGATCCAAAGGATCGAAATGATGGTTCGAGAGGCAAAGCAACAGGGCGGAGTAAGCAACAGCGATGAAATGATGGCGAAGAATATTCAGATATCGCTCGCTGCGCGGGTTCAAGAGTCAAGTGCTCGGTTCAGAAAGAAACAGAGCACATACTTGAAGAGTAAGTACTCCGTACCGAACGCCGCGCAACATCGGTTTTGGCTCTTTTAACTGTAGACGGGCACTGATAATATCTTTAGAACTCCGTGGGCTAGAGGGCATATCCTCGCCATTTGAAAATGGACCTTCCTCTGCTCAGAACCCATATACCGACCCGTCTCTCATGGAATCCGACGCAGACAAGTCATTTTCGCAATCGACGCTTATGCAAACCTCGCAACGACAGATCGGACAGAACGACACCGTTATCGCGCAGCGAGAACGTGAAATCAACGATATTGCAAAAGGAATCATCGAACTGTCTGACATCTTTCGAGAGCTTCAGACAATGATTATTGACCAGGGGACTATGCTAGACCGAATAGACTACAATGTGGAACGCATGACTACGGAGGTCAAGGCAGCTGAAAAGGAGCTCAAAGTGGTATGTTGGCAATTACTAGACTAGCAGTTGACAGTGCTCGGTTTTTACTGACGTCCAACGTAGGCGACGGGCTATCAAAAGCGCACCACAAAACGGAAAATCCTGCTCCTGCTCCTTTTGCTAATAGCAGGCATGATCATTGTCCTTCTCGTGAAGCCAAAGCGACACGATTCAGCCTCCCAACCGTCATCGGCGCCAGAAAGCCCCCCCGCAGCAGACAGTAACAACAACAACTTGCAGCGCAGGATTGCCGTTGTCGGGGCGGGCCCGCGAAGGCGCCGACATCGTACCTCTCTCAATCGATTCTCGAGAGACACCTGGATCGATCCGGATATATATTGATGAACAAGCGCCCTTCCATAAATTCCCCATCTTGTGTCTTATTTAGCGTGGAGAGGAGATCCGATTGTGATTGTTTTCTTGGGCAGAAACTTATGTGGATGGTTTTGCCTAGCCTAGAAATTTTTATGAACAGTGTGCCCGGTTGTCGAATGTAGAATAGGCCTAATCAATTGATTTACGAGGAATTCCATAGATAATGAGATGGCTATTAACTCTATACATCTAGCTGAAGATCTATCCACCTTGAAAATAACCATTCCGAAAGTCGAAATCCAGAACTGCCGTCCATATCGAATCCGGATAGCTACAGGGCGTCTGGCGCATTGGAGTTTCCCGTCACAGTCAAATCACATTCGTCATACAGAAGTAGAATTACCTAAATGGCTGCAACTGATAGACAGTACTCACTACCAGCAGAGAAGAGCAGGAATAAATGAATCGCCAACAGAATTGTTGGCCCCATACCCACAGTCCTGGTTTTTACCCTTGACGGCCCTCTGTTTCAAGTAGCTCAGCTACATCCGCATCCAGGTCGCCACCTGCGAACTTGGCATAGTCCTCCTCTCCGTGGGTGACCTTGCGCTTCTTGACAGTGGCTCCGTTGGAATTGCCATACTGTAGCTGGCTGAGAGTATCAGCTAGGCTAGGCATATCATTTCCAGGCAGAGGAGTGTTCGACGGATGTCCGATTCCCGGAAGGGTGAAAGCATCGGCAGTAGGGATCGGGGCCTCCTGGAAGCCAAACACAGTAGTATTCTGGGCCACCAGCTGAGGAGAACCGACTGGAGTGAGGGATTCAACGGGTGGCGGGGTCAGGGCTTCAACTTCCGGTCGAGAGACAGAATCGCCTTCACCGCTGGCAGGATTTCCAGGCGAGTTATCGGCGGAGAGACCTCGCATGATGCTGTCCTCAACTTCACGTTTCTTGGCCTCAGTCGCTATTTTGTTGTCCGACAGTCTGGAGACCAAGGCCTGTTCCTTTTCAAGAGCGGCGCGGTTGGTCTCAAGAAGTTTTTCCAGTCCGTTGATTAGAGCGAGGCGTGACTTGATGATTTCCGAGACCGAGCTTTCGGCGTTTGCCAGCGTCTTCAGTAACTGACTCAGACGGGCGGCGTGGACTGGAGGAGTAGGCAGGGGTGCGTTTGCATCATTCATCTTGTCATATTCGGTATTCGCTGCCGCCGCAGACGCGCCGGACGTCATTGTAGCTTTAGACAAGGCCACTTGTAAAGGGACCAAAGGCTGCAGCTCGGAAGGCGTAGAACCAGATGAGCTTGAGAAGAGTGAGCCTCCCATGAGCGGCTTTTTGCCATTAGAGCGAGACCGATCAATTTCTATTTCACACAGGTGAGCCGCTAGATGATAACCGGGGTTGGAGCTTTGGGGGACGAGTTACCATCAACACGAGCTTCGACCGCTTCTTGAATAGGCAGTTCAAAGATAGCCCGTTGTCTCCAGACTTCGACCACGCGGCGAAGTTTCTGTTGTATATCATTCGACGCGCTCTTGTATGCTATCGCGACTGCTTCTGCAATCACCTTTTCATCGATTAGCGGGTTTCCTTCCATCGATCCTGGCAAATGCTGACCGGAGAGAATGCGATGAGAAAGTCATCTTTACGCCTTGCTTTCGACTGTTGTGCAAGCTCTGAGAATCGAGTCAGTCCCCATGTAGGCATCTTATGTTGTTCACCACCGTGTCATACCGTTTGCGAGATAAATGAGGTTTAGACGTTTGGGAGCTGGGGAGTCGCGAAGCTTCTGGAGCCAAAGCTGGGCAGTACGCTCCGCATGTCGCCTATTTTTGAGATAGTAGAGGTCAGCAGCAGTAACAGATAAAAGGTCAATGTCATTTTCCAACCTGTAGAACATAACCCATTGGGCGACAGTCACAATGCCTTCTTGGGTCTCATTAAGGGCTGAGAGCTTTGCCTTGACGGCATCGTCAGTGTAAGCCATATCTGGTCCCTAGAGCTAGCTTTTTTGACAGCAAAGCAGTGCGATCCCAGCACCGCTTCTTCAAGCGACAAGGTGACGAATGGCAATAAAAGAAACCGTGTTGCAACTGATTCAAAAACAAAGGATTGATTTAAGGGAAAGCTTAAACTGCTGCGCAATAACTAGAGAGATCTGATGAGATTATGACAGATGATAACCCAGTTACTAAAGGGTAAGCTTACTGGGAAGCCACAGTATACAACACCAGTCAATTATCACCCCTCTAGGCGTATTGTTGTCAAGTGAAGACGAGAGCAATCCCCATTCACGGACAGCTTCCAGCACCAGAAAGCTGCGGCGAATCTTCACCGCTCTCGCCGGCAGAATCCCCACGCCTTATTCCGACACTCCGTCAACACTTCAAACAGCCAGCTGGTACTTCGCATTCCTGTCCATTCTACATCTCCCGCATCCCATTGAACGAAGTCTTTCAGCGCATACGCCCGGTAGCTCCAGGAATACCACACCTTCTGTTAAGATGGCTGATCGCTTCCCCTCGTTGGAGGACTTCTCTGAGGGTAAGTAGCAAATGGTATGGTTGCCGCTATGCCCCCCCGGAGCCTAATGAGGGATTACAGGTCAAACCGAAGTTGTTGAGATTAGCGGCGCTTCGGATGCGGACGATTTCCTCGCTCGTGAGCGTGCTGCTCTCGGAGAAGATGCAGACCAATTCGCCACCCCTCAAGATCACGTTGCTACCGCCCAGTCCCAGAATGCGCTCGACGATGATCTGTTAGGCGGCTCGATGGGCGCTCCCATTGAAACCGCTGCCGCAGACAGCACCGCATTTGAGTCTTCCTTTCCCGCCATCGATACCAGCAATGAGGTATATCTTTGTTGTTGATTTCTTGTTTTGGACGTACACAATTCTTGGATGGTGCTGATGTGTGTTTCAATGATAGCAAGTTGCACCTGGCGGTACGATTACCGGGACCGGCGCCCCATACTATCCTCCAACAACTGGCTACCAGAAAGAAGAGGCAGAGTCGGAGCCTATGAGGTGAGTTGATCCTTCGCCGATCCGCATTCCTTAATGGCAGTTTGTCTTGTTCCGCATTTACGGCTCCCGGTCTGATGTTTCCCTTCATTCATAGAGAGTGGCGTGAGAAACGTGATGCAGAACTCGCCCGTCGCGCGGAGATCTCGAAGGAAAAGAAGGAGGCAACTATCAAGAAGGCCCGGGAAGATATCGATGACTTTTATGTTTCCTACAACAACAAAGTTGATAAGCTTCGTGCTCAGACCCATACCGAGGCTGAACAATTCATTGCCAACCGCCAGGACACTTCAGCGGGCGGCACTAGCTGGGAGCGTATCGCAAAGCTTGTTGATATCTCCGGAAAGGGCACCAAGGGTGGCGCGAGTGGATCCGGCAAGGAGCGCTTCAGAGAACTGCTGCTTGATTTGAGGAAGGACGAGAAGGCGCCTGGTGTCAGTGGTATCTAGTTCATCATAACAAGTTATCCCGCCGGCGAGACGACACTTGATTGATTCGCAGAAAGCTTAATGAGCCTCAAAAACCTCGCGGTATGACAAAGCAGTATTCATTTATTACTGTCTCCAAGGCTCTGTGCACCATATCTCATCACTTCTCTTTCTATTACTCCCAGATATGACCAATACCGGGATGGATCCTTGAACATTCCTAACTCGTTTCTCTGGCGCATGATCTGTACTACATCGCGGTCTTTTTATCTTCCCTTTTCTTTTTTTTCCCCCTTTGGTTCTTTTTCTTTTAAACATTCTATTGCCCATGTCTTGTTACTCGTGGTTTCCCTTAATGTATGTAGGTAAATAAGAGGTTTTCTTTAGTACTTAAAGCTGTGCTTTTTAGTCGGACGAGACATCTGACTCGCATCGTCATAAGATACAACACTGCATCACCAGCCAAGAAAAAGATTTACAATTTGATGGCTAATATGGTGAACGTGAGAATAAAGTTAGTGTGTGATACTGCATTAGTATGCGTTTGTTTATTGTCGATGGAATTAATCCAATTCGGTAATGTCGCCGCCGGGCTCTCCCACATCCTCAGCAACGCCGTGAGACCTTCCTTCTGCCTCGAGCTCTTCCAGCTTCTTGCGGCCTTCCTCGGTGGTGGCGTCCACAATCCCCTCCTCAAGGCTAAGCATTCCGCCCTGTCCAAGCTTATCGACGACCTCCTCTGCCTCTTCGACGCTCATCTTACCGAGAACCTTGTTGACCTCATCCAACGATTCGGACTTCAGGGCTGCTTGCAGAGCTGGCGAGAAGGACTCAAAAATTCTACGCGCTTCGATGACCTCCGGCTCCGTGCTGTCGGTGGGAGGGATATTGATTGTGATCTTGGTGTTCGGGTCAACGGCGTGTAATTGAATCTGCTCTACACCGGCCGGGTCGTTGGCGGCTGAGCTATCCTTGGCTAGTTCTGCAGCTCGGGTCTTGATTTTGTTGTAGGTCTCGTTGACATCGTTCCTGAATATAGTTCCTGCCTGGTGATCTTTGGTTGTGATTCTGCGCCAGCCAAGTGTCAGTGAATGACGAATAATGCACAGAAAGATGTATAAAGGGGAAACTTACCGCTTGAAGAAGAGCGCGATACCATCCCGACCCAGTGATCGACAATACTGCAGAAGCAGACCCTGATGTACACATTGGCGCGCATATTCCTCCTTTCCCTCCATTTGGCTGTTGAAAGCTTCAACAAGTAACCCGTCCGTTTCCTTCTCGGCGACAATCTCGGGATGCTCGGAGATGAACTGAAGAGAAGCCCTGTATTCGCCAAGTTTGATCCTCGAGAATTGCTTTGCTAGTTCACTAGCCTTCATGTCTGCCGGATCGTAGTCATCATCGCCAGCACCGGTAGCTGGTGCAGCTGAGGCATCCTTATTCAAAACCCCCGGGTTCAAGAGCTCGACTGATGTCGAACCTGTGGGCTTGTCGCTCGCTTTCGCCACAAAGGATGTATCAAATCCGGTGTGTATCTGATCACTGGTTATCTTGCTTCTCTCCTCCTTTTCAAGCTGGGCAAGTTTCTCCAACAATTCCTTCTGTAGACTTTCGACTTTGCTCTTATGTTCCTTCACGCCTTTAATGTATGCCTGGGTAAGGTTTTCGGGGTTTGAGTCACCAATCTCTTTCCTGACCTGGTCCACCAGCGAGCTCATCATCTGCGAATACTTCGGTTGTTCCTTCTCGTGGGTATAAACTCCTTCCGGCGGTGCGGGGGGTCTATCCTGGTCCGGGTTGCTCGCAGACTCAACGATGAAATTGAAGACGATTTCTTCCAGGCTGCGAGAGGAATCTTCATGTTGCTGAAGCGCACCCAGGAGGCTATCGATGCGAGAAATTAGGCCATCGTTAATAATCCGCTCGTACTTCAACGTCTCGATCTCATGGCGGCGCTGAGCTCGTTGCTGGTGGATCTGAGCTTGCTTGGCTCGAATAAACGAACGTTTGTCGACATTGGGATGGACTTCAATGTCCGAATCGTCAGAGAGCTCGAGAGCATCCCATTTGCTGTAATCCAAAACCATCTTGTTCAAAGATGATCTCTGTGATTGGAATGACGGGAATTTGGCGGAGGGGGGGAATCAAGTATGCAGTGTGTCGGCGGGGTAGCTACTTTGGTAAGAGACAAAAATCAGGAATAATCAAAAGTGACTGATTTAGTTAGCTTTCCCTGAAGATAGAAACAAGCTGCGCTCTTCTCTTGGAGAAAAAAAAGGAACTTCAGAAGAGGCAGACAGCAAGAATAAAATCAGCCCCAGGCAAGCTCATCGCAATCGAAGGCTCTCGGTGCTGCTTCAGCTTCATGGAACCGCCGATCCCGTACGATGTATTTACCGTGTAATTTACACGGGTTCGTCACGGCAAAACATTACCCGATCTCCGCGACATCTCCGTCAGCTTTTGTGCCGGCATCGCTGGTGATTTACAACCTTCATTAGACTACTACTTACTCTATGGAATCCATCCTCAGGTCTTGAATTGAGATTTTTCTTTTGCGGTGCCGGTGCCTATGGGACCGGAGTGCCTTTCTTTTCGCTCGTGAGAGTATGGCAGCGTGCCTGTCTTCCGTGACATCACTTTGAAAGCTTGTCCGAAATTCGCAGCGCCAGCTAATTCCTGAGATGCGCGGCACCAGGCTGTTCGTGCCCGGAGCCACGGGCTGGAGCCCGCGGCCAGCAATCCAAGGGAATGGAGGCATAGTGGAGAAGCTGTTTCTGAGCTCGACATCCAGGACCTCTCCGCCTGGACACAATGTGTCACGAAGGACCCTTCATTTGGGTGCGGTCGGAACCGCACGCGGCTTAGGTCGACTCGCCGGATTGCCCCCGACTCTATACAACAATAACCTGAGAGCTTCAGTGTCGCAAAACCGATTAAGCGACCATGTTCGTCTGCTGTGTTCAACTCCACGCTTTTTAGCAGGACGGTCACCGATTACGCCAACCACAAAGTTTGCGAGTGAAACCCCCGGATCGCTGGAGAAGGAAGATGAAGAGGCGGACAAAGGGTTTGAATTATCGGAAAAGGCGGCTCAAGCGGCTCAGGTGAATCTACGGGCAAAACTGAGTAAAGATGGTGCTGGAGGCAAAAAACCTGGCTTCTCAGAGGTTTGGAGACTGTTGCAAATCGCCCGCCCGGAGGCCAAGAAGCTTTCACTCGCCTTTTTCTTCTTGCTTGTCTCTTCCGGAATTACAATGTCGATTCCCTTCTCCATTGGAAGGCTCATGGATACGGCAACCAAGTCTGAGGCCGAGGGTAACACGCTGTTCGGTTTAAGCCTCCCGATGTTCTATGCTGCATTGGCTAGCGTTCTCGCGCTGGGCTCCGTCGCCAACTATGGCAGAATCATTATTCTCCGTATCGTTGGCGAACGAATTGTTTCTAGACTTCGTTCGAAGCTGTTTCGCCAGACCTTCATTCAGGATGCCGAGTTCTTCGATGCTAACCGGGTGGGCGACTTGATTTCCCGGCTGGGTTCTGATACCATCATTGTGGGCAAGAGTATCACGCAGAACTTGTCCGATGGATTGCGCGCCGGTGTCAGTGGCATTGCTGGTTTCAGTCTGATGGCCTATGTGAGCATCAAGCTGTCCAGCATTCTGGCTATCCTGCTTCCGCCTATTGGCATTGGAGCTTTCTTCTACGGCCGTTCCATCCGCAATCTCAGTCGCAGAATCCAGAAGAATCTTGGAACTTTGACTAAAATTGCCGAAGAACGCCTTGGAAACGTCAAGACAAGTCAATCGTTCGCCGGAGAAATTCTTGAGGTACATCGCTATAACAACCAAGTTCGAAAAATCTTTGATCTTGGCAAAAAGGAGTCCTTGATAAGTGCGACCTTCTTTAGTATGGTAAGGCATCTTGAGATATCCTTGGATGGCAAGATCTGACTATTTAATAGACCGGTTTGGCGGGTAATATGACAATATTGGCGCTTCTCTACGTCGGCGGCGGTTTGGTCAAGTCTGGCGCTATTAGCATTGGCGAATTGACATCATTCCTGATGTATACAGCCTATGCAGGCTCTAGCATGGTTGGCATGTCCAGCTTTTACTCGGAGCTAATGAAGGGCGTTGGTGCTGCTAGTCGGCTTTTCGAGCTACAGGATCGCCAGCCGACCATTTCGCCGACACAGGGCCAAAGAGTGGAATCAGCTCGCGGTCCCATTCGATTCGAAAATATCACTTTCAGCTATCCAACTCGGCCAGCCGTCACTATCTTCAAGGACCTCAACTTTGAGATTCCTCAGGGAACCAACGTTGCGATTGTTGGACCCTCAGGAGGTGGCAAGTCCACCATTGCTTCGCTCTTGCTTCGATTCTACAGCCCTACCAGTGGTAGGGTTTTGATCGATGGCAAAGATGTTTCTCAAATGAACGCCAAATCCCTTCGGAGAAAAATTGGTATCGTTTCTCAAGAGCCTGTTCTTTTCTCGGGCACCATCGCCGAGAACATTGCATATGGCAGACCGGATGCCACCAAGGCAGAAATCATTGCGGCAGCCCGCAAGGCCAACTGCCAATTCATCAGTGATTTCGTGAGTAGATATTGAAGCCTTTCCTTGCCACATAATGTCTAACCTGGTCAATAGCCGGATGGTCTTGATACACACGTTGGTGCTCGTGGAGCCCAGCTTTCTGGAGGACAGAAGCAACGCATTGCCATTGCCCGTGCCTTGATCAAGAATCCAGATATTTTGATTCTAGACGAAGCCACTTCTGCCCTTGACGCCGAGTCCGAAACGTTGGTAAACAGTGCTTTGGCTGCCCTGCTCCGTGGTAACAACACAACGATCAGCATTGCGCACCGTCTGTCCACCATTAAGCGATCGGATACTATCATTGTTCTTGGCCCGGATGGAAAGGTTGCTGAACAAGGCTCCTACGAAGAACTGAGCTCCCGACCGGATGGTGCTTTCACGAAACTGATGGAGTGGCAGATGAGCGGTGGAGAATCTCTCCAACCGCCTTCGTCGTCTGATGGTTCTCCCCGGCAACTGTCACAAAATGAAGAGCAGGCGCAAGAAGAAACAGAGGAGTCTGAACAACAGTCAGAGAACAGCAAGAAGGAACAATAGTCCTCCTGAAAATCCCGCGAATCTCTTTACACATAATACTACCTGAACCTACCTACTTACATACCATACACCATGTTCTTCTTTACATTAGCTGTTGTTCGACAGCGCTTTCCTTGAATTATTCCTTCATTTTGTCTCTTTATTTGGATACCTCAAGGTCTAGAGGATTGGACGGTTTTTGTACTGTAACTATTCCGAGGGGAATTTTCACGGCATTCAGATAGACGAAAGAATATGACTCTCCCCTCCGTCAACCGTTCATACCATACAAAAGCTTCAATAATTGCGTTTTCAGTCTGTTGATGCTTTTGGGCCTGTGAGGTCGAAGCAATTAATAAGGGTTGCTTGGCGCATGACTCGCCGCTGATCGACCCCAACTTGACTCCGCACTTCCTCAACTCTCACGACGAGGTCCCAGTCTCTCTGTCGTCCTGGTTATCTCTACTTTATCGAAGTTAGTTGATGATGGAATAGGATTAGTTCTATATCTTCTTCATTGTCCTTCATTTACGTGCCCGGAAGTGCAGAATATCTGCCGTCACACATCATGGACCGCGTGCGGAGATGGCTATCTTCAGCCAGCAGTCAGACTGCTTATGAGCCGATACACAACACTCTCGAGGCTGATGCGGTCAGCGACGGGGGATCGGAATATAGCGGTGTTCGCAAGCCTGCCTCACACTTTTCACGGCTGAGTTATGGCGTATTTTTCCTGTTGGGGATAAACATGCTGTGGGCATGGTAAGTACCCCCCCCCCAATGCGTCCATGGTGGTCAAGGTACGATTTCTCATGGCTTTTGGATTAGGAATATGTTCCTTGCGGCAGCGCCGTATTTTCACCGTCGATTTGAATCCGACGATTGGGCCGTTGCTCACTTTCAGCCGTCTATCCTGTCGGTGTCGACCGTGACGAACCTCTGTTGCGGGTTCATTATGGCCAAAGCGCAAAAGAACGCTTCATATCCGAGACGGATCAAGCTCTCACTGCTCATCAACATTATAATCTTTGCCCTTCTCGCCTTCTCCACGATTCTCATGAAAAATGCCGTTGTGGGCACATACTTTGGCTTCCTGATGTTGATGGTGTTTGGCGCCAGCTGGGCGACGGGGATGAACCAGAACGGCGTCTTCGCGTACGTGTCCGGTTTCGGGAGAGAAGAATATACCCAGGCGATTATGGCGGGCCAGGGCGTGGCAGGGGTCCTACCCTGCATCGTCCAAATCCTCTCCGTGCTCGCGGTGCCGCCCAGCAACAAGCATCACGGGCGCCAAGATCCATCCAAATCCGCCTTTGCGTATTTCCTCACCGCCACCGCTATTTCGTTGCTTGCGCTCATTGCCTTTCTTTACCTGGATAATAAACGCCAATCCAGCGCTGCAGGATCCGTGTCGCGCGAAGAGGAGGATCCGCTCCACCCCGCCGATGCGGCCCACGCAAAGACCACCATCGGCCTGTGGACGCTCTTCAAGAAGCTCCACTGGCCCGCGCTGTCGGTCTTCCTCTGCTTCGCCGTGACCATGACCTTCCCCGTCTTTACGGCGGAGATCGAATCCGTGCACGGGCCTGGACAGGGTCGAGGTGTGGAAGCCCAGCCGCGCATCTTCGAGCCAGAGGTTTTCATCCCGCTTGCCTTCCTCTTCTGGAACGTCGGTGATCTCTTCGGGCGGATTTCCGTTCTAGTACCACGCCTGGCGACCCTCTCGCACCGGCCCGTCGCCCTGTTCGTTCTCGCCATCGCCCGTCTGGGGTTCATCCCGCTCTATCTTCTCTGCAACATCGGCGGCCGGGGTGCCATCGTGAACAGCGACGCCTTTTACCTGTTTTTCGTGCAGATCTGCTTCGGCTTCTCTAATGGCTTTCTAGGCAGCAGCTGCATGATGGGCGCCGGTCATTTCGTCTCCGTAGAGGAACGCGAACCCGCCGGTGGCTTCATGAGCTTGATGCTTGTCGGTGGACTAGCGGCCGGAAGTCTCTTGAGTTTCCTCATTGCGGCAAAGTGAAGCTCTTTGGTTTTCTGCAATGGTTCTTAATAGAGTATAATTGATACTTTGGTGTTAGGCGTTCTCATCTACTTGATTGCATAAAGGAACCAGTCATTGAAATGGAATATAATTGAAAGACTGTTGCTACTAGATTAACCTGGAATCTTATGCAATGGGTGTCAATAATCACCAACTCCTCGCTATGCAATTGATCGAAAGACAAATATAGATGGGAATAAAACAAGGGGGGGAATGAGAAAATTGGGGAAAGGGTTCAAGAAGAATAGGCTAGACTGGAGGATCAAAAGAAATCACTCTCTGTCAACCACTGCGAGTCAATAGCATATGCCACGAGATCCGCCGCGCAACACATGTCTTCGGGTCGGTTCTCCAAATCTAGTAGGTCCAGCACCGCGCTCAGCCTGTCTTCAAGAATGTTCTTGAGTAGATTAGCCTGGATGTGCAGATCGTCTGTCACCTGGCGCTTTGCAGACGACTTGCCAAGTTCCTGTACACCAGCTTTTTTTTGCCCCGGAGCGCGCCTGGAGAGATTCTTATTTGGGGAGCATGCCTCCAGTGGCTTCCGCTGAGGTCGAGGGGGCGATAGGGTTGAGTCTTGGTGAGTCGCTGCTTCTGGTCGTCGGTTCTTCAGAAGATTCTTCAGCAGGAAGAGCAACCAGACGAGGTTTGTTCGCGGGACGTATTCAGACCAGATCCCCGGAACAGCAGGAACTTTTTCAGTCACCAGAGGATCGCCACTATACAGCTCCCCCCGCATACTATGAAGTAAGTGATTAGCTGGTGCCAAAGTGAAGTGGAGTATTTGTGAGTGAACGCACTATCTATAGGTGTTGCGAAGCAGCACTTCATCCTCGTCTCGACCAATCGCATCAAAAATTTGCTTCTTGTCAAGATCGGACGAGGCAATCTCCGCCGGTACATCGGGATCCTCAGTCAAGCGTAGTTCGGCCCGAGAAAGCGAATAGTCGATGATGGTGGTCTCCAACGTACTGAGTCCGAATCCACTCGAACTATGAAATCGTGCTACGTCGAGATCAGAAGGCGGGTCCATGGAACCGTCTGGACGAGAGCTTCGAATGCAGACATTGCCAAGGTGTAAATCGCGGTGCTGTTTTTTTTTTCGCGTCAGTTGGTATTCTGTCTCGTTTGGATGCTCGCCTATCGCCTACCTCAAAGGAAGCATACTCTTCCGCCCTGGCCAACGCCATGGCAACACCCCAGAAGATATCGTAGATTTGAAAGATCGACGACCACGAAAATTTTTCCAATTCACATCCGGCATCATCCATTTCCACAATCGCCCAGAGCTGTGAATCAGGGTACGCCCTTTTACTAGCTGGGTTCGGGTTGAGGCAATCGTTTTTGGTCTTCTTATAGTGCATCCAGGCCTGCTGGAACGATTCTGGAAACCGGCCCTGAACAACATGGATATCTCTGAACCGGGCGAATCCAGGGATGGGATCCAGATACTTGAGCATCTTGACCTCTGCGACAATCTCGTCAATACTTGTGAATTTCTTGGAGCCGAAGCCACTCTTCGCACGCAAGGGCACAATCTTGAAAACACCATCACCGTAAGCCTTAAGCCGCGCCAGCTTGGCTTTGGACATCTCTCGCTTGCAGACTTCTTCGCGAAGATGAAGCTTGTAGACTTCACCATAGGAACCCTCTGCCAGCTTCACCACCTCGAACAAGTTTCCCGCGCGCGCTGCCCATGAATCAAATTTCTGAACTCCCTGTGATGCCAAGGGCGACAGTGCTTCGTCCAATATGATGCGGGTATATGCGTTCATTTTCTCATCCTGAATACAGCCCGACGACCGGCGCGGGGCTGGTTTGTGATTCCTCCCCTTCCTCCTTTCCACCTGAGATGTTTCGGGCTCGACATCTTGTACACTCGCGCAATCTGCGGTTTCTCCTTGCTCGACGCGTGGCGAACAAACCCTCACCTCCACCATAGTCTCGTACTGTTTGAAAGATTCCTGTGGCGCAGTCTGGGAGGCCTCTTCGTGAACGGTTTCGGATGGACTTTGTGACGGTTTTTCAACAAGGTCTTCAACAGGGTCTTCGACGAGAACATCTTGCTCCTCCTTTTCCAGCTGGATTTCCCTCTTTTCTTCAAGAGCCTGCTCTTTATCTTCAATCGCGACGTTGCCCAGCTTCTCCTCCACTTCGTCCAGCGTCGCGTCAACGACAGAAGCCGACACGTGCCCCGAGGCCTTCACGGGACTTCCTTGTTCAAAGACCGCCTTTGCTGCAACCGCTTTTCGTTTCCCGTATACTTTTCTCTGTGTCGTGGTGCGTCGTGTGGAAGGTTGCCGTTGCGATCGGCACGGGGCAGGAGAGGAGGGCATGGTTCTTCAAGCCTCAGTGTCAAGCATTCAACAGTCATAAATAGTATCAACAGTGTATTCTAGGCCACTATTTGTAGCATAGATCACCCAAATGGATGCTAGTCGTATGTGTGAGTCGCCAAAGCTCTTGTGAGTGCCTTCAAAGACAGCAAAAAGAAGCTCCCCCCAAAGAGCCATATTGATCTATGTCTGAAACGGGTTTAGATCGGTTCGTTGCCGGGGAGACGGTGGGATTACTTTGTTCCGATGCCTGCGCCCCAATGGGCCAATCAGCTTGCAGTCCTCCATACAGCTGGAATATTTGTTGCATTCTTAATGGCATTTTCAGGACAGTACCTTACTTGGGTATAGGGTTTTTGACAATAGGATAGAATCAATGGAGTCTTTGTAGTCAATAATACGACCAACTCTATCTATTCAACTTCCACATAGGGATCCTCCTCTTGGTAGACGTCGTACTTGTACTGGCTGCCCGGATGGTCATTGCGAAGCTCTTTCTGGCCTTGGCCATAGACCTTTTCTCGAGCGGTGAGTTGCTCTTCCGGTGGTTCGGGATAGAGACCCCGTCTACGGAGCTCAGGGATCAGGAGGTCGACGACCTCCTCGAAAGTACCGGGGGTGGTGACGTAACCGAGATTGAAGCCATCGATGTCTGCTTCGTGTATCCAGTGCTCCATCTCGTCGGCCACCGTTGCTGGGCTTCCAATTCCAACTGGGCCAAGACCGCCAAAGGCGGCTTTTTCCGCCACCACGCGAGGCGTCCATTTAGGAACTTCCTTGCTCGTGGTAGTAAAGGCGTCAAGAATGCTAGTGATTCTGTTCGCTTCTAGGGAGTCTGCCGCCGTGATTTCCTGATCGATGGGGATCTTGGAGATGTCAATGCCGGTCCAGCCACTGAACAAGACCAGGCCGCCGACTACGGAAGCGTACTGTTTCAGCTCCTCGTATTTGGCCCTTGCCTCCTCGTCGGTCGCTCCGACTATGGGGGTGAAGGTTGCAAAGACCTTGATTGAGCGCGGGTCCCGACCTCGCTCTGCAGCCAGATTACGGATCTTGTCGACTTTCGGGCGAAGCAGTTTTGGCGAGTGTGAAGACACGAAAATTGCCTCTGCATGAGTGGCCGCAAAGGCCGAGCCTGCAGGTGAGGTCCCCGCTTGGAAGAGGAACGGAGTGCGCTGTGGTGATGGGTCGACAATATGGCGTGTGTTGAGAGAAAAGTACTTGCCTTTATGGTTTATCTGGCGGATCTTATCCGGGTCGACGTATGAGTCTGTCGCTGGATCAGGTGAAAGAGCGTCTGGTGCCCAGGAACCTTCCCAGAGTCTATACAAAGAAGGCCGTTATCAGCATTGATGCCAAGCAAATTCTGTCCCTGAGGATTTTCTTACTTGTAGAGCACGCGCAGATACTCATCCGCCTGGAGGTAGCGCTCGTCATGTTCAATCGGGCTGTCCAGTCCGATCGCCTTGAAGGCCGACTTCTTCCACGAAGTGACGATGTTCCAGCCTATTCGCCCGTTGGTGAGGTGGTCCAGTGTGGAGAACCGCTTTGCTAGCAAGAAGGGAGGCTCAAAGGATGTCGAAGAGGTGATCCCAAAGGCAAGATTCTTGGTAACAGCTGCCATGGCAGAAATAGGCTAGAAAATTTCATGATAAGCACTTGTGATTCACTCTTTGTACTTGAATGAAGAATCGTACAATCGTAGGGTCTGTCACTGGCCACTGAGCTGCGCGTCGGATACATTCATCCACCTTTCCCTCATAAGTATCGTACCCCCCATAGGTATCTGCTAGGAACAGGGCATTGATGCCGCCTCGCTCAAGAAGCTTTGCCAGTTCGATCCAGTAGTCAAGCCTGCGTTTGGCTGCCGATTTGTCTTTGGGGTTCTGTCGGCTTGGTTAAGATCATCGCATAAGGGTTTGCTTTCAGATAGGCAGAAAGTCACTCACCTTCCATTGGCCAGGCGATAAATGGCCTACGGTGGACATGTCAAAGGCGTTCAGCAGAATCTGCCTCTTGCCATTGTCAAGGTCACTACTTACGTCGCCCATGTCGAAGATCGGTCGATATTCTGCGTGTTTGGAATGCTGTAGAAGTGAATATTTGCCGAATTGCCTTCAAATTCTCAAGATTCTGCCTTTTTATCTGCTTCAAACCCCGCAATGAACTTGGCATCTTTCCTTCCGCTTCGCAATAGATATCCATTCATGCGCCATAGTGTCTGTCGGTGATTCGCCATCCTCTCCACACTATGCACAAGGGCAAGGGCCTTGAACACGCAAAGGCCGTCATCTCGGAGTTGTTCCCGAAGTGTTTTCAGCGCTTTGCTACTGATAAACGCAACAATTGCGAGTAGATCTTTCACCATCAGGAAAGGAATGACGTGATATGATCAGATGAAGTCTGAAGGCCTGAGGGGTAAACCGCTGAACAATCTGATAAACCATTGATAAACCATAAAACCAATTCTGCATAAGTCAGAGATCGAGGTCTGGATTATTGTAGAAGATACACCTACGAAGGAAGAGCAGGGAGTCGGTCAATATAAAAAAATCACATGACTATATAGCAACAAACTTCAAAGGTAACAAAACAACGTCGGTTTTCAATATCGAGTCTCCTAGAACGACAACAAAATACTTAATTGAATTGTTAATTCAACTATGTACTATAAACTGCACTAATCTTTTTAAAATCTAGTTAGTTATAGCTATTTATGTATAGAATAGCTACTTTATTATATTACTACCTCATCGCCTACTCTACTCCAGGTATGGAGTATGGAGTAAATTACAGGAAATTTATTACCTGAACTCCAACAGCGCAATAGAATGTCAAGCAACTTCCAGAATAAATATCGGAGCCGGCCGAAGGGATCTAGAACAGTAACTAATTAATTATTACCATGATCATACCATACTGCTGGACAATACACCTATTATAGCTGTACTGAAGGTAATCACTTGTACGGCCTCCTATCGCCCGGCGCAGTGACGTACAGCAGACAGTCCGGGCTGTCCCGGTGTCAAGTTTTATCGTCCATGCGCCCCCTGAGGCGATCAATAGGGTGAAAGCGACAGCCAGATGCTTCAGAATCTCGACAGACACTCATCTCCATCTTTCTCAGCAAGTGTGGATACAGTTATCGTGTCTTGTTTTTCCCCGCCGTTAACTAACTACCTAGTAGTTACCTAGTGATTAGTTACCTCGTTAACTAACGTTCCCAAGGCACGCGAGTCTCGGCCCGGTCGCCTCTGCCTCGCGGATTTTTTTCGCTCGTTTCCGTGCCATCCCATTATTATTCCCTCCCACGACTCGACCTGCCTCGTCTCGCCATCGTCTCACTCAGCCCCGCGCCGCGCTGTTTGTCCGACCGGTCGTGATTTATATCGCCCTTTGGAACTGCTGGTTCCCCTCGCGGGTGCTGCAGATGCTCGACGATGGCCTTCAACTTCAACTGGTCCCCGCTGATGGCGGACGCGGGCTTCTACACCCGCGCTCAAGACCTGCTGACGGCCGCGTTGAATAAGTCGCCTAAGCCGCCGATTATCGTCGACGACATTATCGTCACCGAGCTCAACCTGGGCTCCATCCCCCCGGAGCTGGAGATTCTCGAGATCGGTGACCTGGCTGAGGATCGCTTTCGAGGCATCTTCAAGATGTCCTACACCGGCGATGCTTTTCTTACTCTCAAGACTCGCGTCCAGGCGAATCCGTTGAATACATATCTGCTCACGCGCCCAGCGTTTGCATCCCCTCAGCCACTTGCTGCTGCGTAAGTCTCCCTCTACACAGTTGTTTTTTTTTTTTTTTCTGTGCTTGCCGTGCCTTTTGATCCGCTCACATCCGTTAGTACTCCCTTGACCATCCCGCTTCAAATCACGCTCTCCGACTTTAAACTCTCGGGCTTCGTCATCTTGGTTTTCTCAAAGCAAAAAGGCATCACCGTGGTCTTCCGTAACGATCCGCTTGAGTCCCTCAAAGTGTCATCCACATTCGACTCCATCCCGTTCGTACGCGACTTCCTGCAGCGGGAAATCGAGGCACAGCTGCGCATCTTGTTCATGGATGAGCTACCGGCCATCATTCATCGGTTATCTCTCCGCCTGTGGGTGCCGGAATATCGTGCGGGGGAGGATGTGCCAGATACCATGGACCGTTCGACGAGTCCAGGTCCGGGGCAGGATCCGTTGGCTAGTCCTCCGCAAGACCCCGTGGATGCGTTGGGTAACGCCTTGAACGAGTCGGAGATCGAGTCGCTGTCTCTGGACTCGTCGGTGGAGACGCATTCGCTGTTTTCTCAGAAGAACCTGCTTCGACTCGCCGCGTTGACGGATTCCCAACGTACTTTGTCGCTTTTTACGCCATCCATCTGCGAGGTGGTGTATCGCGCCTGGACCTCGCCTTCTGACCCGGCCGACCCGGCCACCAGCGTTAACTCCCCGTTCAGCCCGGCCCTCTCCCGCACACAATCGCAGGTTGGCAGCCTGTCGTCCTTCCAGGATAACGCCAGCACGGTGTCCATGCAAAGTGGCAGGCTCTCGGCACCGGGCCATAGCTTTAACGGGTATGGTCTGAGCCTGGGGGCTGGTCGTCACTCCAAAGCCCATGCCCGCAGGCGTAAGAAGCGTGTGGTGGATTTGCGTCGCCCCAAGACCACCGACGACGCGATGAGTGTCAGCGACGACAGTGCCTTCACCGAATCCACCAGCGCCCCGTCTGTATACTCGGCTCCACTGCCCATCCTGGAAGAACCATCAGATGATCCGGTGACGCCGCCCCTAGTACCTCGGACAGATATGAATCTTCCCGCAGTCCCAGAACGGCATCGATTAAGCATCTCTCGTCCGATTTCTCGCCGCGAAGTCCCCCTCCACCAGATTGTGGAACCTGGAGAAAGCTCCACGACCCGGTTGCGCTCCGATGATCCCGACGCGACGCCTCGAGGCACCGTACGGGCTCGCACCACCACCACCTACCACCCTCGCGACAAGGAGGAGGCCGGTCCATCTACTACCACTCCTCGGCAGCTTCCTGCCTCGGCCATACCCTTTGACCGCGAAGAAGTCCCCTCAAACCTAGTCGACTCGGCACTGGTTGAGAAACTGGCGGGCGAAATCGCCCGTCGCATGCATGAGCAGAAGATGATGGGCCCGAACGCCTGCAACTTCTGGAACCGCCATCATCAGGAAGAGAGCCCTCCACCCGCCTATGGGCAATAAGGCCCTTCCTTCCCCCCTCTTTTATCTTTCCTATCTGTCCCGGGAATCGGTGCAGCGTTTTCTACTTCCTCTTGTTCCCTCTTTCTCGCCCTGGTGGCTTGAAACGATCGTCTCGTCGAGGAGTCTCATGAGTATCTTTGACAAGTCCAGATCTATTAATGACCGATACGACTTTTGATTTATTTATCCTCGTTATCATTTCCTTTCTGGCATGCGTTCAACATGGCGTGTCTCGGCTGTATTACTACTTGGCCTGCGGTGTATCCTGCTTGTTGATCTATTTTTTAATCTCTTTGTCTATACACTGGGTTGCCTTGGTTTTTTTTTATCTACAGGATACCACATTCATTCGGCTTTGTCTTTCTTTTCCTTTTTTTTTTTTTTTTTTTTTTTTTTTCCTGTTCATGCGTTCAAAAAAAAGGGTGGACAGGATTTTGTACAATCTGCAGTGTTTAGTTATTTTTTTTTTTTTTTGGCCTGTCTGAACGAGCGACCAGGTTGTCCATCTGATTCTTTACTAGGTAGTTAGTATTAGGTAGTCATTTTACCTTAACCCTTGATTGTCATTTATAAATACTCACCTCCAGCGTATTGTATTTTATTTTTTACTCCTTAAAAAACAAAATTCCACTCAAGAGTTCTCCGCACAGTTCGTATACGGAGTAGGCCACGATAAAGCTAAAGCCAAAGCTCCGCGCCCGGCCACTCTGGCGTAACTCACTAAACCAGTTCAATTTGCCCCCCCCAACGTCGAAGTCCATTGGAAACCCTGGAACTCGCTGTCCACTCGCTTCTCCTGGTTTCTCCTCTTCCTCGCTCTCCTCCTCCTCCTCCTCTTTCCTTTTATCTCCAGCAGCTTCGCTCTCCATCTTCGGAACCCCCCACCCTTTCGAATAGCTGCTGTGTCTTCTTTCTCCTCCCCTCACAATGGCGGGTGTGTTCAAGAACGTGTTTGGTGGCTCCGAGCCATCAGCACTACCCAAGGTCGAGGATGGTATGACACCGACGAGCCTTTTGTCTTTTATCGCACGTTAGCAGATTGTTAATGAAAAGGAAAAAAATAACTAACGGGGTTTCCTTCAGACTTTGCGGACTTTGTTGAGGCGCCGAATCCCTCGCCTGTGTCCATTGTCGCTTCGGCGTCGACTCCCATAACTGCGGCGGCGGGCACCGTGGGCGCCAGCGGCGTCCCCTATACGAAATGGTACCGGGTGTGGGAGCGCACGTCGCCCAAGGATTTCATGCAGGAGGCGACGATTATGCCGTTTATCCTGGTGATCCTGCTGTTCCACTTTTGGGGCACTCGCAAAAACCGCCGCCAGGCGAGGGAATGGGCCAAGCACCATGCGCCCCTGCTGCGCAACGAGTTCGCCGTCGTCGGGTTCGATGGCATCCGGAGGTCGGCCGAGGCGTCGGAGCTGGCGGCGCCCGAGTCGATTCTCAAGGAAAAGACTGCACAGGAGTTTGCTACCTATGCGACCGGCCGCCAGAATGTCGCCTTCCTGGACGTCTCGATCCAGCTACCTAAGCGCTACAACCCGGTTACCTACTTTATGGAGTATGTGTTCAGCTTCTTCTTCGAGAGCTGGGCGCCCCCGGCCGAACGTATGGAAGCAGTTGCCTACTCATTTGATGGCAAGGAGAAAGATCTGGTGCCTGTACCGGGGGGTGACTCTTCATCGCTCAAGGTCGCCAGCTCGACGCACGACGGATTTGTCTGGGCTGTTGTTCACAAGAGCCAGATGCAGAAGTTCCGCCAGGACCGCTACGATGCCTCCATGACCACAACCAAGGACAACGCCAAGCTGCCCTCCTGGGTGACCGTGATGTCGGAGAGCGCCGAGATTACTGACATGATCCTCACTCCGGAGCTGATCGGCGCCATCGAGCTGGCAGGGAACTCTCTGGAATATCTGATCATCACTGACCAACCCCTTGACAAGCCTATGAAGTGAGTGATATATAAGTACGCTACTAGGATTTGCGTCCCATAGTAACCGTTGCAGGATCGAGGAAACCACCCCGAGAAAGCGTATCCAGCTCTCTCTGTCGCTGCCCTCCGGCCATGATTACGCCTCCACCATCCCCCTATTCACCCAGTTCGTCCGTTTGACAGATCGCCTCGTCGCATCTGCCCACTTCCGGCCCGAGGTCACCCGCAAGCTCCGCAACGCCCGCGAAGAGGAGATCAAGAAGCTGCGCCGTGCTGAAGAGGAGGAAAAGGCCGAAGAGCGCAAGCTCGCGGTTGAGAAGATCAAGAAAGAAGAGCGTGAACGCATCCTCCGTGGCATGACTGCCGAGGAGCAGCGCAAGTACCTGGAACGCGAGAGTCAGAAAGAGCAGAGACGCTCCATGAAGAGGTATACCAAGAAAGCCTAGTCTGTGACTTGCTTTGATTCATCGTCGCTACTGTCTTCTTCTCTATTATTCCATTTTGTTATGGCTCCCCCTCCTCACGTCCAAAGCTCGTGACCCTTGGGGAAAGAAAGGGCAGCTGAGCGAAAAGCGACTTCGATTTTGCACCCATTTACGGTCTTATATCAGATGTAACCATATAACCACTGTGTTTCATGTATGGATTGGCGGGGTGGATGGATGTCTTCTGAGATGTTTAATTAATATATTTTTTTCATCCTCCAAGTAAACCAAGCTCGGTTTCACGTTTCCCTTTCAAGAAGGTACGAATGGTATTTCTCTAGATTTGAAAAAGGAAACTGCATCCAGAGGCATCAATAAAGACCTCCAACACCCTCAGCACAATTGAAACATCTTTATGGGTATCTCACTCTAGCCTTCATTTCATACTTCAGACGAACAGACATACTCAACACATCATTACCTCACTGTCATCACCGTGCACCATCATGGCTCACTGGATTTCTACCCTCCTCATCTTCTTACTGGCACCTGTCTGGTCGATTGCAGCCCCCATGCACCTAGTATGGTCTAACTCATCATCAGAACTGGTTAATCAGCGACGGGTGTCTCGTCTTCCCTTTGGTGCCGTGATCGACAGATGCACTGTCCCCGGCACGGTTGCCTTGACCTTTGATGACGGCCCGTTCATTTACACGCCTGCCATCCTTGATATCTTGCGAGCGAACGGGGCGCGGGTCACCTTCTTCCTAAATGGGCACGGCCTAGGCAAGATCTACGAGAATGCGGATGTGGTGAGACGGGCGATCAACGAGGGACATCAGCTGGGATCACATACGTATGAATGTTTATTGCAATAGAACCTATTCATGCATAATCATCACTCACTCAACCCATCATACTATAGCTGGGGCCATCCATATCTGACTACGCTGGACTACCCCACGATCGTCGCCCAAATGACCCAGCTTGAGACTGCGTTCCGGGATATTCTAGGCTTCTTCCCGACCTATATGCGGGCGCCATATCTGATGGTGAACGGCCTGGTGCTGTCCATCATGGCGGAGATGGGGTACCATGTCATTGGCGCGAGCATCGACACCAAGGACTACGAAAATGACAACCCAGGACTCATCTGGCGCAGCTTCGAGAAGTTCAAGTCCGAGCTGAACGCTGGAGGGAATATCGTCCTGGCACATGATGTCCATGAGCAGACGGTCCGGACGCTGGTCCAGAACATGCTCAGCGAGATCTACGGAAGGGGAATGCGAGGTGAGTGCACAGTAAACTTGGGTTATCACCTAATATGCTGACCATTTAGTGGTTCCTGTTGGCGAATGTTTGGATGATCCACCTGCTGAGTGGTACCGAGGGAGTCGTTAGGAATGTATATTGCCTTCTGCTAACGGTCCATTCGCTCCGCGTGCTGATCCGCATCGAGCAAGCAAGTATACCTAGAAACCTAATAGCCTACTAGTTATCCTATCCATAATGCATGCTGTCCTTTAACTTGGGGGTGTATTTGTATATGTCTATGTACATGTAAAGGTCTGTCTGTGTCTGTGATCTGACCATCATCGACCGTCTACTTGCTGCCGAAAATCTTGAGCCGCTCCTCAACCGGCTTCTGGGTCTTCTCGCCCGGGGCACCCTCAGGGCTGCCGAAGACCAGCTGGGAGATCAGGCGCCACTCGGTGGGGAGATCCCACTCCTTGGCGACGGCGGCGTCGATGAGGGGGTTATAGTGCTGCAGGTTGGCACCGAAGCCGAGACTTTCCAGACCGGTCCAGACTAGAGAAATCAGTATGTTCCAACCAAGCAAGTTAAAAATGGGGAGGTCTTACGGAAATACTGGTGCATGGCGTTGGAGTGCTCAGCCCACGGGGCGAAGTGGTCCTTGTAGATGGCGAACTTCTCGGAGAAGGGCTTGATGTGAGCGGGATCTTCGTAGAAGAGGACCTATTTTGTTAGCCATATACATATAGAGAGAGAGAGAGAGAGAGAGAGAGAGAAAGAGAGAGAAGTGCAAGTCTTACAGTTCCAGTAGCAGCCTTCATGCCCTGCAACTTGGGCAAAGTCCTTTCCTTCCAGACATCCTCCGGGACGGTTCCGGACTTGACCAACCCCTCGAAGGTTTCAATGGTGATATCCCACAGACGGTCGTGGTCCTTGTTCAGCAGGAGGACGAGCCGGGTGGACTGTGTGTTGAAGGAGCTGGGCACGTTCAGGATGGCGGCGCGAACAAGGTCCTCGACCTTGCTGTCGGGGACGACGGGGTTCTTGCCGAGTTGGTAGATTGTGCGGCGGCTCTCGGCCAGCTTGATCAGGGCGTCGGTGCTGGACATGGTGGTGGTGGTGGTGGTGGTGTTCTTGGATGAGTAGTAACGACTTGGTTGGTACTTTAGAGGGGAAACTGGTGAGAAAGGGGAGTGGTGGAGTCTGGTAGAGCGGGAGAGAGTGAAGATGGAGCGACGGAGCACACGAGACGTGGACATTATGTAGTATTATATATGTAGTAGGGTCTGTGGGTGGGGGAAAAATGGGAGGGGGGAGGGGTTCAAATGGATTGGTTAATGTGGGCAGCTAATCTATCGCCTCTTTTTGAAAATGTATTTGCATAGATTACTGAGTACTGAGTAAATGCAATTGACTTTCTTTTTTCTTTGTCAGTTAAGGAATGGCATCGTCTGGTACCTGACAAATCGGCGGATGTGCGGAATCGCGGAATTACGGAGTAGCAAAAAAGGTGGGCAATTAGTCAAACGCATTGGATGTGGCTGGAATAATTTCGAAGATTTCTAATAATATTCCTTCCTACGGAGTAGATCTAACTGACTCGAAACACGGAGTATGTACTACATATACACAGTAATTAGGCTAATCTAACCATAAGCATCTAATCTGGCTTACTTTGTATAGAGTTGCTAGAGAGTAATCTGACTGGCTGTGATACTCATGAGATTATCTAAGTACCTGAACTTAATGCACTACCAGGGCTTTATTAGAGGACTAGGATACATTATTACCTTTAAAGGTCATTCACAATATAAAGAGCTTGGTGAGAGGTTGAATCATGAAGGCCTGAGACTAATATTGTACCATTACTATTTCATATATCCATTTGCTTCTATCTGATGATATACAAATACCCCTGGATCTATCCGAGGACTTCATTTTCCAGAGGATGCTGAGAAACAGGCTTAGGATGTGATTAATAATAGTAGTAGTCAATAGCTGATTCTGAGACCGGCAGTTGATCCATACTCAAGTACCGGTTAGTCAATAGAACTAGATACCTAGCTAAAAGAAGATTATGATTGTGATAGTTGAAAATAATAAATATAATTAGCATAGAGCTATCATCCACCTCCTATTACCCATAGGCCCTGAGGAATGCTCTGCGTAAGAGCAATAAAGTCTTCGTTATAATTTATAGATATCACATGCTGTGGAGATACTCCCTCTGTTCCTCTAATACTTTATCCTTTCATTTAGACATGACTCAACCCTCATGCATATCATTATCTGGTGCTGTGTTCCCATGATGCATTAAATAAAAGGGAGGAACATCGATCAATCAAGATGTAGGAGATATTCGTCCGAGGGCACATTCGCTGTCTATGTCTATCTGACTGCTATGAGTGGCTGAGTACCAGCCCTCGTAGACCAGTCGCTTCTCCAGCTCAAGCCAGTACTGCGCTTTCCCACCAGTGGTGGTTTTTAGGTCCAAATCCCCGAGTCGGATATCAGGGATGCTACCGTCGTGGGGCATCTTGAAAAAAAAAAGGGGGGTTTAGTTTAAATATAAAAACAGAGAGACTGGAGTGAATACCTTGATGAACATGGTGCAGTCTCGCAAGGTCATGGCCAGCGACATCTCGCGGGAGTGTGCGGGAGGGCCACGCAAACCGACTTCCTTCATGGCTCGTTGATGCGACTGCAGCTTCAGCAGCGTGCGGTTGTGGTATAGCACCCGTGCGAGGAGCATGGGATCCTTGCATCCCTGGATGAAGCGGGTCGCACGGAGCACGTGCTCGAACTTGTCGGAGACAAGATCAAGCGGGCAGAAAGACTCCTGGCCTGCTAAGCCCGCTAGCCGAGCCTCCTCGTTCTTCATCTCCCGCAAGGCACAGGTACGGCATCGGCGGGCGTTCACTGGGGCCGAGGGCGACTGCAGGAGCCATTTGGGCTTCAACTCTGCCAGGGTAGCGACCGTCGGGTCCCCGAACGTAGTCATGTCCGTAATTAGAAGGCCGAACGGTTCGGTGGCAGAGAGGTAGACACCATGCCGTTTCTTGGGCCGCTGGTGCTCCCGCTCCGCCACCCGCAGATGCTCGTTGCATCGCAGCACAAGCCCGGCGGGCAGTCGCACCAACTCCTGGTCGACTAGTTCATCGGGCTCGAACAACGGACGGATCACACGGTCGAAGCTCCGAGACGTGTCGCGGTACGGAATGGCTGACGTTGTTTCCTTGCGCAGGCGGAGTACCTTTCCGTGCAGCTTCAGCGGTACGCACGCGAGGTCGGTCACGAAGCGATAGATGATATTGGCGCCCCCTTCGGCGAGGTAAACCAGCCGCACCCCGACGGGGAGCTCCAGCACGTCGGGTTTGATCATCTGTCGAATAGGTGAGGCAGCTTGCAGCGTCGTCGGCGTCTTTTCAACAGAACCATGGCCGCAATCTGCACCAGGCGCAGAGAGGGCTGTGACGGCGGTCACCCCAACAAAAGCGGCAGCAGAGGTCGCTATAGCCAGTGACATTCAATCCAGACAGTTCGAAAAAAAAAAAAAAAACCTTGTAAGGAAAAAGACCATGAAACAATCAAGGATGACGAGCCTCCAGGCCTATGCAGAGGCAATCGGAACTATATACGACAGCCTCAGTCTGGCCTAAAGCGGAAAGGTAAAAGCCTTCGGCCTACAAATGATGCTAGTCTGCAGTAGACGAAGGGGGCAAAAAGCAAGAGCACCGCGAATCCTATTTCGCACAGAGATTCTAGCGCGGCAATAGTACGTAGGGCTAGGGGCAGCAAAGCCTGGTCGTGGAGTCAGTCAAAAGCAGAGACAGGGATGCGGTCCGGCATCTAACACGCCCTGTCTGCCATGACCCCCAGGGGGGGGAAGGGGACGGCTGTCTGACTATCAAACGCTTTCCCAGCTCCTCGGTTCCGCGCACGGCCGCGAAAGAAGAACACCGCCAGGGATTATCCAGAACAAACGCGTGGGATTGGGTAGATCGAGCGAGGCAGTGGCGAGATGGAATGTTTTGGTCGGGGATAGCGCAGGCAATAAGATCAGAGACGAGACAGCGTTGGGCAGGCACCTGCTGACGCCTCAGCAGCGAAGTACTCCGTAGAAAGAAATAATAAAATAGGCAGGACCAAACGATAGTATTTATCTTTCTGGTTGAGCAGGACAGCGTCGTCGATCGTCGATCCAGTGGATCACTGAGATAGTCCTGGAGGAATTCCCGCAGAGCAACGGGCCTAAAGCGGGACGCATCACCGCCTCCCCGGATAGAGACAGGAGGAGGGACAACAGCTGGAGGCAGCTGAGGCTGATGGCCTAGTCATTCTGAGCTGAGAGCCTGCTGGAATTAACCTGTCTACTATAATCCAGAGGAGTTATTGCGACCTATCCCAGAGATCTGACACGTCTCGGCATTCTGACTGACCCCGCATCTCATTCAACTAACACAGTCCGTGGTACTCCGTACGCCGTACGGAGTATTCCATGTGCTGACCTCGAAGGACTGGAAATTTGACGAGGAAATAAAAGCGTGGCATATAGTCAAGGAAGGGGGGGGGGGGGATTCAGACGATCGATGAGATCATGGTACATGGGCGTTTGACTCCGTGGAGGCCCTGAGGGCGACCCCACGGTGATAGTGACGCTACTGCATTGGATTTCCGCCCAACTCCTCCGACCTCGACTCGACTACTGCCGACACCCAGACCACGTACTACATACACACACACCGTGTCTGTCCGACGAGAATGGCATCCTCCGCAACTCTTCCGACCGACATTGGGTCCATCCCCACGCCAGCTCACTGTACCGCAGATTTTTGCCTGATCCCGGTATGTATAGACGGTTCCTCTTGCCCTCTTCCCCGGGAGCCTGGGGGCAGAGCTGTCAAAATCTGATCTCTCGGAATCCAGAGTACCTGGTACCTCCGTACAGAAACTATTCCCGTACTTCCGGCCAATTAGCTAACCCGTCTTCCTCCTGCAGATTGGCACCGCGTCGCCCTCCGTGTCCGCCCAGATCGCCGACGTCCAGCGTCTCGTCGAGAAATCCGGTCTGAAGTATGTGATGCACTCGGCCGGAACGACCCTAGGTGCGTCTTTTCCCAACAGCCGATAGTACTCCGTACTCCAGTACAGAGTACTACATACGGAGTAGAGATCTGTGGCCATACAAGAGGATGGAGGACTTTCCGTACGCCTCACATGCGTCCCGACCAATATTCCCCTTTTCGTACCTCTGCAGTACAAGTGGGCATCCAGTGCATATCTAATCCACTCCCCTCTCCCTTGGTCTTGGTCCGAACATCGCTGGCAGCATTCATCGCCATTCAAAATAATATATATATATATATATATATATATATACGGAGATGCGGAGTCGCAGTCCTCCGTCCACTAGAGGGGGAAGGTTAAGAGTAGAGACTGACGTACCATTTTAGAAGGGCCGTGGGACCAAGTCCACCGCGTCATCGGCCAGGCGCATACGATTCTGCATGCCCAGGGTATCCTGCGCATCCAGACAGATATCAGGTCTGGCTCAAGGTGTGTGTCGTGCGGGGGTCAAGTATCTCTTTACATCGACTGATCATATTCCTGCGTAGGATCGATAAGGAGCAGTCCTTTGAAGACAAGGTCGCCAAGGTGCGCCAGATACTGGCCAAAGATACAGAGTAATCCACCGGCCTTATTCGAGTACGTCTCTAATCTAGGAATGTATGTAGTATGTATGTGATACGAATATATTCTACAAGCTCATATCCCGGTATATAATAGAGAAGTTATGTAGTACACATCCAAATAACGCCGTTCGCTCTTCCATGCCCTTGGATAAAGCAAATAATAAATATTTGGGGGGGGAAAAAAGAGGGAAAAGGAGATTGCTTAACCGTCATATACGGAGTATTCATAAGTCATAGACTGATCCCCCCACCTAGGATACTCCCCCAATCACCCCCGGCCCAGATCCACTCCCCCACGCTGGGATCGGAGCCCGACTCTACAGAACTGACGAGGTTCACTAGGCCCTTGTAGACGTTGGCGTACGTGCCGTCGCCGTCGATTTGCTCTGTCGTCGCGAGGTTGGAGATGTTCAGCCGGCCCACGGGGGAGGTGACGTTGTTTAGCTTGTCGACGGTGTCGATCGCGGGACCCTGGTCGAAGAAGTCAACGAGGATGAAGCTCGGCTGCCGGCCGGACCAGTCTTCCTTGCACTTGGTGGCTGTGTCGCCCAGGTTGCCCGTCCCGCCTGAGGGGGCGTTGGTTGTCGGTGCGTAGCTCGAGTTGGGATATTCGATGAGATCCAGCAGCGTTGTCGCGTACAGAAAGTGGTTCATAAAGGGGAGGCGATTCGAAGCTAGCGCGGTCGACAGTTTGTCGTTCAGGCTGCTGGGCCGGTTGGGTTCGCAGGAGAAGTTTGACGGCGTGGTCACGTCGTAGTTGTTCTCCCAGATGTATGTGAATTCATCCATAAGATACGGGGCCGCCGTGTTGTTGGACGAATCCAATGACGCAACAAAGGTCATCAGTCGGGTTCCATTGCTAATCAGTTCCTCCAGAGTTGGCCATGTATCCGGCGCCGAGCTTGACGAGGGGGTGTATGTGTAGTTGACGATGTTGGCAGTCTCGAACTCCGAGTTCAGCTCCGATGCCGTTGCGTCGTCCGAGTTGACGATCAACACCGTCACCACTGACAAAACAGTCAATCCCTATTCCCTCAACCAAACATAGGGCTGGCTATATGTACCTTCGTTGAGGTTCGAGTCCAACCAGCTCTTGATCTCCGATAGCCATGTGCTTAGCTTCCCGACATCCAGGATGTCACAGCTGGTGTGGCAGAGACGCCATTCCGAGCCGTCCTTGTGTACTTGAGCCGTCACTAACCGCACGCCCGCATCCAGCTGGATAGTTGTATTGTAGTATCTAGCAGCGAAGGCAAAAAAAAGAAACATATCAGCATGTCTGCCCACAGCATCTTCTCACTCGCCCGTTCACACTTACTGGTTTGCAGCCACTGTGTAGTCGTCCGAGGCATCACGCACAAAGGGACTGTCGTGGGCGCCTAGATGTGTGATCTCGCCATATGACTTAGAACAGAGATCTGGGGAATTGTTGCAGGCTGTTGTTCGCGGTAAAACCACTGTCGCGGTGACGACCGATAGCAGTAGCGATAACAGACCGAGTCCGAGCATCTCGTTCAGGGCGATCCCGAGAGTTTGTATAAACGAAAGGAGAGAGCGAAGGGGTGCCCTCGAGGCTCACGATGGACAAACTGATGTATGCCTAGTTATCAACTCCCTACCGAGACTTGTTATCTCATCAGTAGGAGATGCCGGTAGCAGACGTTGAACAGAAGTACTCCGTAACTCTGTCGGTGCTCCAATCTCACTGTCATCATAACAAACAAGGCTGTGCCAGCAACAAGTGTGGCCCCCCCCCCCCCCCATCACTGTCCAGAGCTCGAATCAACTACTCAGCATCGAGAAAATGCAGTCGATCGTCGTCGAAGGTGGAGAAGGCAGGGGTCGTTTTCAATGGAGGGAGGCAGGGCTCCAACAAACCACCCTTCGGGTAACAATCATCGCTGCCTGGAATGCCGCACGCCATCTATTCTTAGCAGCGGACGGGAACCCGGCTTACTGAGGCTCTCAAGAGTCTGACGCTGTTGACGCAGCCACTGCGCCATCAGGAGCGCGGGGGGGCAGTGTTTCTGGGCAGTCCCCAGGATCAAATCTGATCGGCGACCGAGACAATGGTGGACGGATCATAGTGGACCGTGCTGTATGGAGTACATTTTGAGACGAAGCATTAAAATGTCCCTACTACATATGGAGGATTCCGTACGCTATGGCGACAGAACATATTTCGCATGGGTTTAAAAAATTATTAGAGTACATGATCTATATACAGTTATTTCGTATTCAAAATGGCTCGCAGCGTTCGTCGAGCCCGATGCAGGGACATCTTGGTCGTTGGATTGTGAACCAGCCTGTGAAATCTGTCTGGGCGAAGGCCAGGAAAGAGCAACACCGTACCCCAGGCATGATGGATGTCGTTGATTACCTGTCGCAGCCCGTACGGATTCTCCCGACGGAGGATGCGGTTGATGCGTCGGGCCGAGTGCCGAGGGGGCCCGTAGAGAACGTTCAAGCGGCGTTGACAGGTTCGGCGGATCTCTGTCTCGCAGAGCCGTACGCCTCGTTGGCCCAGTTCGCGAAGTAGCACCAGGCCGCGTACCCAGGGCACGAACTGCCCCTTCTTCGCTTGAGATGGGCTGTGAGCTTGCTCTCCGTCGGGGGAGGGTGGGATCCGCAGTTTGAAGCCCCATGCGACTATCGCTGCCTGCATCTGGGGGTTGAAGATGGCCTCAAGAACGCGATCACCGTGGCCAGGATGTACCAAAGCCCGTGAAGTGAGAGTCATTGGCTTCTGACCGGCGGAATACTCCTGACTGAGCCAGAGGCAGCACTCACGCAACTCATCCCAGTGATTGCCCATTCCCATGCGTTTTAGCATCTCGATCCAGAGCTCCGGATGGACATCGCCGCCGGCGGAGACAACTCGCCGAAGGATCTGCACCACCAGAGCCACCTCGTCTCTGGGTGAGAGAGCCCGGCCCTGATTTGGCCCCGCCCCTTTTCTCCGGGGGGTTACAATCTGCCCGACCAAGAAATCCACGCTCTGCGTGGTCAGCCTCTTTCCTTGTAGAAACAGTTCATCGGCAATTTTGGAGGCTGGCTTCCATTCGCCAGCAGCAATGAACTTGCGAAACTGGATGTTGAGCAGCTGTGGTACGTCAACAAGTTCTCCTAGAATAGCCCAGGTGAGGTTGTACTGGCGCCAGTCCTGAGCCATGTAGTGTGACACGAAGAACGACTCTTGCAATGCGACATCCTCTAGCACGTCAGGGTGTTGGTCGCTATGTAAAAGTTCATTGAGAAGAATTTCGCGGTTTTCCACAGCGAGTTTGCGTAGAAGCCGAGAGAAAGTCGAGTCGCTAATAGCGATTCCCGCTTGACGGAGCGCTTTCAGCTTGTTAAGTATATCCTGGTTGCCGTGGGCCCTTATGGCCATCTCGCGCAAGGAATGTGGCCCAATAGCTGACACTCCGAACATCCGCAGCCCAGCAACTACCATCTCAAATGTGAGCGCCTTTGTAGCAAAAAATCGTGCTCCAAATTCATCCTTGAAAGGTTTCTCTCCAACCCAACTGCCTCGATCGGATTTCAAAGCTGAGCTACCAGAACCACTTGCTGTTTTGGTAGCTGAATTGTGCGAGAAATGGGTTTCGACATAGTCCTCAAGAGTTTGGGATGTACTTCGCGAGGCGTATCTTTTAGCGTACGTGAGGAGTCGTTGTATCTCTTCGGCGTTCTTCGGATGATCGTGTCGTTTGACCAGGCAGTTGTGCATTGAGATTGCATCCTCCATAAGACCTCGATGCAGGAGGGCTGAAATGACGGGTGCGTAGATTTGATGGCCTTCGACCGTACGGCATATCTTTTGAAAAGCCCGTGCGCCACGAGAATTGTGAACATCTGCGTTCTGAGACCAGTTCGGGAGGCTCATTAGTTTCGAGTCCTGCACTGGTGTCAGTGCTGCGTTGAGTATTCGCAGAATATCATTTGGATGAGCGAGGTGAGGATGCTGGAGTTTTTTGTGCCATCTGACGGCCTGAGAGGTGAGGCCGCGTTCGAAAAAACCGCCAACTATCGTTTCGTAGAACCCAGCCCATTTCCCCCCGGTCCTTTCCCATACTCGTAGAGCGTAATCTGCTAGGTCTTTCAAGAACGTGTCCCGTTTCAAACCTAGCTGAATGAAGGTGTGCCAAAAAAAGTCTGCCTGCTCTCCCTGGGTTGGCAAATTCACTTCTTCCAACCGCATCGTAAGACCCTTCCAGATTTCCAGAATACCGTTGTCTCCATAGTGTCTTTGCCGGTAACGAAGAAGTTCTTCCCAGAGGGCGAAGTCTTGCTGAGAGTCTGGGTGGTCAACCAGCCGCGTTCCGATGTCCCTGGTGTGACCAATATTCGACTCATAATCCAGTTTCTCCGACTGCAAGCCCAAGGTCTTTATAAATGTAGTGCAAACATCAGCTTGATTGTGGGCTCGTAATCGGCGAGCGTTCTTCGGCAGAGGCGTAATTTCGTGTACGGCAAAGCTATAGCGAGGATGGCTCGGAGTGTCGTGGCTTAAAGGATCTCGAATTTCCGGTTCCCATTCAACGGCTGCGGTTTGCTGCGTGCCTCGTGTCTGACACCGTGCGCATCTGAATCGAAAGCCCAATTGCTCGACACCGGCCGGGGCTGCTATCAGCGAGTCGAGTATTGAGACAGCCGACGGCCTCTTCAACAATCGAAGAAGAGCCGGGCGCATGAGTTGTGAGAGGAAAACTGAAAAAGGACGATCTGAACATGGATCATTCTCACTCGATTCTAGTATCGAAAACCGAGTGTGTACAGCATCGCCTCGCTGAAGACTCTTCTGCTGTCTATCCTCAACTTCTCAGAGTAATAATAATAATGCGCCCGTATAGCGCTATTCCCTTTGCGGACAAGCGCCTCTTGATATCACGTGACTCTTAGTAAGGGCGTGACCTGATGGGTGGAACGAAAGTCAGGCAATACTCGACGACATTGTGAGCTCTCTCCTCCTGCAATTGACTGCTACCGCCGGCTCGAACGTCTTTCCCGCCGTATCCATACTCCAGAAAAATGGTGTCCCGCACTCTTCCTCGCATGGCCGGGTACGTTGTTTCGCTTGTACTCTTCACACACAACGCCAGCCTCGCAGATTCGGGTGGCAGCAGACGAGGGTTGAGCGGTTGATCAACTCAAATCTCACCCGGCTGCCGGATCCGCAATTGGGTGATTTGATTCAAGATTCCTCAATAGCTGTGCTGACTGAAGCTTGGTTGTCTTTTAGATTCGTGTTCCGCGAAAACCGTGTCCCCTACTACCAGCGTCTCTTCCAGAAGCACGACGGCAAGCGCCAATGGTACCAGGTCAGTACAATTACAGGCAACGCATCGATATTTCTGGGCGGAAACGAGTTTTTCTAACGTGACATGCGTGGTCAATGGTTCAGACTGAGCGCAGCAACTACATCATGTACCCCTACCTGCTCTCCGTCTACGGTCTGGGCATTGGTAAGATCGGCCCCTCCATCACGACATCAACATCTCTCGCGGATAACTAATGGCTTCCTCAGCTTCTACCTACGCCATGATCCGTATGGTCTTTGTGAGTTTATCTTCTTTTCTTTTTCTAACCTCCCCTCGGGTCTTTGGCTTCTCCCGGCCTCTTTGTTAGTTATGACTAGAGACTAACATTTAAAATAGGGCAAGAAGACCTTCTTCGGAAAGGAGTAGGCTGGCCGTCGATAGGCAGCTTTGTGATTCTCTATCAGATAAAACAGCGCTCGTTGGCCTCGGTTGGTGGTGTGTTTATCGAGTTGGATGCAGGGACCCCCGTATGAATCAACGCTGTATATACGGTCAAGCAGGGCGCTAGAAATTGTATCGTTTATTCAATTGATCTTTGAGATTCCTCAATTACTTGATGGGTACCTATTTCTTCTATTCATCCGACTATCTCACCGCCGAAGGATTTCCAACAGTGAAATCGATAGGCCGCTTATGCCTGAGGTTTTCTAGATCCAGGCGATATTTCTTAGCCTATCATATCCCCCTGCAATATTCGATGCTCTGATAGACCAGCTGTAACCATACTGAGACAAAATTCTTTCATTCCACAATAGCTCGAATGTGCAGGTCAAGACCTATCTTACAACCAGCCACATGTTTATAGTAGGAAGGAAACCAGAAAGACTACGAAAAGCACGTTCTTTTTGGAGATCTTTGAAACAGATTCAGGTCCATACCTACTACCTACTACCCCCTCGTAGGTGTTGATTCTTGCTTCAACAATGTGTACGACCAGACACGATTAGTCAGCCAAGGATTAAGGTGCCTTCTTATTGCGGAGACAACCATTCAGCGTGATAAGATCGAGGGTCTCTCGCGTATAGCAACAATGAGCTTCTAGTCAGCTCTAGCCATGGAATCCGAGTAAATGGAAGCTTGCGATAGATTCTTTTTCATCGGTTGGGAGTAGGAATTCATTTTTCTACCGAGCTATAGGTAAGTTACCGCTCTGGCATGGTATCCTCGGACGCACCGCGTATATCTCAATGAGAGGCCATCTATTCTACCAATGATCATATCTTTTTCATTGGTACTTGTTTTTGATATGTCTCTAGAATGAACGAAAGGGGTCCAGCATCTGCTGAGCGGCCAGCTAAGAGGGTCCGCCAAGCGTGCGAGCCTTGCAGGTTAGCCTGTGTTGATTTGACTGTTGGCTATTGGAGTATTATACTCACACTGTTTGGCAGACGGAAGAAAGCAAAATGTCCAGGAGAACAGCCGGTCTGCTCTCTCTGTGCTCGGCTACGACAGACATGTATGTATGCAGGCGAGAGGCGCAGATCACCTGTGAGCGGTGCTCCTATCCCAGATATTCCTGCTACTCTTGTTTCAGAAGTTCGGTTATCACAGCTTTTGGTAAGTATTGGCGCAATCTTGGGTCTTACGTTCTGCTAACCGAGTCTTTTTTGTGAAGGAGGACCGTCTAGATGGCCTGGAGGCAAAATTGGGGTGCGTCCTTGACGCATTAGAGTATGTTGCCTTGTCCCGGAGAAACAACTTTGGATTGCTGTTGATACTAGATGACTAGACCACGCCCCCCAGTCAACATGCCGCAATGTACTTTTAATTCAATCCCACCAGTTACCACGACGGCTTCAATGACTTTAGCGGTGCAGGATTGTCCGGTTGTTCTTCCCACATGGGAAAAGGTCCTTGCCATAGCTGAGTTATATCTCATATATTGTGACTGTCAACCACTCCCACTGTTCCATCGGGACAGCTTCATTGCAGGTCTTGGTGGGCGGGAACCTGAAATCATCTACGCCATACTTGCACTAGCTATACGGTTCTCAGAGGACACGTATCGTGACACGGAGGATCTTGTGAAGCAGATTAATGGCTACGCTGAGGTCGCACGGAGCCTTGTTATGAAGAGAGTCTCACAGGGTCCCGTTGAGCTCTCGACCCTTCAGTGTCTCTGCCTCCTCAGCTTAGTAGATTTCACTAGTAAGTGCTCCAAAGAACAACCTGGGATATCGATACTAATTTATTACTGTAGATGGGAATACGCATCGTTCCAATATCCATAGCAACCTTGCTATGAATCTAGCTCAATGCTCTAACTTAGCCTCGGACATTCGTGGTGCGTCTCCAGCCATCCGCGAGGAGCGACGACGGTGTTTCTGGAGCATCTGTCTTCTCAATCGTCTGCACGGTGGGGATTTTACCGTCATGGATTTTTCCGAAGGAGAATTGCCTCCTTATCCTCAAAGTGCTACTAAGCCACCATTCATTTCATCACCACAAACAACAAGAAACGATGACAGATCAGCCCATATGTCCGACCAGGGGATCGTTGCGTACGTTACTATGCTCTCCCAGGTATATTCACGAGCAGCCAGATATGTTAGGCTTCATGGAAAGCCAAGTAGTATCCCGCCGTGGTCTGCCGAATCAGAATACTCAAAGGTGATCGCTCTGCAAATGGAACTCGAAACCCGCGTGCCTTACACCCATCGTTTCAAGGTGGCGAATATCGGTGATAGAAGCTTGGAAGAACTCCAAGAGCACCGCGAATACTGGGGCCCTTGGTTTTTGAACCAGTTTTTATACCATACTATTTTGTGTCTGCTAAACCATCCGTTATTGCTGTCCCTGAGTCTTCGGAATTTCCGAAGTACTATCCCAGAGATATTCCTCCAGCATATTTCAGACCTCATATCCTCCCACACAACCTGGATTATTCATTTCATCAACTTCTTCCAAGAGAAGTCATTTGTGGTATCCGATCCGTTTTTGGGGTACAGTGCAGCGGTTGTAGCTACTATCGAGCTACAGCTCAGCTTCACCGAAAACGCCGCCATTAGAAAAGAGAAGAGGAATCGATTCTCTACATGTGTTAGTTTTGTACGAGATCTTGGTAGGAAGTGGCCTCACATGGCACGTTTGGTGAGAATTGGTCCCCCCCCCCTTTCCATCTTCCCCCTTTCACTTCATGGTCATTCCTCTCAGCTAACAATGGTGGCCTTATTCAGGCAGATCGACTTGAGAGACTTGAGGGTGCCGTTTCAGCATCGTATCAGGCAGATGGTCAACACAACCAGAGCCTCCTGATTGATCTCTCCCGCTTCTGGGAGATCCTCGAATATTCTTCAAACAGCGACGCAGACTCTGCTCGGCGACTTTTCGGCGATTCACTTTACTCGAAACCGCCAACCGTGGATAATGAAGTATCACAGACTTCTCCGCTCCCGGAGCCATATCGGCTAGATGAACAACAGCCCCGATCACGGACACCCTCCAGGGACTATGATGGTATCACTACTATGTTCCCAGCTGGAGCAGACTACGGGATCAGTGCAGTCTCCCCGCAGCCACTGGATCTCTCCAACGATGAGTTTTCTATCCTTGCTACCAACTTTTTCTCTCAGGGACAGGATTTTCTGCGTGTTGGAGAAGGTAGAGATGACATGGGAAATTTCTGAAGTCAACCATGAATAGCGTTGCCAATAGTCTATTCGTACCATCCAGTGGATCATGGCTCAGATAAGAGTTGACACGGGCGAGCTCTACCCATCCCTAATCACTTACAGTTCTGCGAAGCAAAAACGCCCAAGAACTTATTTTACAATGGGGTAGGCACTATTATTGGATTCACGCTTACCATAGACGATCCTGCTTTAATCTACGACACCATGTTTCTCATGAGCAGAGAGGCCCACTATGGCTCTATGTATTCTTCAGGATACTTTTCCATGGCCCCAAGCTGCGAACCTAGAGAGTTTCCACAGAAATATATGCATGGTTCTGCACAGACCTGAAACTATATCTCTCAGCTGGCGATGAAGAGAGCTGGGGAGTTTCTTACTCATAAAGCTTTGCTGGACATTTGCAGTCAATATTTATCTTAAGAAAGAGATAATACAGTCCTTATGAATATTAATCAAAGAACCCTCAGAGTCTAGAAGTGCTGCATACTCCTTGTCGCTGCATTGTCTCGGAATATTGTCTTGGATAGCCTAGAGCCGTTGGTTGTTTCGGTGATCAACATTTTGCAATAATCTGACTAGCCAAGGACTGCTTACATCAGAATAGAGGACCTTTCAGACACAAGGAGCCCATTCATATCATTGAATGATTACTCTATCTATGAAATTCTCGGTTTTTTCCTTTGGTTGGAACTCTGGTCCACGATATCGCGACCCGGATGTCTTCCGCTTCCGCCTCAGCAGAGAGTCCGCTCTCGGCAAAGAAGTGGAGGATAAACAGGCCACGACATTTGGATAAAGAAATTTCCACCTGACAAAATCTCCCAATTGGATTATTTGTTGTCCGAACGAAAAGACGCTGCTCCTGTCCCAGTTTTAATGGTTCAGCGGATACCTGGTCTCCCCCCTGGTGGCTTCTGGTGGTTTCTGGAGCCAGGCCAATGAACCACGGACGAGCCAATTGATATACCGGGGAGGATGACAGAATGTTTTCATATCTACTATTATCCGTCTATATGATGGGCCGGCTCACTTCCGTGTTGGTTCCGTATGGAATCAAACGACCAACACTTGGCCACTATAGTCTTCCCGGCCACAATTGAGTATTTTATGTGTCCTTCTCTGATGATATATATTCAAACACGTTGATAATACCAGAGGAGATCTTGGAGGTATCTTCAAGACCACAGTTTGGGGTGTACCTCTCTCTTGTTTTGATAATATATCTCAAAAAGAGGTTTGTGTGCAAATTATCAAGTCAACTGAAGCCTATAATAACACCCTGACTTAGGAACTTAATGTACAAAAATGCTGCAGACTTCCGAATTCATCTTGGATGGATATGCAGTCTCCCTCCGCACAGGTTTCCTACCGGAGACACTTCCGCTCGTGAAGTTACCAGACCGTCTGTATGAACCGTGGGAGGATATTGCTTCTGCCTTACCCACTCTCATACAGAATGGAAATATCAGGCAGTCTATCGAGGCTCTTCCTGTTATGTCGACTGCAAATCTTCAGAGCGAGTCAGAATGGCAAAGAGCGTATCTGATGCTTGCCTTCTTCACACACGCATATATATGGGGAGGTGAAAAGCCTAAGGAGGTAAATATAATGGCATCTCTCCGTACATTACTCATAGGGGAAGTGCTCATCTCTTCAAGATCCTCCCGCCTGCTATTTCATCCCCGTTTCTTGAAATTTCACGTCATCTCGAGCTTCCTCCTTGCGCTACATATGCCGCCTTGGTCCTATGGAATTATACCGCTCAGTCTTCGGAACCTGATCTCACTAATGCAGACAAGCTTTCTCTTCTCTGCTCTTTTACGGGGACCAAGGACGAAGAATGGTTCTACATGATATCTGCGGCTTTGGAGGCCAGAGGTGCAAAGCTCGTGCCAGTGATGCTCAGCGCGATAGATGCTGTCAAGACCAATGACTCTCAACGCTTGGCTAGTCTGTTACAAGATTTTGCTCAAGGCATTCATGACCTCTGTCTGATTCTGGAACGCATGTCTGAGAAGTGCGCTCCACCGGTCTTTTTTCACCAGCTTCGACCTTTCCTGGCCGGCAGCAAGAACATGGCTGCTGCTGGATTACCTCGGGGCGTTTTCTATGACCGCGGAGATGGGCAAGGCGAGTGGCATCAGTACAGCGGTGGCAGCAATGCACAGAGCTCTTTAATTCAGGCTCTAGATCTCTTCTTGGGGATAGACCATTCCGCCACCGGGGAACTGCAGGCCAACAAAACCTCTCAACCATCTGTTAAGCACCCATATCTCCAGGTAAGTTATTTCTTTCCATCATTTTTATTGTGGGTATCTCATCCTGTGAGAATTCAGGTTAATTCTGTCATCATAGGAAATGCGCAACTACATGCCAGGGCCGCACAGGCGTTTCTTGGAGCTGATGGCCCGAATCTCGAATGTTCGGGCATACTCCCTAAGCCACAAAGCCGGCTCAGCTGTGAGAGATGCGTACAATGAGGCTGCTTTGATGTTGGGTGTCTTCCGAGACAAACACATACAGATCGTGTCGCGTTACATCATCATGGCTGCGCGTACCAGACCACCAATCGCCGAATCGAGGCAGGTCAATCTTGCCACAGCTACCTCCCAAATGGAGGACCTGAGAGAATCCAACGCGAGCGGGTTCTACGGCACTGGTGGGACTGTCTTGATTCCTTTCCTGAAGCAGACACGAGATGCAACAAAGGCAGCAGCCTGCTATACATAAGAACTCCGGAAGAATGGCGATTTGTCAATACCCATTTCTTTCGCTTCATGCATATATATTTATGATCCCTTGATACGATATATTTCTGTATATATTATGGTACTCATAAATAATTTAGATGCTTTTGATAGATATATTTGTTAGACCGATTTACTTGTGCAGCTTCTAAATTTGATGTCTTGTATCATTTCATAACTGATCTACTTAGACACTTATATAGACATACTTCATAAAAGGGCAATATCTGACTAATAAAGCATTACTACTGACTATCGACAATCTTAAATGACTAACCGTCAAGTTCCTTAAAAGATAGGGCTGCCATCACAGACACGGAAGCGGAAGCGGAAGCGGAAACGAGCCTTGCCCTGACTTTGCTAATAAACTAGTAACTAGGTAACTATAAACACCTTCTTAGTTTGGTAGTTATTATGAATAGAGACTGATTAGCTACTTAGACAACTACCTAGTAACTAGCTACTACTTATCTATAGTGGATGGATTGCAGTCTAAACCATACTGGCAAAGGATTATACTACTCCGTACGGAGATGGTAACACATAAAAAATTGGTTAAGTGGTTCTAGTAGAGAGGGTATCTCTGATTTTTCTAAACTGTTGCGTTTCTTATCACGCAGTATGGTCAAAATGGAGTGCCCATGAATTGAGCCCATTAAACAGGCATCTGGCTTCTTCATTTCCGATAGCAAATGCTCGAACAGCACGAAGGCTCATATCGAGTCGACCATTATACTCGATTTGTACAGCCCGCCCCATTCTAGAGACTGGCCAGAAACTGTTTGTCGAGGACATTGACTCCCCTTAATCCTCAATAATGACCCAAAGGCGTGAGGTTATTTGGAGTTTCGGAGCCAGGGGATTGACAGAAACTCTCAACAAAGCAGTGCCTTTCGTTACTCCCTTGTGGTCTTATATGCAGACTAAACTGCCAGGGCAGAACGAGTGTGTTGTCGTATTTATCGAACATGTTGGTGATGTGTTCGATGTGTAGTAGTTGTGGCTTTGTCAAGTCTTATTTCTTCTTGTTCATGGCCGGAAGTCCTTCGCTTTCTCTCAGTTGTGCCAATTTCTTCTCTCGATCGATGAGCCGTTCCTTTTCTTCCTTGATCATCTGCTCCACGGTTTTGTTTGCTTCCGCTAACCGGTCGAGTTCTTTGTTCTCCGTGGTTCTGCTGTAAGGATTCTTCGGGCTCTCGTTATAGGGAATCTCGGCGGTCCGTGTGCCCTGCTGCTGCTGGAGCGCTTGTTTGGCGTTCTTGGACCCTTTCCCTTTCTGTGGCTGCGCTGGTGTCGAACCGCCGGTGAGGATCTCGTAGAATTGCTCGACGGGTTCGTTGAACATGATCTCCTCGTAGTTCTGACTGATGACCGCCTCCCGCCGCTCTTTCTTCCCCTCCGCGTCAGCTCCATACGGGTGCAGCTTCAGGCTATGCCACAGGGTCTGAGGCTTCTCTGTCGACTCTGGTACGAAGTAGAGCTTGATTTGAATCTCGAATTCACCCCAGCCCGTCTCCACCACTTCGAAAGGCGACGATTCGATCGAGCGAACATTTTGTGCATAAGTCTCATGCAATTTGAATTGGACCTTTTTCAGCCAGTATGATATATCTTCGTCATCCACGCCCTTAACAAACACGCGCCATTGATGTGTATGGTCCTCAGGGACTCCCTCGGGTCTGTTATCGGGGTCAAACGGCCGCGCCTCGCTGCCAAAGACAAACGGCCTAAAAACAGAAACACCCTGGACGAGAACCTGTCAGCTTCATCAAACAGAAGACCTTGGAGAAGACCAGCAACTAACCCTCACGCGCTTCGTACCCGTTGCAGCTGGCATGTTGCAGAGACCTTGACCAGGTCCACCTATACTTGAGGAAATCGGAATGCACTCAGTGGATAGAGATGACTGGGAGAAAGCAGTTCTTCGACGTTGTCGAATAGTAGAAGACCGCCTGGAATCGCGACCGCTCGGCGAGTCCCTTCCGCGCGCACGTGACCACCTGCGGCGATCCACCCCTGCTCAATAATATGACGACAGTCTCGGGCCCGGAAATCAAGCTTCAGAGATCAGCAGAGCTTAGGCTTGTATCCTTTCAACATCTCACGGTTTAATCAGTGCTATTCGTCGACAGAAAAAAAATCTTATAGGCCACTTGCTTGCCTAAGCTGTGCAGACAATGGCTACGAAGAAGCTCGTGGTCGCTGGCGGCAGCGGCTTCTTGGGTATGTTCGATGCCACTGGTGGGCTGGTATAGCGCTCGCTCATTTCTTTTACCAGGTTCACATATTTGCAAATCGGCAGCCGCGAGAGGATGGAGTGTCACTTCGCTCAGGTGAGAAGGTCATGCCAGAGCATGGAAAAGCCGTGTGTTAGTTAACTGACCCGTTGATGGGATTAGTCGCTCGGGAGAACCACGGTGGGATACGCTGACAAGCTCGCCGGATCGACCGAGTTGGGCGAGCTCGGTCGAATGGGTTAAAGCTGATATTCTGAAACCGGAGACGTATAAGCCGGCACTCAAAGATGCTACCGCCGTCGTACATAGCATGGGAATCCTGTTGGAAGCCGATTACAAGGGTGTTGTGCAGGGTCGAGAGCCGATCATCAGTGGCCTACAAAGAGCGTTCAGTACGTCGAAACTAGGGAGCCAAAACCCGTTACAAAGGGGAGAAGGGGAGGCGTTGAAGCCAAGAGAGGCAGATGGCCAATTGACGTATGAGCTCATGAATAGAGATTCTGGTTCGTGCCTAGTACTATAATCTTTTTTTCCCTTCGAAATCGCTTATGGCATGTTGCTAACTCATACTCGCCGTGGAAAACAGCCATCGCGCTTGCACAAGAATCAACCAATGAACATGTTCCGACGTTCGTCTTTATCTCCGCCGCAGCAGGGGCGCCGGTGCTGCCAGCCAGGTACATCACGACCAAGAGGGAAGCGGAAACAACCATAAAATCCAATCTCCCTGACTTGCGAAGCATCTTCATCCGGCCTGGTTTTATGTTTGATTCGAACAGGAAGCTTACGCTGCCAATCGCGCTCGGAGGCCTCATTGGGTACGAGTTCAACACCCTCTTGGGAAGCAGACTCCAGTTCCTGGGTGCCATGGTCGAGAAGCCATTGCGAGTAGACGTCGTGGGGGAGGCCGTTGTTGAGGCAATAGAGGACGAGTCAACACGAGGTGCGGTCGGGACAAAACAAATAGAGTTGCTGGCCACCAAAGCATGGCGGAAAAGTATGCTTTGAACGATCTGTGCTTGGAAAAGGGATCCTCTCCGCAAACACGACGACCCTGACGCAGGAAGGCGTGCTGGAAACACTGAATTCGAGTGCCACCTGTTGGCACATTTGTGAAAATGTAACAGAAAGTTTAGGTATTGTACAATAGGTCGTTCTCCATTCCCATTTCAGATCATGGTGCCGCGTTCAAAGCTGTCACGAATCTCCGTTGTATACTAAGCAATATATCAGTAATCCGTTGTCCGTGAGACTGAAGATGTCAGCAGCTCTATACTCACCTTGTTATAGAACCGAGCAAGCTTCTGGTTGAATTGCTTGTTTTTCTCGTTGATATAAGTGACATCGGCGTCCTCCTCGCCGCGCCGGTCCTTCCGCTTCTTCAGTCGGACCTCCTCTGCCTTCCTCAGATCCGCGACCAGCCTATCGACGGCAGCCCGGTCAGGCTTATTGTCAGTAAACCCGATAGTATCGGCAGTAGAATAGAAAGTGCCGCTCTTGTCCACGGCGATCATCTCTCCATCGTTTGTCTCGACAATCTCCAGATCCCCGTTAGCTGCCGCCTTCTCGATCGCGGCCATCTTGTCCTTCTCGTAGGCTTCGAGATTCGGCTGTATTTCACGCATTTGGCGCTTGTACACCTTCCGCGCGTCCTGCGTGTAATCCTGGAAGGCCACGTCGTCCCGATGGCGCTGTTTCTTCTCCATGCGTCTATCCCACTTCTCTGATTCTTCGACTGTCCAGTCCCAAGCACGCTTGCGCTCGAAATCCTCCCCGGCGGCCTCCGTGTCAGCTTTGAGCAGATTGTGAGATGCAAACGCGTGTTTCCTGGACAACGAGGACATCAAGGATGGGTCCGTAGCGAGACGCTGGCTTTCTGCCGCTGTTTCTTTCAGATTACGCTCTGCTGCCGTTTTCTGTTTTTTTTTTTCCCATTCGTCAGCCTTGATGCATCCATCTTCAAATCGGCCTCGCACTTACCGCCCGTGCTTGCAGAGCTTTGAACCTTTCCAGCCGTTGTCGAGCGCTAGCAACAGCATCATTCTCCCCGGTCTCTGCTGCCGTTTCACCATCCGCCGCGGACTCTAGAGCATTAGCAGAGTGGCGGTTGGTATGTTCCTTGTCGGCGGCCGCGACCGCGGCGTCTTCCCGGGTCGTATCCTTCGGAGACATGATCCCTGGGTGCGAGTAAATTAAATGAAAGAGTGAATTTTGTAAAACAATGTGAGCGATCAAAACTGGAAGAGTATTCTGTTCTTAGATATGAGGTTTCCTGTTGGTAATTTACTAGAGCGAGGTTGGTCTGCCACCGTCTTGGCGGTAACCAACTCGTTAATTGGGAAATCGGAAGTACGAAAATCACGTGCGTCATAACATCCTCTTAGGCTCTCCAGCTTTGAAACTGCTGCAGACTGACGGACGACGCCTGAAACGAAATATAATATAGAATGCAAATGTACTTGGAAGAGAGATTAGTGTTTCCCTGTGGAGCTGGCTCTATAAGGTGTAAAGTAAGTAGTAGTACTCCATCACAAGAAGAATACTATACAAGCCTATCGATCGCCTAATATTCATCCCTCTAACTTGATCTCCTCAAGAGCTGCCATGGACCTTTACGGAACATTATTTCTTTCTCCTTGGTGGCCATCATCTTCTCCAGTCGAGCAAGGCCTTCCGGACATTCAAACAGGCCGCTGTTCTCACCATCGAATCGCATGATCTTCTTGCCAGTTGCATACGTCTCCCAGGGTTGCTCGCCATAGGTAAAGTCTATCAGCATCTTTGAATGATGATCGGCGGTGGCCCTACACTCCCTAGGAGCGCTAGACTCCGCGAGGGCAGGAAATCGGGGCGAGTAGAGACTGTCAATGGCATGGAAGGCGTAGCCCTTGAAGACCGATTTCTCGTACACATCGGCCTGATCAAAACGATACACACACACCGGGATCTTAGTGTATTGTCCAATTTTAAGGGGTGCGATGCCGAACATGGAGTCAGAGGCAAGAGCAAAGAGCCCTTTTCGCGCTGTCTCGTCCGAGTCTTTGTCAATGCCATAGGTCTCGATGACTTCTTCCAAGAAGGTTTGGTCTGGGATGATTGCTGCCACCCTCTCCCTGATCTCCTGTGCTGTCCATTTGTGGATATTTCTTGATATACCAAAGAGGGAGAATTCATCCCGCGTGAAACCCACAATCACTGATTCAACCCATTCAGGAAATTGTTCAACATATTCCAGAGGCAGCTTGGGGTTCAAGCCAACCAACCATTCAGGATCCCAGGCAGTGGTCGGGAAACCATCTCTGAGGCTGTCGAGTTGCTCAAAGGTCATATCTCTAAGGGCGGCTAATTTTTCAGTTGCAGGAGCATCGACTGGTACGCCCGCGCTCGCCACCAGTTTATCGAATGTCGCCTGGTTCGTCTCGAGATCTGCAAAGACAGATGAAGGACAGGACATGATAATCCCGCGTTTGCAGACAGGCAAATCGGATCTAAGATGGGCCAAGACAGACCATGCACCTGCAGATTCTCCGGAAATTGTCACGTTGTCCGGGTCGCCTCCGAAATGGCTGATATTCTGCTGAATCTGCAACAGACAGTTAATTCAACTATTGCCAACCGATAACAAGAATATCCTAAGCCCACTCACCCATTGCAAGGCAAGTCGCTGGTCCAGCAACCCCACATTTCGAAAGGGCTTTTCACCAGCATTTACAGCCTCGTCCACCAGTTCCTGTGACGTGAGCCACCCTAAGTAACCTAGCCGATAGTTGATACCAACGTAAATCATTGGCTTGCCAGACTTGATCGCATGGCTGGTGAGGAAGTTGCCATCTAAACACAGACATCAATAACCGTGCACGTGTTGTTAACAATCGACCAACGCACCGTACTCAGCTCCTCCATCTCCAAGGGTGAACCCTCCACCATGAATCCACACATATACCGGCAACTTCTGTTGTGTTCCCACAGCTTCTGGGGGACCGTAGACGTTGAGATTTAAACACCCGAATTCAGAGCACGGTATGGTCTCGCTAAGCGTAACTCCCTCATAAAAATGCGCACGTAGAGCCTTGGGCTTGTCTGGAGGCTGGGGAGCTCGTGGTCCAAACTTGGTGCCATCATGTACTCCCTTGAGAGTCTCTGGGCGTAATAATTTTGCCTGACGGAATCGTGCGGGGATTTCAGCGTAAGGGATGCCCAGGAAGTTGGCGACTCCCAACTGGGAAACAAAACCCCGAATGCTGAGAGAGCCGATAGTGACAGCAGTGGGCTCTTTGGAGGATGGTTCGGTATCACCCATTCTGAAGCCGATTAAAGTATCGGAGAGGTTCAAATAGTAAGTCGTAACTTGAAGAGTATGTATGGAGGAGCAACTTTGGACAACGGCCCGCAGTCGTCGCTCATGGGCCTCATCGTTAAATATATTGCCCCTCCGCCCCTTCCAATGGCTACTATCTAGGTAGAAATAATGTTTGCCGAGAATAGAGTCATTATTGGCCAAGATGGCTAATGGAATCCTGGTTCTGCCATCGAGACCAAAAAGACGAGGGGTTAGTATGTTCGATCTGGCCCGAAACGCCAATCTCTCGGACTTCAGGCCGTTGCACCGAGAGCGGCGGGGCCCCAAGTAACAGTCTTTGGCTCAGAAACAATGGCTCAGGATTGGGCCTTTCGCAGAATGTCGCTCTAAGTACCTTTTAGGTACCTCCAGGGCTTGGTAGCTAGCCTTATAATGACCAATAATATCGACCAGCCCCCGCTCGTCCTTTGTCGGAGTTGAGCATGCAAAGTCCGTGATGCACAGCCTCGGGAAAAAATAGCGACCTGGCCTGCAAATAGAGACCTCAGACAAGGTTTTATTGTAGTATTCTAAACCCCAGAAGACGAAGCCACAAGCTTTCCTCTTGCACGCCGTGCCCATGGCCTTCACCTTGGAGGCTATTGCTGCGGAGGATAACGAGGTCAATTGAGCCTTTTTATTGCTTCACTCGGATGATGGACTGGGCCGGGAAATCTCCTCAATTTCTAACACCCTCCCTGGATATCATGGCCCGTAACTATGGCCCCGGAACCCTTGGTTCAAAAATATGGTCACTTCCATGAGAGCGTAGGTACTGTTTCGCCAGCGAGAAGGAGAGAATTATAGCCCATAGACAAATTCATAAGGAGCTTGGTATGAGGGGAAATGTTAGCCAAAGCTACTATATAGCGGCGTTAGATACATGAAGAACCAACTGGAAAGTGAGAGGCTCTAGTATTTTATTTGGCTTTGTCATGTCTTTTGAGTAGTATCCGCGAAGAGATTGCAGAGGTGCTTTCGAGAATAAGTTTAAGTCTCTTCGAAATAAGTTGACTGGAAGGTAAACCAACCATTCTAATGAGCTCCATGACAAGACCAAAGTCATAACCTTGCCCTGGTCATGCAGTTGGTTACGATCCCAAGAGACATGGACAAGAACGAGGCGGTGGTTGTGGTGGTGGTGCAAGAAATCGACATGTGTGCCTGAGAAGAATGGAGGCAGATCGATAGCTTGTATTAGAGGACGTTTGGAACTGATATACATATATTTCACAGCAAATACCCTTGAGTGAGAGGTAAAGAACCTGATGGACGTCGTAGAAACCGATCTGTGGATGGTGTTGATGCCTTTCCCAATTAGGCAAGTCAGTCAGATGACCGTAAAGCGGTACAAAATGGCAGAATCGTTGCACGTTCAACAATGTCCGATGGACAGAACCACTATGGCCATTCACGGCGGAATACCTATCAAAAATCATTGATTTTGTTGAGGACCTGAGCTTCCTGATTCATGTTTTATCGTTATCTCCACTGTGTTGATTTGTTTCAGAGGCGTGTTCCCCTCCCTCAACCGCTCTGGCAGCCGTTTCGCCGCAATGCTTCGGCCAGTACAACACGCAAAGGAGCAGTCCATGGGCCTTCGCCATCTCAGCTGGTTCGATTTGCACTGACTGGGAGCACGCGTCAGTTGCAGAATGAGTCAGAAAAAGATGGTCTTGACCAAAGCCTACAGGAGCTGTTTGTTCACGAGTGGCCTCTAAACAGTCCTCCAACCCCTTTATGGAGCTCATTCAGACATGGGAAATTTGACTCGGAACCCCGTTTTTTGCTGGATAGCCTGAAACGAGATATCCATAGCTTACAGGATCTTCGGTTGTTTGTTGAAAGACATGTCAACACTGTCAATGACTGCGCATCTATTCAAATACGCAGCTGTAACCAACTGCTGGAAATCTTTGACCGTTTAGAACACCACCACTCCTACCAAGAGCTTCTTTTGACTATCAATGGCATCAACGAGAGGTTTGAAAGAATAGAAGCACCGGTATCTTGGAAACTTTATCTCCTGGGGATGCGCTATGCGTGCCGAACTTTCTCAGTCCCTGCTCTTAAACACCATCTCAACGGCTTCCGGAGTGCAAATTCTCAGCCTTTGGATTTGAGATCTAGCACTGCACTGGTCAATACTTTAATAACGACTCTTCAATCTCTTCAGTCGGAGTGTCCTGATCTTGATACTAGGCCTATGCTTAGTCTGATCACCGGCGAAGGGGCCCATTCAAACCTATCCGAGACGGAAACAAAGCTACATGAAATCCTCTCCTGGCCTAATGGCGACAGAGAGGGTATAGAGCTCTACATAACTCTGCTTGCAAGTCTGGGAAGCGAGGCGGCGCTGCATGAAATCTGGGAAGCATTTATCCACAGTCCATTGACACCCGAGAAGTTCCAGCCTGCATACTCTACTGTCCTTTCTTTATTTGCTCGTGGCAGAACTGAGACTGCGCTGCTCTATCTTAAACAGCTGTCAGAATGCGCCAATAACGCCCTGCCCGGCATATCGAATTTTAGGCCTTTGGCCACATTTTTCAGAGATGAGAAGCTGCTTGGGAGCCTTCTTGAGCTTGCGGGGCCCGACGAATTCAACACTATATTAGAGAGCCAGCTCCGGAGTCTGGAACAGAGACTTGGAATTAAATGGGACTCGAAAGTCTCACGCCATATCAGTTTGTCTGATGCAAAGAGTCTTGCAACCGGTCAACCATTGTTCACTATTGAAGGTGACAGCTCTGGATACGAGAGCCAAGAGCGATTATTTACAGAAATTCGGCTTCTCGGCTGCTCCAAATCCAAATCAGAGCTTGGGCAGATTATAGACATGCTAGACGAACACGAGGGCAGCGAGATACCCGTGCGTATACTCAACGATCGTTCTCTCGCATTTGAATTTGCGTGGTTCCCTCGATCCTCGCCTATCGAATTCTCGGATTCTCTCCTTCCAGCCAGATACGATATGTCCAGGCCATGGTCCCCAGTCACTTTAGGATTGATTCGTGCAAGACCTGACGACAGCGGTTCACCCGTCAGTTACGGGAATTCACTACATCTGATACAACTCGGATATCTGAATATGCGTCCGATTCTAGATTCTGTCGACGAGGCCCAATCTAAGACTATGTACTCTTGGAAGGAAACTGGACATCTCGTTGCCTGGGATCGCACTGCTGGAAAATTCCTGGCTGTCTTTGTCGGAAAAGGGCACGGCGTGATTGAACCTGGTCTACAGGTGACACCCCAGCAACCTCCAGCTGGGCTTTATTCATTGGAGGAAGTGGAAGTTGTCGACAACTCAGGTGACTTTTGGTCTGTTTCACCCAAGTCTCCTATCAAAAGTAGCAGTGCGAATTATCATTTCGATCTCGATCCCGCAACCGACCTACTTGCCTAATATGGACTTTGCTACATGGTTTCTCACCGTTCTTAGCACTGCGTCATGGTAGTTGTGATCCCAGGCTGAATGGTGTGACAGAGGGGAGCACAACTTGATGCATTCTTTCACCGCATATCTGCAGACAGTCTTGTTGGGCCGAGAGACACGGCAAGATCTCGTCTTTTGCCTGGATAGCAAGAGCGGTCGAGAACTGGGCGCTTATTGGCTGAAAGTGCAATCCCTTCCATCGGATATAGCCGTCGGTTCTATGACTTGGAGGCTACAATGATGAAGCCTCTGTAGCATCGACCTGGAATTTCTTTATCCCCTAATGCACAATGAGCCACAAATACTGGGGCTATTACGTATCAGCCGTCGTGACCACTTGGAACTTTCTCCTCAGCCCCAGCCACAAGCTCGAGATCATCCCCCACGCACACAACACGCAAACTCTATCTATAGGATGAGCCCGAGATTCCCCTCGCTTCATGAAGCTTGTATGAATTGCCAAGCGACCAGCACCAACGCCACGAGGTCACCCCACCCTCTGGCGCCGTCAGACTGTTGGCGAGCCGGGAGAAATGCTAAGCAGAACGCTAGAACAGGCAAGGTGCTTGAGCCATATTCTACTGGCAATTGAATCAATCACTGCCGTGGGATCTCTTTCTGTTGCCAGGTCGATAAGGCTTGTAGAACCTTGCTATGACAAGTCAATGTTTGACTATCACAAACATGATTTCCCTCGAGACCTAGGGATTCCAATAGTGGATAAAAAGGCAATAACAACCATCGATGGATCACTCTGGGCGCTTCGCCTTGCTGAGTGGTCGAGGGAACCTCTGGAGTCTGTATGTGTGATACCAACTCCATAACCACCGATCTTCATCGCCTTCTTTTTTAAAAAACATAGGAATAATAAATAAAACAAAATATGTTCTTGACAAGGGTCTATCTAAGAAAACCATCGGACCACTTGGGTATAGTTCCATTTCGGGAGAGTTGGTCACGTTGCCGACCCCCCCCCCCCCCCCCACCAGAGAATGGGAAACAGCGAGTCCTTCTCCTTCTCCTTCTCACTCGACCCTTCTTCCTCCATCAGTCTTCGCCACCAAGACATCGTGGTTTATTGCTAAATGCCAACAGCAGCCCATGGAACTTATTTCCGTCCAATCAACTGAGCGATCTAGGCAGCCGGGCGTGAGACTGACCGGTTGCCTTGCTTTTGTGAACGCCCCCCCCTCCCCCGGAGCAGCCTTCCACGATGTCATGGAATTGCTGGAGCTGCCTGCATCTGAACTAACGCATTCAGCTCAGCCACACAGGATTCGGATCGTGGAAATACAATGGTAGTAACACACAAAGTTCAGCCAGGCGGTAAAGGCCTTCGAAGGGATACAAAGAAAGGATATGCAAGCCAACGAATGTGATCGATATCAAGGATCTTGCCCGAGATCTCCCATGAGCTGTGGCTGCAAAGCATCGGCTGTACGACGATCCAAGAACCAATCAACCCGTTTATCGGAACCGAAGATTTAGCGAACCCATCATGACTTGCAGGGTCCCAAGCCACATGCTCTCATCATTGTGGTTTCATTTTTTTAACAATGCAATGCATAATCCATTTAGCCGTTGGGAAGAAGCAAGCCCGGTGTCATGACAAATCATCTAGCCCCCAGTGCTGTTCCCAAAAAAAAAAGGCAACCTCAGCTGCAGTAGTAACATGGCTAGACAAAAGACGATATATTTCGCCACGTCTGATTAATACTTCATGACAAATCCAAGGCAGCATGGTATCCTGGATTAGCGCCTACGTACGAAAAGTACGGCCAGCGGAGTTCGCCATGGATGGGCTAAGCCACTAAGTGTTCTGCGCCTTCTACAGAGTGTTCCATCTCATTATACGAGGAAGGAAGGCTCGTTCACGAATGCATTGATTCACCAAAACACGTGTCGTTGTGGTGTTCGGTGCGGTCGATCAGTCTTGCCCTCCCCGAGTTCATTCTCCCCAGATACTTCGTACCGAATCCGAATGTCCGACTCTTACCGCGTGCTGCACCCCAAAAAGATCAGCTTCAAGGCCGTCCCATAACCTCTAACTCATATTTCAGGAATCACCCATGCCCTCTAAAACCTTAGCAGCCGGTCAGTATGGACCCAGTGAATCGCCAAGAACTTGAGCTTCCGTCGGTTGACTTGTTGACCGACACGGGTTCATACCGATCCCGGCAATTATTATTGTTGTGCCTGCCTGATGGAACTAAAAGTGGAGAGTACTTGCTCAAACCCCAGCCAATGATGAATCTTTCTGAGCTGCAGTTTGCTTGCTCCGTACGGTAGCGCAAGGGATTGATTGTCACGGCTGAGTCGATCACATTGAATGGACCCTATGAAGTGTCGTATAACAGCTCAAGTTGGCGAGTTTGACGCAAACCGGAGGGGTCCCCAGGGGGTACCTCAGTGGAGTGAGTATATTGGCTAGGACAGGGTTGTCATGGCCCTCGGTGTTCTCAGTAATTTACGAACCCTGGCATGTGAGTAATTCAAGACTATCCGTGTGTTGAATACTCGAATTCTGTTGGCTCAAAATGGATTTTTTTCCAACAAAGGCTGCTCCATTATAGGGCATCATTCATTTGGCCATCTGCCAGAAGATGCATTTCTTACAGACTGTCACCTCCATGGACAGGTATACGAAGTACTAATCTCCGCGCACCAATCGAATCTTTCTGATACCTACTACCTACACACGCTCTAATCCTGGAACCATGAAGGCGGTAGTCACAGAGCTTGTGGTGTCTATTCAGGCCTATGCTCAACAACTCGAATGGCTCAAGCAGAGGTCGATATCCAATTAGCGCATAAACCATGCTCTTGCCTAGCATATTGTTCTTTGTGAAGACCAGCTAGGAGGATCATGCATACTGCTGGAAAAATCTCTAATTGGCACAAATTGAGCTGGTTTTGCTGAGGCAACATATCCTAATTGGTAAATCCAAAAGGGCTAAGCAGCGTTTGCCTGTACCCAGGTTAATATGAACCTATCATCATACTAACCAAGTCACCCCCCCCTTTTTTTTTTAAAGAGGAATGGAATAGCCTGCAAAAGATGTCCAGGATATGACAGTGATTATTGTTGCACCCAACTCTCTACGAATCGGGTTCGAATTTCGAATATTGAAATTGAATGAAATGGGGCTTTTCACGGAGAATTAGGCCTCGGGAGGCTTGAAGTATCAGACTGCGGCAACCTGGTACAACAGCAACACGTTTCAGAGCCTTAAGGGTTTTTTGAAGGCTTTACATGGATGCAACAGGGGGTGCATGGTCTTCTCTTGGCCAACGATCATTGATGTTTTGGCTCTTAGTGGATCAAGGGTAACAGCCTGTCAGGAACAGCGCTACTGCATGTCTGATTTGTCGTCACTGCCACACAAATACACACGCACACACGCGCCTTCTGGTCACAAAATTATGGAGTCCCCTCAGCTCAAACCCCCAGATCCTTTATTGCCCTTGCACCGTCGCTCCTTGATCAACGACCACTTATTGGGGGAGAAGGTACGTCCGGTACAAATGTACAGAGGACGTAAGTCTGGCATGACCACCCCAACCTATCTTTTGCCCCGCTCTCCGGCCTTACTCCGTACTACATATAGACTTGCCCGTTGGTTGCTACTAGCGGGCATAGATGGTCTCTCGTGGGCTGGCCTAGCTGTTGATCGCCCTATCGTTGGCTGTCTCCTCTGTACATGAAAGCACTGGGGCCACAAGGCAACGCGGGCAACGTCAGTCAAACTCAATGTATATGCAACCCCACCCCATTTCTTCTCTGTTTGTATTAGAATGATCATCTACAGCTGATAGTGATACTCGGTGACGACTGCTACCTTTTCACCGTATCGGCGCTGAACGGCTAAGGCGCTTTGCTTACCAGTGTAGCATTTTCCAGTCGGCTCTTAACTGGTACCTAATGCTCATCCTGCATTCTTTGCTTTTTCCTCCTCTCCTTCCGAAGCTAAATTGTCGGACTTGCTTGAAAATAGATACGATCTTTGCTTATAACGATTCAAGGTTTGGCTGACCGCTTCTGGTCGCTGTTACGAATGCCGGTCTTGCAGCAAACAAAATCATCAGCGGTTCGTCCAGTGTTCACAGCACAAAAGGTTACCACCGGCCAGGAAAAATAATATCAGGTCGGAGTCGCCTTAATAGATGTCTGAAACGCCCGTGGCACGGCGGGAACCTCCCACATCTCAAAGGATATTATACGTCGAATCGGCAAACAGCCAGCATACTCACCGGCTACAGCCTCGACTGGCAGAAGATGATAGCCCTCCTTGTCAGACACAGGAACTCCCACGGTTTCTCTATCCTGACAACCAGGGATATGACCCTACAATGGTCTCCAAACCAACAAGTTATGGCTTTCTATCCCATAAAAGCCCTCATGACGGTGTGACGGATTCGAGATATGGGATTTCCTCCGGCAGCACTGTTTCTTTGGCATCACAAGCAGCGGTCCAGCGTGCAAACCCGACAGTCAGCCAGCCATATATCGCAAATTCCATGGGCTACCGTGGCTACCCTGCTGCTTTCAATGAAGCCTCAAACTCTTCATTCACCTTTACAGATCCTGGAAGAAGTGGTGACGCGGGGAATTCTGATCGGCGGACGCAGGATGTGGACTCTCAGTATTTTCCCTTTCTTTCATTTCAGTCCAGCGGGATATTTTACTCTTCTCCTCGTTGAGGTCTCCTTTCATTTATCCCCGCCCCATTCCCCCGCCCCGGGGCAATATCCAAGTACCAGTGATTCTTGTTTGGGCTCCCCCTTTTTCAATCCTCTTTTCTTAGGTTTAAAAAAAGGGTGAAATGAGAACTCGATCCGAGTGCATATACAGATTCTAATCCAATCCTCTTTTTGAACAAACAGGAGCGTCAAAAATTTCCCTAGTCCCTCTTATTCTGACCTGAGCAACACGACCTATTCCGGCAGCGTGACGTTGTCGAAACCGCCGCAACCACCTGTCAACCACGGTGTTCCTCAGGGGTTTGATAAGATCCTCCATCACAATGCAGATATATCGCCGGTTCGCCAGACACAGGCCTCTCCATCAAGTCGCTATCATCTTCACGTACGACAGCATCCATCCGGAGCGCGAGCTTGCGGAGCGGGCGACAGGGACCGCCGCTCGGTCGACCCGCCTCCTATTGTTCAAATGCTCCTGACAGACTTCGACCCTTCTCTGCCGGACGACTGGGATATTCTCCAGGATCCCCGCTTCACTGTGGGCTGTCTCTTGTATCCTGTAATGGACCCTTCCTCACCACGGAATGGCGACACCGAGATGGCCAGTTGGGGCAGGTCGCCCGTGGGCAGTGTCGACACTTCTCGGTCGGAGGACAACGATTCCCAGGGCCAATCCAGCCAGCTGCTTTCGGGGAAAGCATTTGTCTCCCCGTTCTTTGTCGACGACGATCCTGATCCCAGCACAGCACCAGCCCACCCGTCCAGCTATGCACAACCACCGCATGCAATGTCTGCCGCCGCAGCCGCAGGACCTTTGTTTGGCAACAACGCCAAACAGCCCGCAACTTTCTTCATCTTTTCCGATCTCTCCGTCCGCACAGCAGGCCTCTACAAGCTCCAGTTCCGGCTCATGAACTGGGGTAATGTAGAAGATACAGGCCAGTCGATGCCCATTCTGGCAGAGACGTGGTCGAACCCCTTCCGTGTGTACCCAGCCAAGGATTTTCCGGGCATGCAGGACTCATCCGTGCTGGCCGAGGGGCTCAAAGAACTTGGGTTCGTGGAGCTGAAAACTAGGGGGAAGGGCAAGGGCAAGGGGAGGAGACGGTGAGGACAAGCCATACTTACATTTCTTGAGTTTCGGCGTTTTTGGTGGCTTCTTTTCCCGCCGCTCCTCCTCCTCCTCCGCCTTTCTTTTTTGAAGTCGCCAAATGGATGGGATTATATATGGTTAGCAAAGCAAGGTCTAGATTAAGGGATTGACGAAGTGATGAGATAGATTTCCTTTTCCATGTTCTGCCTCTTTCCAAGCTACCATTTATTTTATATTTCATCATTTCGTGATTGAGATATATATTCGGTATGAATTTTTATAGAAGGGTATCAAAAGGTAGTCTAGTACGAATACTCTGCGCAATACATAAATACAAGCCCGAAGCTGCACCCCTGCTTTAAACCCACAGGAACTCTTCCGGAATAGCCAGCCGAACATCCAAGTCATACCAGCTCGAACGAAGTTTCTTCATGAGGGAGGACAAACTTTGATCATTTTCGGCAACGGCCAGACACTTCTCTGAATCGATGAGTTGCCGGTCTTCACGGAGGAATAGGGCGAGGATCACGGCCGAGCGGGTACTGCCGAGACGGCAGGCCTGAAAGTGCCAGTCAATGGCGAGTAAGCGGTAGTCTTGCCTGGGGCGTAGGTGACCTAGGAGATACCGTAACCGAGTAAGTAGTGACGGCCGAGGGGATGATGATGATGATGATGATGATAATGATGCATCATCTTGTCCGACGCTATCCTTTTGGCCCGGTATCGGGTACTCCCCCCTGTATATGCGGTAGTAGAAATTGGCGAGTCGGTAGCATGCTTCTCGGTCCCCTCCGCTGGCCGCCTTGAGCATGTAGTCCATGTATCCATCAAGATTCCCTTGGTGTAGCCTGGTGCCGGCGCAGATTCGCAGACTGACGGGGTCCCCGTACTGTTCTGCGGCCATCTCACGGGTCTGCTGGACTGCCTCCTGATCGCCGAGTTTCTCCTTGAACTGTGCGTACAGTTCCCAGGGGGGCTCAATGAGTCCCATCATCGTCATATCGTAAGAGGGACTGGGAAGAGCAGACGAAGGGAAGGTCATCGCCTGGACCTTTTCTAGCAGCGCCACCGCCTCCGCGTACTGCTTGCGCATCCCGAGCACCTTGGCGTGCACCAGGATCGCCTGCGCATAGTTGTGTTCTAGCGCGAGTCGCTCAATCCGGTTGATCAAGGACGTCCGCATGGGCAGCTGCGTCGTGCGAAGATATCGCGCCGCAAGGACGCACGCCGGGAACCCAACGCCAGCTTCAGCGGCAGCATGGAACACCCAGCTGGAAATGTTCGGGTCATGGGCACCAAGGACATGACCGACGGAAACGAAGATATCGGTATCTGTTTTTTTTTTTTTTTTTTAACTCATGTGAGAAAGTCGGTCGTGTCGGTTTTAAAACGACACGGGCATCATAATCATAAGCTTACATACCTTTCGTGATGGCAAAGAGCGACTCTTTAGTCGGTGGATTCGTCTCCATGGCCTGGAGAATCGCACACGCAACCGAGTCGAATTCTTTGTTCCGACTCTCGCTCCAAGAACCTAAACCACTCATCATGGCATGCCGGCGGAGAACGGGGATCATCGAGGGGTCCAATCGACTAGAAAACCGCCCTCTCACATTGCCATTATTCCTTTGAGATGAAGAATCTCCCTTTGTAGGCTGTCTCGATATCACCTCACGGGGGGCTTGACTCTGAGCTCGTTGTGCGGCTGGCGACCGAGGGGGTCTTCGAGTCGTAGCCAGACGAGATGCTGTAGAATGGAACGATCTGCTGCTGCGCGCGGGGGTTGGGTTCAGGGCGGCGGCGAGGTGCAGCCATTCGCGCAATGGCCTGGGTGGTCGTGCAAAAGACATGACAGATGCAGGAGACAAAAAAGAAAGAAAGACCGGACAAGTATTGGTGAGGGGAGAAATGGTGAGGAGTTCAAGAAGAGAGAGAGAGAACTGGACCCCGGCGGAGAAACATTTGTCGGAGCTCTCCCAAATTCCGCATCTGATCCGCTATCTAACTTATAAGCACGAACAGTGTCACGATAGGTTCAACACGAGTAGGTTACAACAATTATAGGCTACTTTTACATCGTATTGTCCAGTCAAGATATAATGTACAGTACATTTGCCGCCTTTCCTCGCACTTTGCGCTTTCTGCACGGAAGTAGATCTAATACAGGAGGGAGAGAGGGAAGGAAAAGGAAAAAAAAGACCCTCAGGAAAGAAGAACTCAAGACAAAGGAGGGGGAGGGCGGGGAAAACAGAACTCCGAGGCGAAGAGGCACGCCATGCGAGTGTTGACAGACAGGACTCAAACAGGGCTTATAACCCAGCCCGAGTATTAAAGAACACAACAACACATTCAGTACAGCAGGACCAGCGTACACTGAATGGTAGACTGCCCTTTTTTTTTTCTTTTCTTTCTTTTTACTCCATGGAGGCCTTGGCGCCGAGCGCCTTGAGCGTCTCGATGATCTTCTCAGCATCCTCCTTGGGCACCGACTCCTTCATGACCTTGGGTACGCTCTCGACGAACTTCTTGCTGTCGACAAGCGACAGGCCAAGCATCGACTTGATCTCCTTGATGATCTTGGGCTTGGCCGTGGCCTCGAACGACTCGAGCTTCAGCGTGAAGAGGGTCTTCTCTTGCGCCGCGGGCGCCGCATCTTCCTCCTCGGCCGCCGCAGGGGCCGCCGGGCCACCAGCGGCCACTGCGAAACCACCAACGGGGAGGTCTGGGATGTTCAGGCGAGACTGCACGATTGAAAGATTAACAATTGAAAAGAAAAAAAAAACAATTACAAAACAATAACAACGACACCTGGGGAATGTTCTAGGTTGGGTTTACCTTCAGACTGGCAACAAGGTCCGCAGTCTCCAACAGAGTCAATTGGCTGATCTGGTCAACGATTTGCGTGATCTTGGGGTTAACCGGCGCTGCCGCCTGGGCTTCAGTAGACTGCCATCTCCTGCTGGACGTACGGCCGGCGAACAGATATGTGGTGGAGGAGGGCGCCAGGCGCAGGGAGGTGGTCGAGGACGACGACGGACGGAGGAGCTGTCGGCAGCAGCGGGCGGCAACGTGCGAGGCGGACATGACGAGTCGTAGGAATTGGATTTTTTTCTCCCTCAAACACGGATATGGAAATAACGGGATAGGAGGCAGGAAAGATGCTGCTTGCTGCTGCTGCTTGCTGCTGTCGTCTTTGCTTTCTTTTGCCTGAAAAGAAACTCTCGCCGGACCGGAAAATCCACCGGGTGTCACGTGGTGTCTAGCTCTGATACGGTATTACCAATACGAAATTGATAGGTATTGATAGGTCAGGTAATTTAATACACCACCATATTACCTTAGTACCTACGTTCTAAGGGGGGGGATTAATTCTACAGTAATGTAGCAATATACAGACAGATTCATATAATATATCTATCACAATTCTTTTTGAAGCTGCCGTAGGAAAAAGGAGCGGTCAACTAATCCTCATCCCAGTTGGGGTTGGGTCCAGGGGGTTTGGGACCACCAGCCTGTCGGGCGACAATGATCTGGTCCACGCTCAGGACGGTTCGTGCGGCTTCGCTGGCGAGTCGAATAGCACTGCTCTTGGAAGCCAGTAGGTCCAGGATACCTTCCTGGACGGCGTTCAAGGTGCCCGACGTCGAGCCAAGCTCGAGATCCACGCCAGTGGTCCAGTACGGCTCTTCTTCATCGGAAGAACTTTCCTCTTCTTCTCCCTCTTCTCCCTCTCCCTCGTCCTCGTCCTCGTCATCCTCCTCCTCCTCCTCCTCCTCCTCCTCCTCTTCTTCTCCTTCATTGCCTGATTCCGCTGCCGCACGGTGGTGAGCAGTGTAGAGACGAGACAGGACCTCGGTGGCGTCTAGGCCAGCAGATTCGGCTAAAGTGCGGGGGATAACCTCAAAGGCTTCGGCATACTTGCGGATGGCATGCTGCGGCAGACCGGGGGTACGGTCGGCAAAGGCGGAGATGCGTTCGACGAGCTGGATCTCGGTGGCGCCGGCGCCGGGCACCAAACGGGGGTCCTTGGTGATCGCCTTGACGACATTGACACCGTCGTCGATAGCCCTCTCAACATCATCGAGATGGTTCTGAGTCGCGCCACGGAGGACGATGGTGGCCGTGCGGGTGACGGCGTTGACGTCCTCCTGACGGAAGACGGTGACGCGGTCGCCGCCGATCTCGGTGGTCTCGACGACATCGATGCTGCCCATCTCGTCGGGCATGGGAGCTCCGAGACGGGCCAGCGGGGTAGCGCCAACGACACGGCAGAGACGGCGCAGTTCGAACTTGGAGAGGATCTTGATGACCAGGATGTTGAAGCGGTTGAGGTAGTGCAGGGCCAACTCGCCGATGGTGGAGCCCGCAACGACGACGCGGAGGCCAGAGTCGTAGAGCTCCTTGATGGCCATCTCGAGGCGCTCCTCCTCGCCCTTGGTGAAGTCGAGCATCTCCTGGGCGTTCTTGAGCAGCACGGTGCCCTTGGTCTCTGTCTGGGAGGTATCAATCGGGCAGCTGAAGACGCCAACCTTGGCCTTGCGGGCCTTCTTGACAATTCCATCCGGCTCCCGCCCAAAGACCATCCCCTTGACCACGCGGGACTGTTCCAAGCTGCCACCCATGATCTTGACCACGCGCACGTTGTCCACGTTAAAGTTGACCGGGTTCTTGGGCAGGACGGCGAGCACCGCCTCGGCCACCAACGAGGCCAGGGTATCTTCAGTGCCGGACTGCTTACTAGCAACCACGGTGCGGATCGCCTTGCTCAGCTCGGTCTGGGAACGAAGCTCCTTTAAGCGGTCGACCTCGAGATCTAAAATAGAAAGCCTTAATTAAGAGAAGAAGAAAAAAAAAAAAAAGAAAGAAAAAAAAACCAAGAAAAGAATGAAGCAAAAAGAAAGGAAAGACTACCCTCTAAAGTCTTCAAGGCAAAGTTCTGCGCCTTCTCGTAACCCTGGACGATATCGCTCGTCTTCAGGCCCAACCGTAACAACTCCTCGGCCTTTTTGAGCAACTCGCCCGCCAGGATGATGACCAGGTTAGTTGCGTCGCCCATCTCGGAGTCCTGCTGCTGGCTCGACATGACCAGCAGCTTGGCGGCGGGGTGTACGACGTCCAGCTCACGCAGGATGGTCGCCGCGTCGGAGGTGAGCACCATCTTCTGCAGGTGGTTGATGACGATCTTGTTGCGGCCATAGGGCCCCAGCGAGGTTTGCACGGTCTGCGAGATCGCGCGGCAGGCTTCGATGTTGCGGATGACGGCGCCATCTTCGGCATCGTGGCTAGATCTCGTTCAGTAGATGCTTGGGAATGGACCAGGTCCCAATTGTGGCCTGTGTGGGCTGGAGGGGTAAAAGGGTTCGGGTCAGGGGAGGCACGAGCGACTGACCTCTGGTATCCGGCCTTGAAAAGACCCGCCTGGGAAGGTCCGGGAATCGACAGCGACATGATGATCTGTTCCACCGACAAGTAAACAGCAGAAAGACCAGATGCGGTGGTGGGAGGGGGAGAAGCGATGTCGACAGCGTTGAAGCTGGCTGCCGTTCGGGGAAATTTTGGAGCTGGTGTGTTTGTTTTGTTTGCACTCGGTACGATATCACTACTGTACGTACACTGTACACATAAGCCTCCTTTCTCGAATTTTTTTTTTCTATTTATATTGATAATTTAAAATTAATTCGGCATTAGATGTCTAAATTATGATTATGGTGAGGCGTGAGTCTAGCAAGTTGAGATGCTACCATTGACGGATCGTATGGCTCGTTTGCCGGAAATCAGGCACTAAAGAGTGAGTATAAAGGGATTTAAGAGGTTCGAGAGGTTCGAGAGGTTCGAGATTCAGTGTGGAAGCAATCAAGAAACAGGACTTACTGTATCGGCCGACTACTTCACACCCACTGGCATCAAACTGAGTCTCGGCTTGTGGTAACCTAGACGCCATGAGTTAGATCAAGACCGACCAAGATGATAAGAATAATAATAGAGACATACCATCCACGAATGGCTTCCATGCGGTTGTAACTCTGTGCCCGTTAGATAGGGAAGCAGGTGTGTATGTGTACCTAGGTACCCAAAAGGACTGCTTACCGTTGGGTGTGTCGACATGAACTGAGGGGGCGCGGCCTTCTCTGCCTGTTGCATACGGCTCCACCTGGGGTTCATTGTTAATACTGAATCTATACTGCTAGATCATTCACTTACAACTTCGCGGCTGCTTCGGGGTTGAAACATGCCTTGGCCATCATCACTAACCAGTTAGCATAGCCCGTCCTATGTATGAATCGATCGCTCGCTCATACTCAGCCCGATATGATCTGCTTCAGCCTGAAAAAAATTAGAAAAGAGATAAAGAAAGAAAAAGAAAGTGGAAGAGGGATAATGCTTAAAGCAGGGTACGTAACGTACCTCTTGAGTCCTCGAGTTCGGCAGACTATACATAAGATTCAAGACCAAATTGGGCAGCTGCCCCGAGACATCGAACAGCGAGGAGATGAGAAATACCAATCCCAGGGTGATGATGGAATTGCTCATTCGTTCAGCCGGGTGGTGCGCCACGACGTGAGCGATCTCATGTCCCAGCACGGCGGCCAGGCCATCCTCATCTTGACAGATAGGGATGATGCCTGTATAAACGAAGACTTTTCCTCTGAAATACATCATTAGCATAGATTCGGAGTATAAATCATCTGATTAAGGCGATGGTGTAAATCATTTAATGAAGGCGATGGTGGTACCCCGGCAAAACGAATGCATTCTGCATCTCATCGTCATGAATGACATGAACCCTCCATTCGGCCCCCTCGATGGGCGCATACGGAATCAACCTCCTCAAGACCCGATCCACAGCAATACTCAACGGATGCGAAGACGAGAGGATCTTCCCCCGTTCCGAATTCAGGACCTCGGCGTAGCTCTGCCGACCCATTTTCAGCTCCGTGCTGGCGGGGATGCAGTTGAAGCGGCGACGGCCAGTCATCTTCAAATTCAATATATCAGCATATACCGAGATAAAGGTGGGTGCAATACAGGTAGATTTACCTCCACCGTCTCGACATTGTAAAAGTATACCCCGCTAACCACACCCGCCGTGATGACGAGATGGCGAGGCTTCACCCGTGCCAGCAGGAGCAATGCCAGCGGTTGTCTGCGGGGTCCCTGTCCCTGTCCTCCGAATCGGTTATATGTCGCATATTGGCGAGAGGGTAACGAGCGTATGCGCGGTTGTTGTGGTTGTGGTCGTGGTCGTGGTGGTACGAGTAATATGCGTGAAGGCAAGGGGGAAGCCTTTAGCGAGGCTATATAGATAGCACGGATAGATCGGAACATTTGCTCATAATTTGAGTACAGGGATTCTTGAATAGATTGGATAATAAGAAGAGTAGGAGAGTGGAAGTAGAAAGCGAGGTCTGGCTATGATGCAGTCTCCAGGATCGTTATCTGCTTATCTCTAGTTACCAGGACCAGGCAGGTACCGAGTGATGGTTCAGATTACTTGGCTACCTAAGCAATAATAATTGAATGATTTGGGATGTGTGATAGAAATATATCGGGACTACTATGACTATGGTAAGCTAATACTACCATCCTAGAAGCCAGGAGCAAATAATATAGACATCTATTATATCCACAAGATGAAGAGTAAGTAATATACAGAGACATAACTCATGCTGTACAGGACAAAGTGGTATCGTATCATGCAAAAGTCACCCTGACCAGAACTGCAACACATTAGTCGTAAGGGTGAAGGGTAATATGAAGAAGGATAAAAAAAAAGAACAAGTATAGGAAGAAGTATAAGAAGAAGTATAAGAAGAAGTATAGGAAGGTATTATTCCTCCGTCAAGGCGTCGTCGCCCGTCTCGCGCCACTCCTTGGACCGATCCGTCAGGCGACGGACACCCTGTAGGCGCTGCGCCCAGTGAGCCTCGGAGGGGGTGCGGAAGGTGTACGCGCGCTGCGAGGAGATGACGCCGATGGCCTGCAGGACGGCCTTGCGCGAGTCACGCCCGAACACGGCCGGGTGGTTGATCCACTCGAGTGCCGCCTCGAGGTCCGAGTCGAGAGCGATCATCGTCTGCGCGTCCACGGCGGCGACGGGAGTGATTGTCGCGGTCTCCGACGCTGCAGATATAGAGGAGTTGCTCTCCGCGAAGCTGCCGGACCGAGGTGATGAGGAATTTGGTGTACCGATCTGGTTGGAATCACTGCCACCGTTGCTGGCGCTGCTGCTGCCGCCGTGGGGGTGGTTCCCCGACGGCCGCGCCGAGCCCGGGGGCAAGGGAGGCAGGCTGCCCTTGCCAAGGCCCTTGAGGATGCTCCGCGTCTCGTTGAGTAAGTGCTGCGCGCGGTCGTGCTGCCCGCGCGAGACCAGGGTCAGCGCCCGCGTCAGCATGTCCGAGCTGAGCAGCTCCATGCGCCGCTGGACGATCGACGGGTGCGGTGGGATGGGTGGTGTCCCGGGGCGTGCGGTACTCTTGGCCCGCGGGTTGGGCGGGAGCATGGTGATCGCTAGCAGCGACGGCCGTGGGGAGTGTGTCAGGTGCCCATCACGCAGCAAGTCACCGTACGTGAGGTCCGCCTGGATCAGCGGGACCTCCTCGACGCTGACCACGCGCGGCTCATCGCCGTCCACACCGCCGCCCAGGGCTTCCAGACCGGATACCAACGACTCCCACGGGTCCTGGGGCACGTTTTCCTGCGTGGTGTTGTCCGGTTGGATGACCAGCTGGACGAGGATGTCGCGCTTGTCGCCGAAGCGCAGATCGCCGAGCGCGGCCTCGGCGTCGCGGCCTGTCGCCCGTTTCGTTGTGTGGAGCGCACCGCTGATTTTGACGAACTTGGCCGGCGACCCTTCGGGCAGTCGTAGCTTCAACTTGACATTCTGGTGCGAGGTGGATTGCAGGGCCCCGAGACAGCCTGCGACACACTCACGCAGCATCATCCAGTCCTTGACGTAGAGATACGAGCCCTTGGTACGGGTGGAGAGCTCGATCATCGTATCCGGCTTGTGGGTTAAACCCAGGCCGAATGAATGGATGTTGACCCTAAGCAGTTAGTACAAAAAAAAAAAAAAAAGAAAGCAAGAAAGAAAGAAAGACGCACTTGGCTGCTTCAGCTCTTGATACAACAAAGTCGACGCTTTCCGGATCCGAGGTCGACGAGTCGCTGATCAAGAGGATGGTGGAGATGGGGTTGTTAGACTTGCGCTGCATGAGCAGGTCCATGGCAACGTTGGCACCCTCGACGACATCGGCGCGCAGGCTTTTCTGCCCCACGGGCCGGATGGAAGCGAGGATTTTGCCCCATCCACTCCAGGATTTGGTGGTCATGCCGACCAGGGGAACGCCGCCACCGCTCGAGCCGAAGGTGACGAGACCCATACGATCCCGGGGGCCGAGGTTCTGGACGAGGAAGCGAAGCGCGTCGCGCAGCAGAGTGATCTTCAGCCCCTGCATCGACGAAGAGACGGGGATAACAACCACAAGGTCCAACGGGATGTGGATGGTAGAGGCCGGCAGGGTATCGCGGGCGGAGTTGGTGTAGTCCGTGAGAGCGGTGTTGTTGGACTTGGCCGCCCCGTAGGAGGAGTTCAACGAGGCCTGGCGCTTGACCTTGCCGGTCCGGTAATCATCCTCCTCGGCCCCCGAATGGTCGTAGTCGTAGTCGCTGTTGCGGGGTAGGCTTTCCCGCGCGTTGTGGTTGAGGAGAGCGCGGCGCCAGATCTCCAGCTGGTTACGGTTCGAGAAGCGCAAGTAGAAGCAAGGCAGCTCGCTGACGGATAGGTTCAAGGTCAAGACAGGTTCATCTGGCCATTGTCAGTTTCCAAATTGATCCCCCCCAAAAAGTAATGTGTTTGACAGAAATCAAAAATCCTACCAGCAGAAACCTCGACATTTTTCAGATGCTTCCTGATGAGGATGGAGCCCTTGAGGGTACAGCGGGAGTGCTTGCGGCTGTGATCGTCGTACTGGCCATGATGGTGATTCGAATCGGCAATTTTCTTCTCCTTGACACAGATGAGCATCTCAGCGAACAGGTAACATTCTAGTTCTTGCCAGGAGTCGCGATCCTTGCCCACTCGCATGTGGCCATGCAGCCGGAGCTTGCCGAATCTGCAAGGTTAGCATTGAAGTAAAGAAAGGGGAAAAAAGGGTTACATCACAGAAAAGAGAATAGGTGATAGTTACCGGTTGAATTCCAAGCCGTGCCAGTTGTCAACCCGATTGCGCAGGTCTTCTGCTATTTCGTCCAGGTTCTCCGGGGGTTCGAAGTGGATCTGGATGGAGCGGGTCTCAGGAGCCAAGGGGGAGCGCAGACTGCTGTGAGAGTCATCGTCGGGGTGAGCAGGCCCGCGGGGGGCATGACGCAGGTCCTGGGAATGTGGGCGCCAGTTGCCCTCGGGGACCTCGACGGTGACAAGGCAGGTGAGCGACTGTTGCTGACGGGAGCGGTTGAGGGTGGGGAACTCGCTTCGGATGGTGACGGTGGGGGCGGGGATGGGATTCTTCATGACGCCCGGGCGCGAGGTGAGGTCGGACTCCATGGCTTGGACATCGTAGTCGTGGCGGCGGCCGCCGGTGCTGGGGTGCTGGCTTTCGTTATAGTCGCCCGAGGAGGAGGCGGCGCCGGTGGCCTCGCTGCCGGTGCGGGAGTGTGGTGGGCGGGAGCCGGCGGTCAGCCGCTCAACTCGTTCGCGCTGGCTGCTGGTGTCGCGACTATCGCGACGAGAGTAGGAATCTCGCGTGTTGAAGGAGCGGCCGCCGGCCTCACTGGGCGTGCGGCCCCGGGGTTGTTGATCCCAGGGGGTCGGGGTGGTGAGACCGCTACGTTGGGTGGCGGTATCACTCATGGTGACGGAACGAACGATATTGCTGATTTTCTCTATTCGATCTGAATGAGCACTGATTTGTCGACAATCGAGGAACCCTCTTGTACTTACCAATGTCCAAGACGTTCCCCCCCCGACTGGTGTCAAGGCCGAGCGGGGCATTGCAAGTTGGACAGTACTGCGACTCAACCTCGCGAATATACTCATAGAAACAGGCCTCATGGGATACATGACCACAAGAGAATTGCAGGACGCGTTCCCCACGCAGAGTGTGTTCGAGCGGCTCTTCGCAGACGGAACACTCGCTGCCGACAAAGGTCCGCTCTCTGCGCGAGCGAGCGCGGTCGACATCCATCAAGCCAGCCATGGGCCTGCCGGCGCAGGAGTTGGTATTGATCGAGGAATTGATCGAGGAGGGATTGAGTGAGGAAGGATTGAGCGAAGGAGGAGTGAGGGTGGTAGAGGTGGTCGAGGGGGCGCGCGAGCGACGACTGTCAGGACGGGAGGAGCGAAAGGAGTGGAGGGAAGGCGAGTGTGAACGAGAGGAGTCTGCGATGAGATTAATTTTTCGACTCAAAGCAAATTTATTTAAAAATAAAGAGAGAATATCAAAGGGGGGGGAGTAGGGAGAGAGAGAGAGAGAGAGAGAGAGAGAGAGAGAGAGAGAGAGAGAAAGAAAGAAAGAAAGAAAAGAAGCTTACTGCTCTTTCTGCGGCCAAACAAACCGATATCCGACAGGTGGAAGCCGAGAGAGGGAGTCTGGCTGCCAGATTGGGGCTCCGATCTGGACGCAGGTCGAAGAGAGCGGACCATGAACAGACAGGAAAGCCGTTAGGCTGTGGTGGCCATAGGAAAAGAATAGGGGAACCCAAAAACAAGGCCGAGACGGGCAGAGGGAGGAGGGTTGACTGAAGGCTCCAGAGGCAAGACTAGAAGCAAAAAGAGGGGGGAGGCGCAAGAGGGGCGGCGGCGTGGTGAGCAGCAGAGAGAGAACAGACAGGCTCTATGGGCAGGAGGCAATAGCAGCAATAATATTAGGTGAATATAGCCACCGATGGACAGCTGGATGGGCCAGAGAAACGAGGCCGGTCCGCGACTAGTCGTCCTGGCCGTCTGTGGTGGTTTTGGGGGGGTTTTTTTACTTTGTGGTTTTGGATCCGTGGGTCGATGGAGGTTCAGGGGGTGATTACACAAACATCAGTAGTACTGGAGTTACCAGGTATCTATTGATTTAATTTTGATCTACTATAGTATTGATCTATTAATGTTTCAATTGTCTTGGTTTATTTGAATTATTATTTAAGAACACTGGTTTTGTCATTGATGTAGTAGTAGTAGTAGTAGTAGTAGTAGTAGTAGTAATGGTATTCATGTATTATACAGTAGACTAATACTCCGTACTCATGTCAATTGTGATCGTCATGACGAGGGTTCAAGAATGACCTATTGTTTACTGCAAGCGGACGCTGATTTTCGAGCATTCAACGAGGAACCATGGAACTGCTTCATCGCCATGTGGCAATAACTTTGGTGTTCCTAATATTGAAGTTAGTGTATTCTATATTACTCTACAATGACTCGTTGTTTCACTTTTGTCTAGGATGTAGAATCAGCTAATAGTTAGTTACTGACTATAATAGAGTCCTTAAGGTCATAATCCTTACTATAGTTCATAGTTATATTACTACTACATATAGTATACGAGACAACACGAACTGCTAGTCTAGCCTTGATAAGCAAGTAGAGCCTGAGTATAATAAGACAGAATTATAGGAAACCATTAGTGCACCAATACTAGTTACCTAGTTACTATGTACTACATATATGGAGTACCTCACGTCATGTCGATTCTGTCAGAAACATATCCCTGGTTACTAGTATTTCTCCGTAGTTATGTACTCCGTAGTACGGAGTAGGTACTTATACTACTGCTAGTATTTACTAACTCCACTGCTCCATGCCGAATTTTGCAGCTGAAAGTTCCACTTCAGCTGCTCAGCTTCTGAACCTCAGTATCCATTTCCATTCACGATCCAATGAATGGGCTACTGTTGGGCCTTGATTCATCCCCATCCATCCAACTTAGATCTCTCCTCGCTCCACTTCTTCAAGACCGGAACAATGCCGAGGATAGAGTCTACTTACTTAGCGGTAGTGCTTAGTACTTACTACGGAGTACCCCCTGTGTACTCTGTATAAGTATGCAGTATGCATTATATGTAGTGAACTACGTATTTGTTTATTTGATGGAGTACATAACTCTCTTCTCTCAGATGCAGTGATACTCCAGAAAAAATTGATGCCTGGGTGCCTTAGTAGTTGGTGCCTTAGTAGTTGGTGCCTTAATGCCTGATATATGTGTGCCTTAGTGCCTTAGTGCCTACCGCCTACTGCCTTACTGCCTGAATGTTTGATGCCTTACTGACTGCTGCCTTACTGCCTGATTCCACTCAACACACCGGTCACCAAACCCAGCCGCTTACTCAGCCCGCTCGTTCCGCTTTCCGACTAGCCCCAAAAGATTGTTCCCAACATCTCCGGCAAACAGATAACCACCTTGTCTGCATCTTCTGCTCCTGCTGCTCTCTGTCTCCATTGGGCTTTCCTTGTCCTCTCCTTGTCCGCCATGTTCTCACGAGCTGTCTGGGCCCGTCAGGCCGCTCCCCTGAGGCGTCAGGCCTTTGCTCCTCTTGCTCGTCGCTCCGTCACCACCGACGCTGCTTCGGCGCATGCTGAGAACATCCCGGAGGTGTGTTTTCCCTTCGACTTTCTTTTCACCCGGCTTCTCTTTCCCACCCCCGGGCCCAATTCCATATTAACGACGCGTAGGAAGATGACAAGCCCTTTACCGTCCGTCTCTCCGATGAGAGCTTCGAGACCTACGAGCTCGACCCCCCCCCTTACACGCTCGAGACGACCAAGAAGGAGCTCAAGCAGATGTACTATGACATGGTCGCCATGAGGTATGATCTTCAATAAACCTTTTGGTTTTGTTTTTGTCTTATATAAGTCTTCCTGCTCATGCTCTCTAGACGCATGGAAATGGCCGCCGACCGTCTCTACAAGGAGAAGAAGATCAGAGGGTTCTGCCACCTGTCGACCGGTCAGGAAGCCGTCGCCGTCGGCATCGAACACGCCATCACCCGCGACGACAAGATCATCACGGCTTACCGTTGCCACGGCTTTGCCATGATGCGTGGTGCCACGGTTCGCTCCATCATCGGTGAGCTGCTCGGCCGCCGTGAGGGTATCGCCTACGGCAAGGGTGGCTCCATGCACATGTTCGCCCCCAACTTCTACGGCGGCAACGGTATCGTCGGTGCCCAGGTCCCTGTCGGCGCTGGTCTGGCCTTTGCCCAGCAGTACAACGATGAGAAGACCACTAGCATCGTCCTGTACGGTGACGGTGCCTCTAACCAGGGCCAGGTCTTCGAGGCCTTCAACATGGCCAAGCTCTGGAAGCTTCCTGTTCTGTTTGGCTGCGAGAGTGAGTTTTTTTTTTTTTTTTTTTTTTTTTTTTTTTTTTACTTCTTCCCCAAAATATGTGTATTTCTTTGCTAATTTTCTAGACAACAAGTACGGTATGGGTACCTCTGCGGCCCGCTCCTCCGCCCTGACGGACTACTACAAGCGTGGACAGTACATCCCCGGTATCAAGGTGAACGGGATGGACGTTCTGGCGACCAAGGCTGCGGTGCAGTACGGCAAGGAGTACGCGGTGTCCGGCAAGGGCCCGCTGGTGTTCGAGTACGTGACCTACCGCTACGGTGGACACTCCATGTCCGACCCGGGCACGACCTACCGCACACGCGAGGAGATCCAGCGCATGCGCAGCACGCACGATGCCATTGCGGGGCTCAAGCAGAAGATCCTCGACTGGGGCGTCGTCACCGAGGAGGAGCTCAAGACCATCGACAAGACCGCCCGTGCCAACGTCGACGCCGAGGTCGCCGTCGCCGAGCAGATGGCCGTCCCGGAGGCCAACTCCCGCATCCTCTTCGAGGACATCTACGTCCGCGGCTCCGAGCCCCGCTGGATGCGCGGCCGCACCGTCGACGAAACCTTCTACTACTAATCCCCCCCCCCCGCGCCATCCACTTGTCTTAGCCCATTTTTCCTATGTTAGGGTGCACGACTGAGTCTTCTAGACTCGGCCGAGGGGAAGGAAGAGGCACACCGAGCAAGCTATCTGTATGCTAGTAGTATACATCCATGTAATTTAACCCTACCAGAATTTTTTTTTTCATGTAGTCTTGAATAGAGCAATCCGTATGGGTATCAATTGGTACAGAACTAATCTCTTACCTAGGTACCTATCTAGGCAACTAAATTATGTCACTATACCCGTCAAGCTAAAGCAGGAGAACAGTAAAAGATTCACGGCTCCTGTCTGAGCATCTCGAGAATCATCTCCTGCGTCCGTTGTACGGAATCTAGCCGTTCCTCGAGAGCGGTGCGCTCCTGCTCCATTTCCCGCCTGAGTTGGTTGATTACCTCGCGGCGAATCTCGTCTTTGAGTTGTTGCAGATCTGGCTGGGGGGTTGTAGTTGTATTTTCATTTGCATTTGTGTTTGCGGTTGTATCGTTTTGCACTGCTGTATTTGCTGGTTCAGACGGCTGCATCAGACTTAGTAACGAGTTGCTCTCCGGGTTATTGTCTAGATGTTTGTTCAGCCGCGTCAACGTTTCCAGCACGGCGGTCATGACGGTCGAATCGGTCGTCGGGCCGGCCGGTTGAGTCGAAGATGATGATGATGAGTACTGGACGGGCCGCGCGGGTGGTTGTTGCGACTGAGCACCAAACAGAGAGCCGTACCCTGGCGGTAACCGGATCGAGGGGGATGAAGGTTGTGAAAGAGTGGCATGTTGAGGACTCAGTGTTGGGGCGGTGGTATTTGTATTTGTGTTTGTGTTTGTGGCTGTGGTTGTCGTTGTGGTGGTGCCCTCCGTCCTCGTCACGGGCGAAGAAGGGTGCCTCCATCCACCCTCCGCCGTGACCGAGGATACCTGCCAGGGATCCCAGGGTCCTTCCTTGCGCTTCCGGGGCCGTCGCGAGTCGCGTCGCTCGATGCGGCGGGCTTCGGCCTCCTCCCACCGCCGCCACGTCGGGACCCATGCGTCGACGGCCTCGCGCCATTGCGGGTTGGAAAAGTCGTCGTTGGCACTTGTGTCGCCGCCGGAATTGGCGGCCCGGTCATCCAGAAACTTGATCCGCTGCTTCGTTACCACTTCCACCTTGCGCCGTACCGAGTGCCATGAGTACGGATGGCCCTGCTCGCGGGTGAACTCGTCCGTCACCGTCTGCCACCATTTACACAGCGTGCTGCGGTGCCCAAAGTCTGCCATGTGCCGGTTACAGATCTGAAACAGGCACACTTCTTCCTTCGTCGTCAGCCGTTTGCCGTGTTTCCGCCCACTGGCGTCTCCCGTCCCTTCGTCCGGCCCATCGCCCCCGCGCATGTTCCGCAGCGCAGCTTGGTTGCTGATAGGCGTGGCGGGCGTGCTCGTCGCCGTAGCACTCACCAGGGCCGCTACGCTGGTAGCGGCCAGGCTCGCCGGGTGCTCGATACTCGCAACAGCAGTAGTGGCAGCAGGCGTAGGCGCGTAGTCTGGGTCGCTGGGGGCGTCGTCCATTGCTGCATCTCGCCCCGTCGACCGGCTCTCGGACGGGTCGCTGTCGCCTTCCTCTGAGTCCTCGGCTGGGGAAATCGCCCGGCTGCCCTGCGAGTCAATTACAACGGCCACAGGCCGTGTCTGTGATGTAGGATTGGCATCCTGATAGCCCCGGAGATGCGATGATATGGTAGGCAGGTTGTGTGGTGACGACTGCTGCGTGTGAGCCTGAGCTGGATGCGCATTTTTGTGGCTGTTGCTATGAGAGCTGCTGTTGCTCTGCGCTTGACTCTGGGGTTGTTGGGACCGCGACATGGCCGACGGCAGCCATCGCAGCTGCGGCACCTGAAAGGTCGAGGAAGACGTAGACGATGCGACTCGACCGCTGGCTGGAGTGCTGGCTGCAGGCGTCTCGCTTTGCCACGGAAACATCGGCCTGGCACAGAAGGCACTGTATCGCTCCGGTTTATTGACGCTGTGACGATCAGATAGATCTTATCAACTGGCGATGGTCGTCGGATCGTCGGACGGGAGAAAAATGAAAAAAATCCACTGGCGTTTCTGCAATTTTACGGTCGGCTCCGGAACCGGGTAATTTATATCCGTTTGCAATTGACTCAATAGTATCCAGTAACTTATGGTCTTGAATTCTATCAACAGAACTATCGCAAATTTCCATCTGGATGTTAGGCTGGTTTCTTTTAACGAGAAGACTGATAGATATTTAGATTGATACTTAGGGTACTGCTATTCAATCTTGAATTGCTATGCTAGTTATACATTTATGCCATTCCATAGTCGACTGGTGTACAGAGAGTTCTTATTAGCACAGGCACCACTGTCGAGCCCTTCATCTGCCTGTCAGGAGGCTGGGATGAATGCCCTAGAGCCTATAATATAACAAGAAACCACAATAAGAAACCAGAGCCCCAGCAAGACGGCGTCGAAATAGAGAGAGAGAGAGAGAGAGATGAAGCTATTAATTACAAGAACCAGTTGGGTCGTTTACCGTCTCCGCAGATACCAGGCAAAGGCGGACGTGCTGATGTTCTCTCCGAAGGGAGTCGGGACTTCTGCGAGGCCGGGTCGCGCAACGGGGTGACGGAGGTACACTGCAGCACAGATATTATGGTTGACTTCAAGGTATCGCGGGATGAGAGCAAAGGCACTCATGTAGTCTCGTGGCCTCCAGGGCGTGGCGTATGGCTTGGTGCTGTCGATCGGGTTGTCACGCAGTTGGACAAGTGCGCGCTTGAGGACGTTGAGGTCCTCGTCGGACAGCTCTGCCGTCGTCTCCTCATCCAGCTCTGCTTCCGGATTCAAGGATGCTTTCTGGAATGCCTTGGCCAACTGTTCACTCGTCTTGTTATCCGCGGCAGCGGTAGACGAGCTGGGCTCGACGTCCTCCGGTTCGCTCTTCTTCGACACCTGCTCTTCCTTGGGGGTCGTTTTCTCGCCACGTGTAGCCTTCAGCAGGGAGGTGATTTCGGAGAGCTGGGCTTCCAGATTGTCGGTCAGGACGGCACTGGACTGAGAACGAGACAACACGCGACGGACGGAGCGTTGGAAGGCCCGAAGCTCCTGTTTGCGTTTGGCGGGGAGAACTTCTTTGCTGGAAGTCATGATCTTCTTGGCCTGAGCCAGCAGAGCCCTCAGAGTCTGGCGAGGATCCTCCTCTCCCTTGGCCTCTGCTTCGGCTGCGGGCTCGCCGTCCTTCTCCTCCGCTGCTTCTTCTGCTGGGGCACCCTCCTCCACGTCCTCGGCCGCCTCAGCCGCAGCCCGTCGAGCCTCAGCGGCCTGCTTGCGGGCGGTTCGTCCCTCCCGACGCTCCATCCTGTCCTTGGGTGCACCGGTAGCGTACATGACTTGTTCAGGTTCGACCTGGAAGAGGTCCCCGGGGTTAAGGAGGTAGCCGGGATATGTCATCTTAACAGCGAGGGATGATAGTCAGTACGCTGTAGCTAAAGTTACAATTACTAGATTGGAATCACGACGTACCCTCTGTCCATTGACGGTGACAGCACCGTGGATGACAAATTGCCGCGCCTGTCTCGTACTGCTAGCGAACATCGCGCGGAAGATGGCAACGTCTAACCGTCGTTCGAGGGGAGCAAAGGTCATATGGGTATAGGGAATGCGTTTGGAGTCTGACTTGCGCTCACTGCCATCCGGATCAAGACCCGAGCCTCGACCGGCGGACATCTGCGAGCCATCGTCTCGCGCCAGCTGTATCGGGTTCATGGGCATCACAGCCCGCAGACGCTTGGAGAACATGCGTGTCCATTGCGACTCCCGCACCTGCTCGCCATGGTATGCTCGGGAAACCGACTTGGCGGCCCACTTCTGCTGGAAATGGGTCTTGAAGAACGTCGGGGGGGTGCGGAATCGTTGCAGGTTATACAGGTTGTATTTGCTCCATGATTGCCGGATTTTCTAAACAGCAACCCAGGGGAAGACCGAGTCAGCAATGTGCATGTTGAGATCAAAGAGAATTTCCAGGTGACATAACATACCGCCTTGCTTAAAGGCGTCGTCGCCCTGTTCCTCATGATGGCGCAGTGTCAAGCAATCCTCTTGCCTGGTGGTCAAACAACTCCGCGTTCCTCTCCCAAAACTTCACAAAAAAGCCGCCTTCCGATTGCACGTGACCAGGACCAGACACCTCATGGAAGCCTTAGACATGCAGTTGAGGCCTCAGGCAATAAAATTATGGTGATTGGCCCGTTCATGGCTCGCTTACCGCTAGCGCGCTCTGAGCTGCCCCACTGCAGACCATAAATAGCTCGGTCGCCCGTCCATCTTTTAGAACATTTTCTTCTTCTTTTCTTCATACTTACCTTGTTTGGGTGGCTGCGATCAAGAAGGCGGTCCACCACAGATTGGTCCCTGCATTGCACAGCGCGGCGGAACAGTTTGTTCAACGGCTTTCGGGTCATTGACAGGCGTATTCTTTGGCACTCTCCACTCTGTGGACCATATCTTTTCATCATTTCTTCGCTACATGCGAGGGTATGGAGAAGGGGTAATTGTGTAGACCTTTTTCTGTACAACCGAATTTAAATACTTGGGAATGGAAACTCAGATTATGTGTAAATTGTATTTTCAATACAGTACGTTGTGTCACAAATGAATGGCTCTTTCTTTGGTACTCCGTATAACAATTCGTTGATCTTCATTAGTGAGGGGAAGGAAGACTAGGTATACTACCAGGTATTCTACTTAGTATATATAGTTATGTATGATTCAAGCCGACTCCGGCTTCTGAGCTATGATAACATGACTATAGATATATATCAGCATTGTCTATCTAGTTATATCACTTGTTGGTATTGTTCAAAAAGAGCAACTCACATGTATGCCATGGCATGAACATCCAGTCGTGCACAGTCTCTACGAACACCAGCGTTCAGAACCTCGATTTCAGGTCGACTCCAGCCCAGGACCTCCGAGAAAGGTGCTGCAGTGAAGCCATCTACACCTTCGATCCAGTTGATGGCAGCAAATCTTCCAACCTCTTTCTGTAGTGCCGGGGTGGTCACTGGTCAGCTTGGGGGGAAAAAGCATCGCTAAGTAATTCAAGTATTTCTTTGTCTCGTACCAATCGTTTATCTTTCGGCCATCCTCCCATGGGCACTGGGAATTTTTCAGCCTTTACATTGATAAAGCCCTGATCCTTCACCTGACCCTCAAGGTTAAGCGTGTTGTCAAGTGGCTTTCCGATCTTTCTGCAGGCCTCGTTGAGGTGCTTGATAAGCACCAGGGCATAGTGGTCTGGCTTGAGGGTGCCGTCTTCTGAGTAAAACCAGTTCTCAAATTCCTGGAATTCAACCCAACCGCCGGGTTTCAGATTGCTAGCAAGAAAAAAAACCCATTTTCAGTTTCAGGACCAGGACTAGGGGAAAGGGGACCAACTCGTAGGCTTGACGTATCAAACGTGGCCAGTCGCCGATGGATTTGGCCATGTATCGAGAATGGATGTAATCATAAGGCTGGGGTTCGACCCAGTCCTCCTCGACGTTATCGATGATGAACTTGACATTGGGCGGCATCCTGTGCCGCAGGTGAGCTTTCGATCGATACCATGGTCAATGGGGAAAACATTTATGAATACCAGGTGGGCTGGATTGGGCTAAGATCGATTCCAATGATCTAGAGAAATCGACAAGTCAGACTACGGCCCATATCTTTTTAACGTAAAAGAGGCTTGAACGCACCATTTCGGCCTCAGGGTGTTCGTCGCCCATTTGCATCGCCCAGATGCCGGTGCCGGTCCCAATATCCAGAACACGCTTACCGTCCAGCTTGATGGGAGCCAGGTAGAGGCGATCATTCATTGCTCTGTAGTATATATGGTGCGTCATATCGAGACGGTCTTGTTCCTGTTCATCGTTTGGGAAAAGATACGCTGTTGTCATTAGCCTGCTCCATCTCTTTTTCTGTAGCACAGGCGTAGCTTAACTAACCCCCGCTTTGATAGCTGTGATAGCGACGGCCGTGCTTGAACTCATGAGCCAGTACGCTCGAGCTGAGCGACGTAGTGTAGGTCGAGCTGGGGTTGAAATCAGAAAGAAGAATCGGTGGTCGTCGTCTTGCAGTCTGAGGGTAAGGGTACCTACCCGCCATCGCTAAAGGTCGAGTCGTTTCCCTGTCAGTCCGGGTCAGTATGTACCATATAACTAAACTATCAAATCATGGATGTTGAATAATCGTACCTCGTCTTCGAATGTGTCGACCTCAATCATCTGCTGAGGGGCAGGGATATCGTTTGCAGCAGCTGGTTGCGCCATGGAGATAATTACGTGAGAAATGAGTAGAATGCACGGAGACTTGGTAGTGAAACATTATATTCCAGATGACTATCTTTATAAGCCAGTGAAGACTAGGATTAATAGTCTCAGATGATTATGACAACTAGTTAGCGAGAAGGAATTGGTCTAAGGAGTTGGTCTCATGCAGGCTTAAGAGATGTAACGTTAGTAAATGGATATTAATATTAGACTATAGGCTTCTATATAGGTTAATCATCAGGAAGGATGGTCTATAAATTAGTTTTTTTTTTTTTTTAAAAAAAAAAAACCCCCCCCTACTAACCATGTACCGCTGTTATCTATATCAAGTAGGTTTAAATATAATGGGCATATTATTGCATAAACGCATATCTAAGCACCCCCTTCTTCTACAAAGTATGCAGGGGTCTATCATGAGGTGGAGACCAGAAACGGCTATTAGGCACGATGCCACAATATTACAGGCTCTACAGGATGCTCCGTAGAGTCTGGCCGCGAGTAACTACGGAGCGTGTAACCGATTGGTGTCTGGAAGCTCCGCTAAGCTTCGTGGTACGATTTGGAACCGTTATTATTGAGTCTTCATGTTCGTGGATGAAGCCGGCGAGTAAAGAATTAGAACTAACTAATCCTCGCGTTTCGCGCTGGGAAATACCTCGAGCAGAGCTTCTGCTTCCTGGGGATTGACTGCATCATCAAGAATCTCGTGCGCCATTTCGACCGTCTCATCGGTGATTCCTTCTTCTAGCACGGGCCCGTCACTAAACGCCAGGCGTGTCAACACAACCAGGAATTTCTGCTTCCCGCCTGCAACCCGTACGAGTTTGGATTGCAGATCCAGGCCCTCCTTGTGGCGTTGAATGACGGAGTAGATCAGATGCATCAGCTGGTTCACTAGAGCCGAGTGCAGATCTCGTTCCGGGGGGTAGGAGTATAGCGCATCCAGCTCGTCATGCATCGCCCGAAACAGCCGTGCCAAAACGGTAGGATGAGAGGCGATGACAGAGCTCCCGTGAGTGCTGTCGGGAGCCATGGAGTTGAACGCTATCTGGGCCAGGAGCGAAAGGGCCTCGAGTCGCAGGCTGCAGATCTCGATCGAGGTGTATGGAGGGTCACCCTCATCTACTTGGGGCATTTCACTCAGCAAATTAGCGAGACGATCGACGATGTATTTCTCATTTGCCGCTTGCTCTTCTTTGGAATCACGGAGTGAACCAAATGAAGTGGGCGAGATGCTGGTCGATAGGAGATTGATGGTGAGGATGATGTCGCGGATCGGCTGGGAAGAGTTCAACATCATCAGAACGAAATCGTATCGCATGAACTGCCAGAAATCCCGCAATGCAGACTCGACATGAAGACACCCGCATGCCATATCGTACAGCAAGGTCAACATTTCCGTCGAGTCCACCTCGGGCTGGAGTTCAGACTGCGGTGTTTGCCGGATTTGGCCCAAATTTTTTCGTGAAACAGGGGAGTTTCGAAACCTGGGGACACCGTTTATATCTCCTGCCTCTTGCAGCACTGGAACCAGATGGCCGATCAACTGGGGAATAAATCTCATGTCTAGGGCAAGAATAAACTGCACAATCGACATAAACATGGGAACTGGCCGGAAGAATTTTTCCTTTAACGCGCGCGACCACAAAGATGCGACACATGCAGCATAACCAACTGGATAGTTTTTGGGGTTGAGGCTCGCTGTTTCTTCGAGGATGATACTGGAGAGCATTCGTTGTGGTTCGGAGGGATAAGCCAATCGTGCCATTTCCTCGATATCACGATTCATCGTGGGTGGACTGCGATGGTTTAAGATCTGTGTCATGAAACGGGCATTGCGATTATCGCTATAGGTCGAGGGCTGTTCATAATGTTCTTCGGCAAGCTCATGCAGGAGTTCGTCGTCGGCAGTATCAGCCAGGGGAGGTGCCTCCGCGCTCAGCTGTAGAGGAATTGTGGAAGTTGGTGTGAGGCTATCCTGACTCAGTTTTCTTTTTCTCTTGCCAGGGACAGTGGGGGTATTTTTCTTCGAGCGCCTCTCGGTCGATTTACTGGGAGACACCACAGTGATTTCATCGTCATCAAACCCATCGCGGAAGGGCAACACGCGAGACTTCCTGGGCGTTATAGGGGGTTCCTTGGCCTCGGATTTGATTTTAGTTTTCAGATTGTTGAGACGCAGGGCTTCCTCTGCAAGGTCCTGTTTCAGAAAGGCATTCTCGGTAGCTAGCATCTTGCCTTCAGCTCGTGCTGCTTCTACCTCTTCCTTGTGTTTGGCCGACTCATCTGCCATGGATTTCCGCAATGCAGCCATTTGTCTCTCAAGGTTCTGTATCACTCTGGCCTGGTTGGACCGTATGATCGATATTTCGCCGGCTTTCGTATCCGCATCATTCTTGGCCTCTGATAATTCTCGTAGGATCCGCTCATTTTGCCGAGTGAGCTGCTCGCCATTGTCAGATATCTGAGTCTCGGAGACCATTACGGATGCTCAATCCATACATACTTCTTCAATTTGGGTGGTCAATTCCTGAATCTCGACCTGTATACCAGCACTGTGAACTTCCTCAACCATCATGGTATCGTGGAGCATTTCATGCCGTTCCCAATCCATCTGCCCCTCAGCATTCTGATCCTGAACCGCCATATAATCCATTGGGTGTTCCTGCACAGCTGCATACTGGCCAAGCGCGGCTGATTGTATATTGTCATCTTCAAGGACCTCGGCATCAGGGTCCCCGACATCGAGTGTGCCATACTCGCTCGTCAATCCGGTATGTAAGCGCGAAGGGACATTCAATGCTGATCGCGAACGAATTTGCCGGTCCGGTGGCCCGCTCTGAGCCGGAGAGTATTCCTGTGCTGTGGGTTGTTGTGACTGAGCTCTCTGTGCCTGCGTTGCCTGGTAGGCGCTCTGTTCCAGCTCGAACAATGTGCCTGGCGGCAGGGAATCGAAGCCATCGTCTGAGAAGAAATCTTCATCGTTGTCTTCCATAACCCAGACTGATGCATAGCCATGAAGGAAAGGGCTTTTGGGAGGCGGAGGGGGAGGAATCGAATCAAAGACTTGCTTGGAGAATGTTCCGCATGTGAAATGGGGTTGGACAATCTTGAAATCCGAAAACCGTACAGAACGCTAGGCCTGTCACGTTTGTGACTGTAATTACAATAAGGATACCGCTCAATATTACCGTGGCTATGTACCTAGTAAGCAAGCCACGCTTGACGTAAGAGCGCCAGGCAATGCTGAAGGACAGCAAGATCTCACGGTAGTAATTTTTATGCTGCTGTTACTGCCATACTGTCCATGCTATTTCCTCCCTTCTCTGGCCTCTGACTCATCTTCTGTGATGCCTTCGACTGTGTAAGAATTGGCCGTGCATCTCAGGGATCTGACTCGCATCTTGCAAGCTCCTCTGCCCGTGCGTCTCCGCTCCCGACCGCTTTCGTTCCCAACTTCACGTGAAATTTCCTGTCAAGCTCAGTTCAGTCTCACCCACCCGTTGCTCCGGCGTTTCTGTCTGTCTCCCGCCTCGAAGAGCGTGTCTTGTTTCTCTGGATCTAGATCTCGATGTCCAAATCACGCCGGAACGTCCGGTTTCCCCACCGGAATGGCCTCGAGGGCCGCCGCCTGAGCATCTCCGACGTCAGCGACGCTGCGTCGGAGCCTGGCAGTCCAACTAAGAATGGCAGCATCCACAAGCCTGCTGCCATCCCAGAGGAGGTAAGAAGAAGAGCCCGCGCGTGGTGGGATAATGCTTGCTATGCCACCGCTTTGCCCTTATGATTGATACCTACTTGCGTGGTTGGTGTTGAAGATGCTGACGGTTCCCAGAAATCTGAGGGATCTGGCCTGTCCGATTACGAGAAGAAGAAACAGACATTTATCACACGGACAATATGGACCTTTGTTATGATTGCTGGCTTCTTCATTGCCATGTTTTCTGGACACATCTACATTATTGGAATTATCACAGCGGTTCAGATCGTTTCCTTCAAGGAGGTGATCGCCATCGCCAACATCCCGAGCAAAGAGAAGAACCTTGGCTTCACCAAGTCCTTGAACTGGTATTTTCTCGCCACCACCATGTATTTCCTGTACGGCGAAAGTGTCATCTACTACTTTAAACATATCCTGCTGGTGGACAAGGTTCTTTTGCCTCTGGCGACTCACCACCGCTTCATCAGCTTTACGCTTTATGTGATGGGTGAGTGCGACTCGTGAATCTGAATGTGGGGGGAGGTTGAGGAGACCCGAATATTGACAATTTACTTCCGTGTTAGGCTTTGTCTTTTTTGTCGGATCGTTAAAGAAAGGACACTACCGATTCCAGTTCACCCAATTTGCGTGGACTCATATGGCTCTGTACCTCATTGTCGTCCAAGCGCACTTTGTGATGAACAACATCTTCGAGGGCATGATCTGGTTTTTCCTCCCTGCATCGCTGGTCATTACAAATGATATCTTTGCCTACGTTTGTGGTATCACCTTCGGACGCACGCAGTTGATTAAGCTGTCGCCCAAGAAAACCGTCGAGGGCTTCATCGGCGCCTGGATTTGCACCATCATCTTTGGCTATTTCATGACAAACATGTTGATGCGCTACAAATACTTTGTCTGTCCTGTCAACGATCTCGGTTCAAATGTTCTGACAGGCTTGGAATGTGTCCCCAACCCGGTCTTTGTGCCCCATGCCTACCGACTTCCCTCGTGGACTGGAGTGGACAAGACCTTCTATGTTGAGCCCATGCAGTTTCACATCCTGGTATTCGCGACTTTTGCTTCCCTCATTGCGCCCTTCGGTGGCTTTTTTGCCTCTGGTCTCAAGCGCACCTTCAAGATCAAGGATTTTGGTGAATCGATCCCCGGCCACGGTGGCATCACTGATCGCATGGACTGCCAGTTCATCATGGGTTTCTTCGCCTACATGTATTTCCACAGCTTCATTGCTACCCACAAGGCGACAGTTGGCGACATCATCGAGAATGCCATCACCGGACTCACGGTGGACGAGCAGCTGGAGGTCGTCCGAGGACTGAGCAAGTATCTCTTTAACCAGGGCGCTGTTTCCGAAGGGGTATGGATCCTTCCTTATCCTTTCTCTTGTTTGCCTTGTTCTATTGAATTCACTAACTCCTTGTTTCACCAGATCCTCGAATGCATTTCTACCGAGCTTAAACGTCGGTAAGCGACTAGCCAAAACGATTGATGCATGCCCACGCCAACTTTCTCTTCTGTTTAAACACATACACATGGCGACAATCCTTTGGATGGCACTTCCCCCCTCCCAAAAAACCATTCTTGCGTCTCTCAACGTCATTCAGCGGAAAGTAGTTCACGATGTGTTTTTGAAATGACTAGGATCTTTAGTAACTCTTGCTAAACTTCTTTTCCCCTTTGCCCTTCCTTGCCTTCTCTTTCCGGCTAGGACCCATTGCTTGATATTTCGATAAAATCCCCGTTTAACCTGTGTGTTGAATGGAATTTTCTTCTTCTTTTACGTTCGAAGGAAATGGGGTTGCTTGCACATGCCACTGCAAGGCTTATTATTCTCTTTTTAATGCTTTTTTTTCTCTTACTTGTTTTTTCATACGTCGGATGCGCCTCTAATATCCTGTGGCCCTTCCTGTATCACCTGTGATCAAAGCGGTAGTAATTTGGACCTGGAAAAAAATGGATGGATGAGGAAATATTGAAGGCTTCGATTCAATTTCCTCTTGGAGCTGCGCTTAGCAAGGAGTGCCTGTGGCCTTTCACCATATATAGCTTTGGAAATGGAGTTTCTTCATGTTACTTGTATTATTACGATCAATCTATCTTGTTTTCTATATTCTATAAAGATTTTAGAGAAACAAAAAAAAAAAATCATTCATTGTCGAAGCATTTCTCCCATCTCTTCTCTCCTAGAGAACTGCCAGATGACGGATTGTCAGGGCACCAAGACATTTGTCTTAAGGAAGTCAAATACGGATAGTCTGTCTGCATGGATAGCGCTAAGATTCGTATATAGCGATGCGGTTGGCTGTAGCCATGTCTGACAGGTTGCGCCGCCGTATATTCGCATCATTTGCGGAAGGCGGACTTCAGTGACGATGTGGGTAGTTACCCATAATTTGGCATCGAATACTTGACATTCGGCATTCCCCGGACAGTATATGTTCGGGGGATCGGGCTTCGCATGCGAAACAAATCCTCGTCGTCTCGGAAAATATACGCTTCGGGTATTCTTTGGCCGGTCGATCGTGTTAGGACGTTGGCTTAGGCCCGGGATGGAGTGAGGCGCAGAATGCAAGTCACCTCACTGTTGAGTCGGTGGAAACACTCGAGCAGGTGTTTTTTGAGCCCGCTAGTATAGCAGCGACTTATTCCGGTACCTCGTATTCCTCGAATTCGACTCTGAAGTACTCGGCGGCTTTGCGTTTCTCGGACTCTGCCTGTTCTGGGTCAAGCATGAAACGCACAGTCCCGTCCCGGCCTCGCTCGCCGGGTTTAGGCTTTTCTCCGTTTGCCGACGCGGGGGTAAGGGGGTTGACGAGGGTATCAGCCTTGGTCTCCTGGGGTCGGTCATTCTTCCGGCCATTGGCTTTCGTCTCCTCGATCGCAGGGTTCCATCTTTGCACGCTGTAGCGCGGAAGATTCTGTGCTTCAGCCTCCTGGTTCAAGGGGATGCGAACCGTGAGAAAGATTTCTGCGGGAAATAGTGGACCGAGAAGAGTGGATGTCCGGTGGTGAGTGTACAACTCTAATAGATCAAGGAGCGTTTCTAGGGCAGTGCAGTGAGCGAGGAGTCTCCCTTGACCGCTGTAGAATTGGATAGGTGACCATTGTTTAAATGACTTACCCATGACCTCTTCCCGACTGGTTCTCCAGTCCCTGTAGTCGTCGCCTGATTCAACTGCATCTATACGATTGCTCAGAAGACGGCCAGCTATTTCAAGACAGCTGAATGCCATAGTCGCCGTGGTCTGTTTGAGAGGTGCAAAAGTCCGGTAAAGATCCAGTGAGACGCGATACGCTACCATGGACACTTCGGCCCGTTTGTCGATACCATATTGTTTGGCTAGCTTGATTAGCACGTTTTGCGGATGACGCGTGCGAAAGTCAAAGCCCGAGGCTTCAAGCATCAGTCTCTCAAGGCCAATGATGCCTCTGGCATGCCCCTCAAAGACCTGCAGATCGTCTTAGTGAACGGCAGTTATTTCGATAAGTCAAAACAGAACAAGAAAGGGCCTACCGGGTCATCTGGCGCCATGCGTTCTCCGGGCGGCAGCTTCGCATTATATGCAGCCGCAACAATTTCACGGGACTTCTTGAGCGTGTCCTCGATCTTGCAGGCGGTAAGCAGGGCAGCCGCAGCAGCATCCTGGATGAAGTTTTAGAATCGTGTAATGAGAATAAAACAGCCACAGGGATTGATAACGAACCACATAGTTGTATTCATTGTCTGCGTGGACCAGCCGGAATTTGTGGTAATATACCACGGCCGTGTTATATGTACGAACCGGGCTTGGTTTCGGATTAGTCGAGATCACCAAAATGAATCGAATCTCTCCAATTTATACATACAGACGAAGAGCCCGGCGGACATTGTCAATCCAGGTAACGCCCTGAAGACGCAAGGCCTCCTCGCGCAGGGGATCGATGCCGATAGAGGCTAAACAGTCCTGGATCGTCTGCTCAAAGACATACGGCTTGGCTACCTGGATGAACGACGGATGCGGGAGCGACGACTCAGCGACAAAGTCCGTGTTCTCTGCCCCCAAACGAGCCGCATCCTCTCTGTTCTCCGGGGCCATGATGGCTGTTTGACGGGCGTGTTGTTACTGTTAGATGGGATCAAATGGAGTCCCGTGATGCCATTCGATGAAGGACGCTGGCTGCGCTTTTCCATTAATAGACTAGTCGTTTATTTTCGGATCAAATATATTATCCGTGCCGAGTTTCGCTCTATCGTGCCTTCCCTTTAGTTACTTTACATTGTACAACCTCTTATGATATATTCATCATATAATAATTGAGTTATATGATGTGAGATGGCTAGTTCTTTTCAAGTAAAGGATATCATATCCTCCCTTGACCAGCTCTTCATGGGGTGTTATCAACATATGACTTGGGTTAGGTGCTATCAAGAACTATATATCGAGATAATACTCTATCACTGATGTCTGCAGATGCTGGGTCTGTCACGACTGGGAGCTATTACTCCATCTCATACCTGTCTATCCGCTCCTATCATACTTGGCAATCAAGTTGCGCATGATCGAGACTGCCCCCGAGCGATACCCTGCGCCGAAAATCACATGGTGGTTCAGATGGTGGTACCTGAAGATATCAGCCAAAGCTCTTCAAAGCTCTCCCATGCTCTCTCCACAGGGTGATACAAATCAAAAACTCACAACTCGTACAAAGCGATGCGGTCCTCGTACTCGTCCACAGGCTCCGTCCGGGGCACGATGCGATGGTACTCGTCGACAAACGCCGGCTCAAAGCCGCCGAACATGCGCATGATCCCCAGCTCGTACTCGCTATGAGCATAGCACGCAGACGGGTCATACACGACAGCACCGCCATCCGATTCTCTGCGCTCGTCGGTGTTGCCCTCGTCTGCTTCTCCCCGTGTGATGATCCGCCCATAGCCCGCATTCCCACTCCAGAGATCCCCATGCACGACCACGGGCGTGATCTCCTGTCCGGCCCCTTTGCTATCGAATCCCAAATGACCAGCGCGCAGTAACGCGGGCACGACCTTCTCGGCCGTCCTCTCCACCATCTCCCTTAGACTGGTGTCGCGCCCGTTGCGCCGCTCCGAGATGGCCAGGATCCCCAGCAGCCGGTCCTCGGCGTAGAACTGCGCCCACGACTCTCGCGCCATGTTGGCCTGCTTCGTGTCGCCGCAGAACGTAGGCACGGGGAACCCGAACATCCGTTGCTCATTTATCCTTGGCGCAGGCGTAGAGTGCAGCCTTCCCAACCGACTCGCCAGTCCGTTCTTCGTATCCCTCGCACCTTTCGATCCAGTCAAGTCCAGAAACTCGGTGATAAGGAACCATTTCTTGCTGCTCGCGTCGAGAGAGTCATACGCTACCCCGCGCGGACAGAAGCCCGGCACCGCGTCCGCAATGGCGTTCAAAGATGTAAACTCCCCGCGGAACATCTCCTGCGCGACTCTTCCATCCGATATCTTGACGAAGTAGATTCTTCCTTCTTCCCCCTTCTGTACCGTTAGCCGACCCGTTGTCGTGAACCCCGACAGACTGGTGGAGAGGGTTGAGATGGTGGATTCAGGAAGGGAGAGGGCGTTGAGGATGGAGGGGGGAGTAGACATTATATATATATAGAGAGAGAGAGAGAGAATAGAGAATATAAGATAGATAATAGAGAAGATACAATAATAGAGATAATAGAGAAGATATACAATATAGAGATACAATAATAGAGATACAATAATATCATCAGGTCAAGTCTACTAGTTATGACGTACTGATAAGATAATGAACTGAACAGCATAAGCTGCTTAATGTAGATATTTACTAGTTTGAAGCCCTAATTATTCTTTGTACACACGTAACCCCGAGGAGAGAGAGAGGAAGAGGAAAAGAAAAAAAAAGAATCAGCTCGCAGCATGCAGGTTCAGGAGATGGATGGCTGTTTTGGTGCGCTCGCGCACGTCGAGGTCGGCGTCGTCCTCCAGCGCGGCCAGTCGGTCCATCACGCCCAGGGATTTGAGCCGAAGCGACCGATCGCGACAGCCCGGGCGGTCGGTTTGGTCGTCCTCGTGTGCGAGGTTGATCATCACCCATACGCAGTTTGCGCGCACGTCGCGCTGCGGGTGGTTGAAGTAGCCTAGCAGGTTGCGGAGGAGGTCGTCGTGAGCTACTAGCAACTTGCGGTGCCGGGGCACACTCGCTGCCAAGTGGATGATAACATATGTTACCGAGACGAGAATCTCGGGTGGCACCTGGAGCAGGCGGCTACTGCTGGAGGCTAGGGGCCGGTGCGCGAGGTGGATGCTACGCGGGCGCAGCTTGTTCGCCAGGGCGTCCAGGAGGGCGTCCTGGCCGATCGTTTTGAAGAGGTAGTCGATCATCTCCGGCGCACCGGTCCCGCAGATGAGGTTGCGGAGTAGGTCGAATGTCTGCTCCTGCACGGCAATGTCATCCTGCCGGGCCTGCGTCGTCTGGTCGAGATCCCCAATCATGACCAGCTTGCGTCGCCGCCGCACATCCGGGAGAAACATTTCGAGACTCATCTTCGAGGAGGGCATCGTGTCGCTCATTTTGAAATCGTCTTCGGCGTCTTGCACATCTTCCATCGGGTTGAGCAGATCGACCTGTTCCCCAGCCGAGTTGGCAGTCCCCATCCCCAGAGCCGCCGTGCCCGCAGATTCCATCTCGTCTCGTCGGAACAGAGCAGCTCTGGTGGGATCCTGCATGATGATCTGTTTCAACCATTGTGGTTCCAGGGCGTCGATGATCTTGATCTTGACGTCGTTGGCTGAGCTGTAGGCCACATGTTTCAAAGCCCACAGACTCTCGATCCGTAGTTTCGTGTCGGGTGAATGTGCATGCTCGCAGAGGGTCGGCAGGATGTCTGCAGAAATGATTGCCTGAGAGAGATGAACAGGGTCAGAATAGCGCAGGCGAAAAGGATCAAAGTGTTTAGTCAGGCCTACCTCCTTCATCGGACTAAAATCAAGAACGAGATTGCAAATCACTGACGTGGCTGCGATCTGCACTTCGATGTCCGGGTGCTTGATCAAGACAAAGAGCGGGCTTGCGACACCGGCGTCAATGAGACTGGTCCGCAGGATACTGACTGACCTGGTCAACATACGCGCGGCACCACAAGCGGCTAGCAGAGTGGGCGTGGGATTGCCATCAGCTGCCGTGTTCTTCCAAGTGGTCGTGTCGGCGGGAGGATCTGACGGACGAGGTTTGAGGGAGTCGATGATGTAGGGGACCACACCGTTCTCGCAGACAGCCTTGCGGTATTCGTCTTTGAAGGGGACCAGGGCTGCCAGGGCTTTCAGGATGTTTTCCCGATATCGCATGATGTGGCAGACGACCGGTGAATATCCGGGAGGGCCGAGGGTACATTGCGGAAGAGCGTCAGCTGCTAGAGTAGGGGAGGCATCGGCGTGCCAGATCGACCGAGTGTTCTCTTGGATAGGGTTGTACGACTCCTTGAGGAGCTGTGATAGCCGCTTGATCGCACCCCCATCGACCGCATGCTTTTGTAACTCCTGGTCATCGATCACCAGGGTGGCCAGCACGGCTGGCGCCTCCGCCTTGAGTTGTTGGGTGGCGGAAAGGAGCCCACTGCAGGAGTCAGTCTCTTCGGGGCCATCCATCTCGTAGTCCTTGTCGAGCATCCGGATCAAGATGGGGATCAACAGATAGCTAAACATCGACACGCGGTGTTTCTTGGTAAACCCGAGGCGGTGCAGCACGGTCAACAGGCGGGCGGCCATCAACCGAAGCATGCCGGTCTCGGCGCGAACTATGTACAAGAGCCAAGGAACGATGACATCTTCATCGTCATCGGCCGAAGAGTCTTCGAGCAGCGAGAACGGAGTAGGATACGAGTGACTGTGTCGCCGGTGATGATGATGAGATGTGGTCGAGGCCAATGGCGGGAAGTTGGCCGCGCTCGTCGAGGGCTTGCCGGTCTGTTGGGCCACGGGAACAGAGGGGAGGAGGCCGTCGAGAGCATTCTGCCCACTGCCGTGACGGGGAACGGCGGATCCGGACAGATAGGTGAGACCCCAGGGGGCCTTTTTAATATCTTGGGGAGCAAACTCGGGGGGCAGCTGCTTGGGAAAGACAGTGAGGATGCCTGGAGAGGACAGGAAATGCTCTGCTCGACCCTTGGAGTGCTCGACAATGACGGAAATGGCGCGTAGGATGGGGGCCAGTTTTGCACTTGGGGGAGCCGGGGCTGGGAGCGCTCCCAGGGCGCCCGGTGCATCGACGTGCTCCTCGGCGCCGGGCACGACAAACCCCTGTGCGACGACAAACGAGGCGACTTTCCCTGCCAGAGCATCCAGAACACCCGACGCCGACAGCGTGGCCTTGTGCGTCTCCTCGGTGCATAGATTCCCCACCAGCGCGGCGACGAGCTCAATCGACGCCTGGGCACTCGGCGAGGTGTAATCCTGGGCCAGGATCCGGGCCAGCGAGTCTATATGTTCTCTGGAGAAGAGCAAGTCGGCAAGACGCGTATCTTTCCGCCATTGGGTTTGACTCTGCAAGGGTAGCCGATCAGCGATGGCGTTTAGGGTTCTGAGGATGGGAAGAGAGAGCGACAGAGGACAGTCCGGCGACGACAGGATGCGCAGCAGAATCGAGACAATCTCGCTGGACAGTATAGGCGAGAGAAAGGAGGGTCCGCCTGTCGGATGAGGTGGTCAGTGGCGGGTGACTGCAGGATGGATTGATTGATAACTTGGGCTAGCATCATCATCATCATCATCATCATCATCATCATAACATACCTTGGGCTAGACTGCCAACAATGATAATCGCTTGGACGCAGGCCTCGTCTTCTACCGTCCTCCCGGTCCGTTGCAGACCCTGCTGAGTAGCACCAGCACCAGCACCATTGAGCTCGAGCTCGGCGAACCGCTTGTCGCCCGACAGTCTCGAGGCAAGGACATGTGAGAGTACGGGAACGATGCCCCAGCCGATCCAGGCCTCCTTGCGGTGATCATGGCCAATAATATCGTTCTTGAGCGCCCGCAGCCCCGCGGTCTGCGACGACAGCGATTCCGGACTCTGGAGCTGGAGCAGCAGCGGTGGTGGTGTTGTGGCTCGCGTCATCGTCCGAAGAGGAACGCCGCCTCCGGGACGGACGTCCTGTCGTAGGGGTCACGCAAGCGATAATCAGGACGGAAGGGAGAAAAGAAATATAATGGCGAGCACAACTAAACCGGGTATTACAGCTTAAACCAAGAAAAGAAAAGAAAAGAAAAGAGCGTCCAGTCGATCGTTCGGCGCCGGGCAGCCAGGAGGGGGGGGGGGGGGGGGAGGATGGATTCGGGAGATTTGAGAGGGGCCGTTTCTGGTTAGGAACTGCGGCCGCTCGAGGTATGTAGACAGAAGCACGAGGAGATATGACAGGGGAGAGAGAGACAGCAGCACAAGGGAGATAGATGGTTGAGCATTCAATGTGCTTAAGCCCTGTCCAGTGCTGCACTACAGAGAACTGACGGTGGACGTCTGAACTTCCCCGTCGTGTCCTACACTCGACAAGTTCTGTGCCTTGCCTGTTTGGGGAGCGCCTTTGTTGATAACGTAATAAGGTCATGTGATGTCATGTCATGTGACTGCTGACAGACCATCCATCATGTGATTAATAATGTCAGGTGATACCACATGACTTTTATTATATAATGTGACATCATGTGACATGACGTATTTATTACAAATCCTTTGGTCAGGTGCCACCTCCAACATTGGGAGCCAGAGGGACAAAATGCCCAGCCAAGCCACGTCGATACGGTGAGTCGGTGACACGGTATTACCAGCCTGGCCGGGACACTGGCCCAAGCCAATAGGGCCCGCGACAGCCGGCACCCCAGCCCGGCGTACGGTAATTACGGAAGATTACCGCAACCCCATCCAGGATGCCCCAGCAATGACGATCGGGCGGACAAGGTTTTTCTGTGTGTGGGAAAGACTTTTCTTGCTCCTCGGAGGTCTGTCTGTACAAGTACTTGGGGACCTACACCGTCAACAACTCTCGCTGCGGAGGTTTCCTGGCCGCAATAAAGATGCGTCAGTGCACTCGACACCCAGCGTCCCAGCATTCCACCAGGCAGCGATCCCTAGTACCCGTACCACCTCACTCCTTAGCTCTGTTCCGTCTGCGCGGTACGCTCAGCGTCTGCCCACGTGGGAGCCTCGTTGGATGAGATGCTCGCCTCCTCGCCCTCGCCCGCCCTACATGCGGGCCTGTCACCGCCTCCTCCACCTCCCTTTGCCTCGCCTGCCTCGTCCTCGCCGCATCAGCAGCATCGCCATGAGCGAGCGAGCCACCCCGCTGCTGGGTCCTGCTCTTCTGCCGTCTCTGCTGCTGCTGCTGCCGCTGCTGCTGTCCGATCGTCTCGCCCCGCGCCCCAGTCTGCCACCTCGCGGTTGGCCCAGGGGATCGAGGAGCTGCGGACTGCCCTGAAGAGACACACCGTCGATCCGGCCGCCACCACCGCGCCGCTGGGTTTTACGCCGCCGCCGCCCTCCTCAGGAGGGGACCAGCAGCCTGGCGGTATGGTGTCCGCGGGCGCGTCCTCCTCCCTCGGGGGCGGGAATACGAATCCTTCCACCACCACCACCACCACCTCCACCACCTCCTCCTCCTCCTCCACCTCCTCCTCCTCCTCCACCTCCACTGACAACGACGACACCCGACCGACTGCTGCCTTGGCTGACTCCCTCTCTCGCTCGTCGATCAACTCGCCTGCTCGCCCACCGGCAGGGCTGTCGCAGATGCCCGCTCTCACCAGTGCGGGGGCTCAGAAACGCAGCAGTCCAGATGATACGACCGTGCATCCAACCCGGTCGCTCGACAGGGGTGGTGACGCCCTAGAGGAGCAGCAGCAACAGCCCAAACGTCTACGGCCGCCCAAGCCGGTCGTCAAGCTCCTACCGCAGGACTACGAATTCGCTGACCCCCGTGACATTGTCATGCTCATCTCGAGCATGTTGATGGAGCTGATTCGCTTCAACGACAAGATCCCCCTGCACCACGGTCGCCTTACCCGCTTCCACTCGCGCTCACCCCCGCGTATCTCCGTGCAAGATTATCTACAACGTCTCACTACTCACGCGACCCTATCCCCGCCCATCCTCTTAAGCATGGTCTACTACATCGACCGTCTCTGCGCCTTCTACCCGGCCTTTACCGTCTCCAGTCTCACAATCCACCGATTCCTCATCACCAGTGCCACCGTCGCCAGCAAGGGTCTCAGCGACAGTTTCTGGACCAACAAGACCTACGCCCGCGTCGGCGGTATCACCGTCGACGAGCTGGCCCTCCTGGAGCTGGAGTTTCTCTTTCGCGTCGAATGGCGGATTGTACCGCAACCAGAGGTACTCGTCGACTACTATCAGAGTCTCGCCGAGCGCTGCGAGGGTTATGAGATTCAATCCAGTAAGAATGATAGCATAGCACAACCACCCGCACAACCACAACCCCCATCTGCATAATCACCTCCTTTTTGACGCCCGCATTGTTCGACGTGACCTTGTTACGGTAAATCATCTTATATCGCCTCCGATATCATATAAACACCACCCCCCACCCCCCTGAATCAAATGAGTTCAGATTCGTCCTTACGATAGGCAGCCAGCCACCCACCACGCAGTAGCGAGCGTGTTCTATACGATTAGGTTGTTCTTTCATCCTCACCTAGCCTTTCCAAATCCTTTACCGGAGCCGAAGAAAAATAGATCGGGCATGCCTCCACCGGCAATGAAGTTGTCCTACCTCTTTATTTTACCAATGTCTTCCCCTATTCATCCTTCTCGTTTATGATAACCAATTGTACTACTTGTATTTATGTACACCTCCATGTTTTTTCTTTCTTTCTTTTTACTCTTCGGTGTTCGTCTGGGGAGGGCTTTAGAAAAGAAAAGGAAAATATAATTTTAATAATATTTCGATGGAATCGAATCGGAGATTTCAATCTCCCTTGCTTGCTGTTTCCTTTCTGTAGCGATTTCCAAAAAGGGGCCTCAGTAGGGCTTAGGGCACAGGGCACAGGGCTACGATAAGATTTCGAGAGATCTTTATGCAAAAGGCCCGCAGCAATGAGAGGCATACTGTTTAGTAACAGCACCCCCCCTTACAATAACGATGGATGTTGCGGCAAGGTTGGCAGGCATTTGCCCATTGAAAGGGAAGATCTTGCCAATCAAGACGGTCCAGGAGATCCGGACCAAAGAAGAATATGGTGAGTTACCCATGGAATTACTCCGTCTGCCCTTTCGGCTGACAGGAAGGAACGCAGCCGATGCGTACGTTGCCGAAGTCGGGGTGAAGTCAGCATCGCAAGTGATCAAGTCAGTATGGAATAATAACAATAATAATAATAAAAAAAAGAAAAGAAAAAGAGTCGCTGATATGGATGACAGAGCTCTCGATGCCACCTTTCCACGCGACCCCGCCGTACCTCTCCAGCACGTCCGTCGATTTGCGAAATTCGACCGTCTCCCCGAGAAGCTACAGGTGGAGATTTCAACACAGGAGGATCAAGATGCCAGCCTGAACCAGACCATTTTCGTGCTTATATCGTCCCCGTTGCCCGAAAAGGACGCCCTGCAGGCCCTGCTCGCTCCGTTCGCCCCCGTCAGCGGTAGTGGTAGTGGTAGTGGTAGTAGTGGTGGTGGTCCCCCGATCCGCCTCCTGTCCACCCAGATCCCGATACAGCCCCCGTTGAACCCGGCCCAGGCAGAGACATGGTCCAAGACCTTGTGGCCCGTCACCTTCAACCCGGCTGCGCCTAGGGCGATGAATGCCCCCCCCCTGCAGGTTCTCAGCCGGGTACGCAAATCCATCCAACATCGCGCAGGGCATTACCTCGCCCTCGCGCACCAGGTGGCTCTCGAGGCGGAACAGTCCGGCCTAGGACGTGGGGTGGGTGCTGTAATTGTTGATCCGTCGATTGAGATCACCACCGGCAATGATACCGACGAGACACAGACAGAGAAAGAGACAGAGACAGAGACAGAGACAGCCTGGATGCAAGCCGTCATCGCCGTCGCAGGGGACGCACGCTACTCGCGTCAAGAAGGCGGGTTACCCTCCTCCCAAGCCGAACGGTACTCAGATGGTGGCGGCGGCGGTCCAAACCCAGCCTGCGACACATACACGGCGGATCTGGAAGGCGGGCCGGAACTACACGCTCTGATGCGCGGTGTGGAGATGGTCGCGCGGAGAAGACGGGAAGGCGATGCACGCCATTCGCATTCAGGACGTCAAGTCGGCGCAGATCTGAGCCCGCTAGAATCCTATTTCCTCTATCGGGATGAGGATCGACCCTTGAAACGACAGAAGCTGGACGAGTCCACGCAACAACAGCAACAACAGGGCGACCACCACCACCACTCGTCCGATGTGAATGAATCGCGCATCCTCTCCCGCTCGCAGGGCGGCTACCTCTGCACAGACCTGGACGTCTACCTTACCCATGAGCCGTGTCTGTGTTGCTCAATGGGGATGCTCCTGTCGCGCTTCCGGGCAGTTGTCTTTCCGCGGTCGGGGCGGATGAGCACCGGCGGTCTGGCTTCGGAGATGTTCTTACAAAAGACACATGAAGAACATCACCAACAACAGGATGATGAACCCGAGAGTGGTTTGACGGAGGAGCGACAGTATTACGGGCTCCACTGGCGCAAGGAATTCAACTGGCGGGCCCTGGGGTTCGAGTACATTGATGACAAGCTTCCAGATTCAACTGGAACAGTTGCATTCCATGCATAGTTATTTAAAGGAAAACCCCAATATTCAATGAAATGTAGATTAGAGTGACAGGATTCATGGTCCACAGATAACTTGTTCCCATCAATAGATCAGTGTAATAAAACATTAACATCACTCATTATCGATATAACAAAATACACATAGCAATAAAAAGAAAAATAAAATAAAATAAATAAATACATGCAAGGCTATAATAAGAGGCTAGGTCATACTAGCCCTAGTGCTAGGTCATTGCTGTATCATATCATCATTGATGGCTAGATAAAAAAACCAGGGGAGAATGCAAATTGCAAGAGGGACATCTGAGCCGAGCGTTCATCTCAGCAAGACGAGACCTTTCGTCAGAAGCAAAAAGCCTTGAAAAGAGACGCAAAAATGAAGGATGCAGAAACAAACCCAACCCCCAACCCGAGCCAAAGTCAAGCAGTCAACTAGCATAGATACAGTGCAAGCTTCGGTCATGGCAGATGCCACGGATCGCGCGAGCACTCGTATCTTTGTCGTGATGCATTCGGAGCAGTCATCAAAAAAAGGGAAGAAAAGAAAAGTAATGTAAGGAAAGGAAAACCGTGCAAATCAAAGGGAAAACATGGTACATCAATGAAGGCAAGCTGGTTGCGAAACGTTCGTTTGAGACGCGTCTACGGAATCACTGGGTGCCACGCAGCTCGCGCGCGCGGCGAGAGAGAGGCGGGATCTTGCGAAGAACGGGGTCGTGAGGGGTGTTCTCCGCAATGGTCATGTACAGACTCTCCAGGCGCTGGATGAGGATATCCATGATCTTGGGCGCAACTTCGCGAAGGTCAGGGTCCTATAGTAGAGGGATAACGGTCAGTGATGCAAGTCCACGTTTTCTCCAGTAGCTATGAGTATCCGTACCATGACGTTCACAGTTTGAAGAACAACTTCCAGCCAGGCCAGCCGCTCGGAGATATTGGTAACCAAAGAGGTGGTAACGGCAACACCGACAGAGAGGGCGACAATGGGGGAAAGACTAGTCAGGTAGGTCGGATTGAGGCGTACGAAGAAGTTATCGAACAGGTCAGCCTGTTGGGAGGATTGAAGCCACTGCAAGCGAAATCGTCAGTGATTAAAACCTAGCAGGCAAAGGGTCGGTGGGGGAATTATTGACAAACCTTCACGGAGCCTTCCTCAAATCTACCTTCGTTCATCAACTGAACAATTTCAGCCAGCTCAACCTCCTCAGGGCTACGTGCAGGAAGAGTCTCCTGAGGGGCGTTGCCCAAAACATGCTGCTGCTGCTGCTGCTGCGACAGGGAATTGTGGTTGTTCTCTTCAGGCTGGCGAGAGGCCACAAGACGGTTCAGGCGGAGAACCTCATTCTGGAAGCCGGTCTGCGCAGCGGCCATTGAGGCCACGGTATCGGACAGTCCGCGCACGAGATTGGTGAGCTGGTCGATCTTGAGGGAGTCGTTGTGGCGCTGAATCTCATAGTGCTTCATCTGCACCTGCAGCTGGCGTTCGATGTCCGAACCAATCTTCTCGGTCGCGCGGAGAGCAAGGCTCTTGAACGCAGGAGTGACGGTGGCATGCAAAGCCTTGGACACCTCGTCTCCAACGTGAGTGACGAGTCTCTGGGTGAGACTGTCCGCGATGGCCTTGGCAACCTCAGGCTGTTGAACAGCACGGGAGACAGTCTCCGGCAGAATCTGCTGCAACTCATGAGAGACAACCTTGCCAAGCTGCTGCGAGGTGACTTCCTTCACCTGCTTGCCAACGCTGGCCACCACGGAATCGCTAATCGCGGGAAGAACTTCGGACTCGATGCTGGTGGACACTATCCGAGCCAAGTTCTTTTCAACGTTGTCAGAGAGCGTGCTGGACACCAGACGCAAGACTTGGTCCTGCTTGGCCGCGGAAGCGGCATCCCAAGCGCGACGTTCTTCATCGAAGCGCCGGTAGAGTCCTTCGAACTCGCGACCGAGGCTCTTGTTGAATTCGCTCGAGACACCCGCCTGGAGGTCCTCCAGATGCTTGTTCCAGGTGGCACCAGGAATAATGGACTGGGCAGAAGCGGAAGAAGGCTGGGCAGCTTCCATGACGGTGGCAGTGGGGAGAATGCCGTTTCCGTTGGTTTGTTCGGTAGGCATATCTGGCATCGCCTTGGGTGTCGTAGTAGAAGCAGCGCGAGGTTCAGAAGGAAGCTCAGTGGGAAGAGCTCCAACGATGGAGGTAAGTTCCTTGACCTTGCCAGCTGCTGATTCACTAGCGGCAGCAGTCCCCTTCTTCTTCTTTTTCTTCTCCGGCTTCTCAGCAGCTGGAGCGGGGGTGGTGGGGACATCTGCCTGCTCTTCAGCAAGTTTCTTCTTCACTGCGAGCTTAGTCGGCGACTGAGTGCGCGAAGGAGTCACGCCAGAGGGGGTCTCGAGCTCAGAAGGCTTCATGGTGAATTCCTTGGGAGTGGGGGTCACTTTCTGTGGAGTGGACGCGGAGTCGCCATTCACTGACGGCTCATCAGTGACATAGCTTGGGAACGTCTGTAGATCAGTGATCTCAATCAGCCCGTCCTCCAGCGCATTCACTGGGCGGATGATTTTATTGTCCGCACTCCAGCCAAGATCCTCCTTCTTGATATTCAAGCACGTGACACCGCGCGAGTGCATCACGTAGAGTTCAAACAAGCCAGTCTCATCCTCCACGGTCCGCTTCTCGCCGGGGGTCTTGTTGATAGGGAGGAGATCCAGACTTCTCAGCTGACCCTTGGACGCGAAAGAGATCTCACGAATGCCACTCATGCAAGCCGTGGACTCTGGCTTGGGCAGACTGCTATCCTTTTCGGCCGCGCGCTTGATGTACGAGGCCTGTGTCATGGGCTGCAGGTTGTATCTAGGCGCAGACAGATGCACAAAGTAGATCGTATTTCTCGTAGGGTGTCCCACCACGATGATTCCAGACGAAGGGTGATACGCCACGCTGCAGATGGCATCCGATTCATTCTCATGAGGAAACTTGAGCTCCTGCACAGCCTTGCCAAGCCCAATATCCCAGAGCTGCAAGGTGTGATTCTGCTTCAGCCCAACAAGGACATATCGGAGTGCCATGGACTTCACGTAAGGACGCAACTTGTCGATGAACAGGACGGAAGTGGGCCAAGACTTCTCCGCGGGAGACCCGGTAATGAAAGTGTTCAAGGGCACGCGGATTTCAGTAGGAGTCGTGAGAGGGTTCAAAAAGAAATCTGGCTTGGTGATGATCTCTCGAATGTCCCAGAAGCGCAACCTTCCAGTCTTATCGAGTGACGCGATGACAGTGTCGTCATCGCTAAAGGCGAAATCTTTGCCAGCCTTTCCAGTGGAGATCTTGAGGGCACGCTCTCGGAAGAATTTCTCCGTGGCGACAGTGCGCTGGGGTCCAGCGACTTCATACCCGGGGACTGTGGCAGCCTGGGGGGAGATGACATAAATATTCTTGCCCCGGCCGATGGCAAAGAACTCAGGGTGACGAGAGCTTCGTTTGGCCCGCGTTTTCAGCTGGCCTCCGGAAGTATTTTCGTCTGACGCGGGGAAGGGCGGGAACGTAAGGCTTTCGCTCTCCAAGGCATCCAACTCGAACAGATCCTGGTCGGCCCGCGAGATCATGGCCCAATAGACTGTGCCACTGACGCCGATGCCGAGTACAGCCTGCTCCTTGGACACACCCGCCACAGAGGGCGAGGTGCAAAGAGCCACGTTGAAGACCCGGTCTCGAGTGGCACGGAAGATCTGCTTATCGCTACCGTCATCTTGGCGGATAATTCTAATGCCACCATTCTTTGCAAGAGCGTAAACGATGTATTCGGAGGTGGCGGAGGTGAGAGAGCGGTCCAACTGATCAAAATCCTTCTTCAAACGAGCGATGTCCATGATACCGTCATCTCTGATGGAGATAATCTTGCCGACAGCCGGCTGAACTGCAATCGAGATGAAGGGCCGCAGAGGGAAGTTGAGGACAGGAACGACACGTTCCTCGTCCTTCTCAGCACTGTCTTCGGCGCTTTCCCAGCTGTCAGCCAACGCATCGCCGCTCTCGTTTTGGACATCCTTAACCGTGGCTTCACTGGCGACGGCAGTGGTAGCCTCTTGTAACACTTGCTTGACTTCTTCAGAAGCCGGTTCTTTCTTGATTTCCTCGGCAACATGTTCAATCGCGACGGCGGCGGCAGTCTCCTCCACTCTCGCCTCAGGTGAGGACTCCTGGCTTGAGGCTTTCTCCACAAAATCGCCCACTTCGCGGTCAGTGTCATCATCCACTGCTTCCTCGAAGATTTCGGAGACGAGCTCTTTCTGTTCTTCGAAGATCTGACTCTCCGATTCTTCATTCACGCCCTTATCTTCCGAGTCAGTGGTTTCAGGAGTTTTCACGGTTAGATGAGCTCTGGCATTGGCATCTGCCGCCAGCTCCACAGGGGAGATGGCGGTTTGAGGCTTGGATTGGGGGGTCTTTGTGCGCGGCGAGGCGGCCGCTAACTGCTCGAAAGGGTTCACGTAGGTGAAGAGAGACTCCTTGGGCGTGGCGGAGGGGGTGGTCTCTGCGACTTTCTCGGCTTCTGGCAAGTTAGTGGCAGAGAGCTGTGGCTCTGGAGAGGGTTTGGGCCGATTCAACAACCGCAGCAGAAACTCCTGGGTGTTGTCGGCGGTGGGAACTGCGGCAGCGGCCTCCGCGACGCCTACCGGTTCCGGCTGGCGAGGTTGGATGGCCGCTGGCAGACTGCCTGAAAAATCGACTGCAGCAGGAATCGCCAGGGCCTGTCCTCCCAGAAGAGAAGCAACTAAGTCCGAAGCCGAGATGCTCTTGGAACGGTGATTCGCCGCTTCTTCCAGACCAGTTTCCTGGGGTGGCGGTGGCATGGGCGAAGAGAAATCCGTCACAGGGACCTGCTGCCGGCTTGGAGCTGCAGCTTGACTGAACCGGAGCAGACTCAACAGGCTCGCGGCACGATCAGGATTGCTGGTCGCAGGTTGAAACGGATGAGGCGAAGGGACGTTCGGGCTTAGGATATCGGAGCCGTGGTGCGGAGGCGAACTGATCTGCGGCGAGGGACTCTGGGCGATCGAGGAGACCGACGGCTGATGATAGCCATGCTGCTGATGTTGTTGATGCTGGTGCCGCTGAGGGTGAGGGAAGCTCTGCCCATCATACGGCTGCGGCTGGTAGCCTGCCTGCTGGTGGTGGTACTGGGGGGGATACTGAGGCACAGGACTGTGACCATCGGGACCAGGGGTGCTGGAGGGCGACGGACGCGGTCTGATGCTCGCTAGGAGAGCCTGGAGATCGTTGGTGGTGGACATTTCTGTCACTCGTCGTCAGTTGAGAAAAACGACGTCCGTCCAGCGAGAAATCCAAGCTCGGTCCACAGCGCGCGGCGCACACACAAGAGACCAACTCTCTTTCGAGAGAACGAATCCTGTAGAGAAAGTAAAGAAAAACAAGGATTCCCGTGGTCAAATGAATTGAGCAAGACGCCGGGTTCAAAAGAACAAACAACGAAAGGAAAGAAGGAGAAGATGGGTTGTCTCAGAGAGAAGGTGTACAAGAGGAAAAAGCAAGCTGGTTTGGCGCGGAGGAGAATGCCTTTTCAGCCTGAGGCAACAAGGCAATAAGACGGTCAGGCAACAAGGCAGTTAGGCAGTCAGGCATACACTATTTCCCTCTATTATCTCCCGATGAGCTCAAGAGACGTTTCAGGTCACTCAACTTCAACCATTTACAGTCCTTTGCCTTCTCTGGGACACACATTGAATTACTTTGTTGAAAAGCAGTATTTTTCTCTTCCTGGTACCAGCAGTCTTCTTCTTATATCTTTACTCTCTTGCCTGTACTGTCCACAGGCAACCATTTGCCACAATTCCGGCTGTCGTCGATCATCAATCAAACTTCTACCTCAGACCACAAAGTATCTACAGAAAGGAATACTATAGCAATCTGCAATAATAAAAGTACAAAGTGCTTTATTCTTCTGAAGGAAATTGCCATTATCCTGCCAGAGTGTAGCAGCAGGCTTCTTGTCCCACCCCTCTTCTCCTCCCCATCACACCATGTTCTGTCTAAGAAGGTAGGTTTTATTATACTATTATACTACATAAAAAGATCTAGATTATAATCAGCTATTACCGCTCATTATTATCAACTGTACTGATAAGTTTCTCTAGTTGGCTCCCCCTCCTCTTTATCCCAACGAACGCCTCCCCCCTCTTCATCATCTCCTACGTCGCCCTAACCTACATTCTCCACCGACCCTGTATCTACTGTTCGGCCCTACTCCTGATCCTCTTCATATCTTCCTGCCACTGGTCTGATCGGTGTTTCTTCGATCTCCGTGGTGACTGGTTCTCCCCGCGGTATCCTGCGCCGGTCAACACCACCACCACCAACATCGAGATCGACAACTGCACTCAGAATAATCTCAATTTCACGTTTAATGAAAGTCTGGCTGGATATATCTTCGAGACGATGAACACGACGACCAAAGCACTGGCCGGTGCGGCGGTCGAGGAGGCCCAGCGCCGGCTCGCGGGCAGCACCAGCACCAACAATACCGGGCTGAGGCAAGAATGGGCAGGGATGGGACTCGAATGGCTGCGGAGTCTGCTGGGGAAGAGGGAATGGACGTTGCCATGTGTGGATGTCAAAGTAAGATTATAATTTGACTCAATGACACATATCTTCCTAGTTTTTCATGTATCATAAAAACTATGGAATGCATAGGGTACTACAGCTACCATTCACCAGATACCAAAAGTTACTGCCGGACCAAAACAGGCATTGAATCCAGAGGTGCAGCGATGGTCACCGTCTGCCCGCCTTCATACACTGTTTCCCCCGTGAAGAGCCTCCATTTTGCCCCCTCAGGCAGATAGACAGAGCGTTCCCGCTGGCCGGGCTGAAGCACGGGAGCGCACAGGTACTCGCTCCCATACAGATACTGGTCCTCGACCTCCCAGGCGAGTGGGTCCTGGGGAAACTCGAAGAAACAGGTGCGCATGACGGGAGTGCCGTGCTGGTGGGCCTCGCGCATGAGGGAGCGGGTATACTCGCGCAGAGTCTCGCGGATGTGCAGGTACTTCTCGCAGATGGCGTAGACGTCCTCGCCGTACGACCAGACCTCGTTGTCCGCGCCCGAGACGCAGGTGGCGCCGCCCGTGGTGCCTATGGGTTCCTTGTGCGGCTCGCGGTCGCCGTGCAGGCGCATGACGGGGCAGAAGGTGCCCCATTGGAACCAGCGGGTGAACAGCTCGCGGAAGGCCGAGTCGTCCGGGTTGCCACCGTGGAAGCCGCCAATGTCCGTCGTCCACCAGGGAATGCCTGAGAGGCCCATGTTCAATCCCGCGGCGATTTGGCAGCGAAAGGATGCCCAGGAGGACGCAATGTCGCCGCTCCAGACCAGCGCCCCGAACCGCTGCGACCCGGCCCATGCGCAGCGCAGCAGGTTGACGATGTTGCTCTGGCCTGCGGCTTGCTGGCCCTCGAAGAACGCCCGCGCGTACTCGACCGGGTACACGTTGCCCACCGCCACGTTCGAGCCCAGCCAGTACCGGTAGTTGTCAAAGTCATATGCGGCGTACTCCGGCTCGGCCTCGTCCAGCCAGAACACCTTGATCCCCTTGGAATAGTAGTTCTGCTGCACTTTCCCCCATAGGTAGGACCGGGCCTCCGGGTTCGTCGCGTCCCAGTGCACCGTGCTGCCCTGGAACTCCATCGCCGTCCGCACGCCCCGTTCCGTCCGGATGAGGTATCCCTTGGCCAGCATCTCCTCGTAGTTCTCCGACCGCTTGTCCACCTGCGGCCAGATCGATACCATCAGCTCGATTTTGAGCTTTTTGAGCTCTGCAATCATGGCATCTAGGAGTGTTAGAAAGAACATGAACGCAAAAAAAAAGAGGTGAAAGAAAGGAGGGCTATTTACCTGGATCCGGCCAGTAGGTGGGGTCGAACTTCCATTCGCCCTGGTAGGGCCAGTGGAAGAAATCGATCACGATGAGGTCGATGGGCAGCTCGCGGCGACGGTACTCGCGGGCGATGGAGAGTAGCTCCTCCTGCGTCTGGTAGCGCAGCTTGCACTGCCAGAACCCCAAGCCGTACTCGGGCATCATGGGAACTTTACCCGTGACATCGGCGTAGCGCTCGACGATTTCACGCGGGGAATCCCCCGCGACAACCCAGTAATCGAGCGCCTTGGTCGACTGGGCCTCGAAGCTCATGGTGTTCTTTCCAAACACGGCGCGCCCCACGGATGGGTTGTTCCAAAGAAACCCATAGCCACGCGAGGAGACGGCAAAGGGGACACTGGCCTGCGAGTTGCGGTGCGCCAGCTCGAGATCCAACCCCTTGAGGTCCAGGTATGGCTGCTGGTACTGGCCCATGCCGTAGATGCGTTCGCGAGGGTCGAGCGACTCAAACCGCCCGGTCAGCCGGTAGTCACCCCCGGGGATGGGGATGAACTCGCGCGCCTCGACCTCAAGGGCACTGCACTTGGGATCGAGCAGATCACGGCGGTTACGCGAGTACTCCTCGAGCAAAGGGGTACCCGCGGCATTGTAGACGATGATCTTGCCGCGTGAGGAGACAACAGCCTTGATCTTGCCGTTCGTGATGGAGGCGGATTCCTTGCCGACCTCAATGACTGGCGTATCGGACTCGGGTCTGGTGTGTAATGCCCAGTCTTCCGATGGCATCTGGTTCTGCTTCGTGCAGCGGACGCGGAGGGCGTGCGGGCCCCATGGTTCAATCCAGAGGACCTCCGCATCGTAGCGGTAGACGAGGCGGTTCTTTTCTTGGGAGAGCATAGTTTTTTGTGGTTACAGAGTACCTATTCGACAGGACTGTGTCCAGTCTCAGCAGTCAGCCACCATCATCATCATATAGGAAGGCTACCCACGGCCTGGCTAAGTACCAAGATATATCCAGATACACCCGGCGGGGTGAGGGGACCCGTCTCCGCGGTGGAGTTGAAAGGAACCATGGCGAGACGTATCTGTGCCTCTCACCAGCCATGTTGGCAAGCAGTGGGGAGCTGATTTGCTGGTTCCGGTGAAGAAAGGAGGAGAGCGTCGAGTTGGAGATGAAGCCGTTTAACCGGAGCAGTTATTTAGCCGGAATCAGCCAGGGATGAAAGTAACTGATTAATTCCCAAGTTGCCTATTGATCAGACGGTTTTATATCTTGTCTTTATTATCAGAAGTTTTGTTGATAGATTAGAGAATTGGTACGTAGTCCATAGCTGCTATACAGTATAGCTCCAGAGGAACTAGAGAATAATAGCTATGACTGTAATTAGAAGATACGAAATTCTGACTGAAGAATAACCAAGATATATTAAGAACACACAAGCCATGGTCAGGAACAGAGAATTCGGTCTACAACCCATACACCGACACACGTCACACAACATATGCCCATACCAGACTTACCTCTCTATATGGACCCTTCTCTAGATCTCTATCTATACTCATCGAATCTATCTTTTTAAGACAAGGATTCACCGTATTGAGATCTCCAGAATCGATTGCCGGAGCACGACAGGGTCCCGACGCAAGAACGCTCACGTAACGGTCCATATTGCATTCTTGCTGGGTAGCAACCCAGCTGAGAATATATACCAGGACTAGAGATTCCTTGTGTGAATGCTAGGATTGAACCTGGGGATATTGGTGTTGGTTGGTATCGGTGTTGTTGGTATTCAAACGGGGCATGGCTGCAGTCATGGAGGCGAAGAGGACAAGACCAAAGCGGATTTCTCTTGATTCTCTGCTCTTCTTCTTTTTGCTATGCTGCTATGCTGCTATAATGGTATATTGTTTTCTCCTTCCTGCAGAGCATCCGACATGGTACTATCCTTTGACCAAAACGGATACAGTCTTCCTACAAATAGCAGTCGAGATATCGCCCATTTGTAGAATGCAAATGCTGAAATTTATGTCAAGACTATACAGTCATCATTAAATACAAATGGTATCTGACAGGATGGGGAATAGACAGATATGTCAACAAGTGGTCCTATGCTCATGAAGATTATCAGACCATAATTACAAACATGAAAAAAAAAAAGCTCAAAAGGTATATCAAGGGGTGGAGGTGGAGAGAGGATGGAGGGTGCATCAAGAACCATGAGTGAAACATGAGCAGGTCGGAAGTCGGTATCACAACGTCAACGTTGGCCTTTCTTTGTGTCCTGTTGTCGTTACATCTGCGGAAAAGTAATTCCAGCAGAGAGGCCAGTCGTCAATATCTGCGGGCAGTCGTACAAGAAAAGCCAACCAGAGGAAAAAGCATGATCGTGGAGCAGAAAAAAATTGGTCGTCACTGGAATGGGGAGAAGCCGTCACACCAGAATAAACAAGGCTATTAATTGTACCCGCCGCCGCCCACGGGCATTGGCCAGTCGTCCTCGGTGATACTGCTCCAAAAGACCCAGACCATGACGACGGAGAGGAGAGTGAAGAGCGTCTCGAAAAAGGCGCCATTGATTTTGTGATTCGACGCCGTGCACAGGTGGACGCTAATCACATAGTTGAAGATCTGACCGATAGCGAAGAACAAGGCGGCCGCAGTAAGGTACACTATGTAGCAAATCAACGTTAGCGGTCATGTTACCAGAATACATATATATATGTATGTATTAGATACGCGACATACGCATAGGTCGGACTTCGCCCAGGACGCGAACCACCAGGATCGCTTCGAGTACGAAAAAGAAGACCAGGCAAGCGAGCGGGATGAGCTGGTACAACACGTAGAGCGCGTAGTTTCGGTAGTCAGTCGCGGCCGTGGTGTGGAAATACCCCGTCCAGTCGAAACCCGTATCCAGCGCGATGTAACCGGTGCCAATGAAGATGGCCAGCGCCGAGGCCACAATCAGCCCGATGGACGCGGGCGTCCCGTCGTCGAGCATTTGGAAGCCCACCACCGCGTTCAACAGAAGGATCCAACACGTCGCAGTAATCGCGGCAATATGGGCGGCAGAGAATCCCTGCAAAAAACCCCCCCAGTTAGAGAAGTGATATTTGTCAATTCATACGGTTCCAAGCTCACCTTTCGGGCTGCTGCCTCCAGCGGAAACCCGCCTACCGAGAAGATCTCACATATCTCGATGATGATGAAGCCGATAAGGAATAATTGGATTTCCCTGTCATACTGTCAATATGAATGTGTTTGCAAGGCGTAGGTATTTTCGAGGAAGGTATTTTACCGTCGTCCCACAGCCGCCTTCTTTCGTTCCGAGCGCCAGAGAAGAAACAGAGAAGTTAAAATAGCGATAAAAGCGAGGAGAATCGATCCTGTACCAATTGAAAAAGAAAAAAAAAGTCAGACAATCCTAGAAATTGCTTATTTCTTTCCTTTTTTCATACCGAGATTACTGAGATGCCTTCCACCACTCAGACCGATGCCCAGCAGGGCACATCCACCGTAGGCCTCGTTTGGGGGTTGATTGTTCGCGACGAACAGCTAACAAACAGTCAGGAATGGATTTCTGGGGGGGAATGGTATATTTGAATCAACGGACATTGCAGACTGGTAATGTCGAGTCCCGACAAAAGTCCTGCGACCGTTAGTCAGTCATTATTGTTATTCTTGCTCGTGCCAAAGACCCGTTTGTGATCCATCAGATCGCCGTGCACTCACATGGAATTTGCCAAACTGAGTCCCGCCCATAGTGAACGAAGACCTCCGCCAGACGGGAATAATCCGTACCCAACCTCTGGAAACAGGGTCGTTGACAGGAGGAAATATGCGATGCGTGCCTCGACCGCGGCACGATCGCTCGGTCGCAGGTCCAGAGAGGAGTAGGGATTAGGGGGCGGTGCCCAATTGACGGGGGTGGTGTGGGCGATGCGTTGGCGGCGGGATGTGAACGAAGGTCGAGCCGTGAACGAGAGACGGGCGAGTCGGAGCAAACGAGCAGAGATGAAGATGAAGAAGCAAAAGAGGGTCACTGGAAGCGAAAGATGGGGGTGGCTCTGCAGGATAGTAGGATGCTAGGCGGCCAAGCAACAAGGATCGGGAATTGAAGCGGCGGCCGGTAAGCTCAATACAGTATCAATAGATTATTAGATACTACCGAGTGAATCCTGACTGAGTGAAGGATCCTGTATGTAGTGCTCTGTACTCCATACTAGGTAGGTATAGAGAGTACAGACTACCTATTTTATTGGTTTTTTCTAGCTCCTGCAGACCAGCACAAGGTACGGAGTAATAAAACAGGTGGTTGGAGGTGAGACAGACCAGGAGTTTCTATAACCAACTAGTCCCTAGTAACTATCTAGTAGTCACTGTTAGTAGGATTTAGAGAATAGGTAATAATAATGTCTTCATACCTATATCCCTTGCTACTGACTCTAGAGTCTAAAAAGAGCTAACTATACCTGACAGTATATAAACTTGAGGTATATCCCAGTACCAGTTAACTATATAGTTACCAGTTAGTTCACTACTACAAATAAGTACCTAGTAAATTCCTATAAAAGATTCCTTTAGAAGATCATACACAAGGTGATGCTCTAAAACCTGGCTGAGATCCAACTAGTTATTATTAGTGAGTTTTGTTGTGGTGGCTGGTACTGTAAGGTACAATGAATAGCATCATTCCATACTGTGGCAGGGCAACAAGCCAATATTCGTATTCAGAACTTCCTAGCTGCCTAGGGGTTTCTAAAGCTATTATTCTGGATCTAAATACGGTATTTATTTATATCCTTGCTGAGATTATTGACCGCCACTTAGTATTTATGTAGTAAGATCTTATGACGTAGTTACTGCCTACTACTAGTTACTAGTTACTAGTTAACCACTCCATACCGAGTATCTAGGTAGGAGGTATTCCGTACTGGCTAGAATTCAATCTAGCACACATCCTCAATCTTCAACGGCTTGCCATCATGATCTCCCAGATCGACCTTGAGGGTGCGCCCAAACAGCTCCAGCAACATCTCGAAGCAGGCCTTGGTGATCGCCGGGTCGTAGCGGCCTTTACTCAGCTCGTCGCGGATGAATGCATCTAAAGCATTTGTATCAGTTATCAGCGACTATAAATCAATTTTCGGATTGTTGTATAACTTACGCTGCGCCCATGCCACCTCGTAGAAACTGAACAAGACCCCCTTGTCGTGTAATGTTTGGCGGATCAAGTCGCGACCGGCAGGAGGAACATGGGTATCATTCTTGCCGAAGATCTAAGGAAAGTCCCTGGTTAGCAGAGCCACATTTGAAGGTATGAAGGTAGTTTGAGATAGCAAGGTACCATTAATAGTTCGCCCTTGATATCTCCCGCCCTTGCCAGACTGTCATCGTTCTTCCCCGCCGCCAGCGTCCGAGAATGGATATCCGTTGCAAAGTAGCAGACAGACGCCTGGACACGGCTATCCAGCGCACAGCGATATGCCAGATGCCCGCCGAGACACATGCCCGTGGCGCCTATCCGGCCATTGCAGGTCGGGAGAGAGAGCAGGTAATCGACGCACAAACTGGCGTCCTCGTCGTAGGCAGCCAGTTTCTATATATCCTCTTAGCAACAACTGTAGCTTATGGACTATAGTTAACTTCTGAATTTGTCTACCTTTGTGATTTTCCACTCGTTCCCCCGGTCGGTATCTTGCGCATCGTATTTCAAGGCCTCCGGTCCAGTGAATTCATGGTAGCTCGAGGGCGCGGCACAGATGTATCCTTGTCCGGCGATCTGGCGAGCAAAACGGGCCACAGGACCGGTCACTGGTTTTCATCCTATTCAGACCCCGCGTTGTCACGTTGAATGGTATATACGTACCCTGGTAGATCTCGCTGAAGACCACCACGCCAGGGAACCGTGCCTTGGGATACCCGGGGATAATGGGGTGGAAAACATAGATCCCTGTCGGTCAGTGACGCATCCTGCCTGAATATAAGAATCCGCTGCTGGTTGCAGAGAGCGTACGCATTGTCCCCTCTCCGTCTGCCCTGGTGGGCACATCGTGGAAAGATTCCTGAATAAGCATATTGCTGTTTTTCCAACTAGACGAGCCAGAGCTGTCGTGATCTGTTGGTCGCTGGGATTCAAGGTCAATTGAGCTTTGTCTGGCCACGGAGCTATGGTGGGGTGCGGGGTTATGGGTAATATTTATCAGTCAATTGTAAGTAGCTATCAGACACTGACAAACAGCCCGAGGCAATATATGTATATAAGACCAGAAAATTAGAGCTGCTAATATACTATCTCAGTGAATAGCCTGACTCTAGTAACAGAGTCAAGGCAAGATTATTGTTATTTGCGTATCAGATCCATTACAAACATTAAATCTCCTTATATCTCAAGAAAACCCCCCCCGAAAGGTAGAAGAAGAAAAAAAAGAGTCCTTTACACGGGTGAAAAAAAAGCAGAGATTCATAGGCAGGAAGAAATGGAGAGATCCTTCGGATGAGAGCCCAGATGCGAGTTCAGAGGCATAACGAAGAATGAGACCGAGCAGTCTGGTCTAATAATATACATGGAAGGAAGGAATGTTTTGGAAAAAAGAGCAGTGGTCGTGGAAGCATGGGGATTGAAAAAGGCAGTGGTAGGAACAGCATTGACGAGCCATCAGGACATGACTATAGAAGGGGCGCATTATATGATTATTGAAAGAGGGTTGATCGGTTTGGAGAGACGAGTGGCAGTCTTGTACATGTGGCGATAAACCGTAAACCTTTAGAAGACGTACTAGAAAGACCGTTAGAAGGGAAAAAAAGAAAGAAAACGAAGAGCCAAAAAAGATCGGGGCTGTCGACGATTTACTTACAGGGATGAAAAGGTAAGGAACGCGTCTCTCATACTCGGCCCAAGCCTCGCCGTACTTGGTACGGCAGCGTTGGATATCGCGCATGGCACGGTGAGAGATCATGCACGCGAAGAAGAGCGGATAGAACCAGGGGAAAGGGCTGCTGAACCCGGTGATGAGACCCCAGTTCAAAGCGAAGTACAGATCACAGGTGTAGTGAATCTTGCGAGCCTTGCCGTCTATAGAGAAATTAGCATCAATCTTATGCTTCTGGAAAAGGAGATGCTTACACCACCCATCAACAAGGATCTTGGAGCCGTCCGCCGCGGTGATGGTCTTGGGGTTTTCAAGGGTCTGCCAGGGAAGCTGGGGGAAGGTCTTGCGGTACACCATCGTTCCACGCTCCTGTTGACGGTACCGGTTCTTCTGGCTATTGGTGGTGTCCCAGACCCAGTAGACAAACAGATAGGCAATGTACAGGCCAACCAGGAAATAGCGGTTCCAGCGGTACTCCGCAGGGTCGTGGTTAGCCAGGTAGATCGTGCAATGGCAGTAGCTCAGAGGTACACCAGCCAGATTCCAGAAGATTAGCATAAAACCCCATTTTTCATAGTACATATCCCTGCAGAAATGTCAGTTAATTGTCGAATCAAGTAATCTCAAAAAGAAAGGGAAAAAGAATCTATGTGCTCACCAGGTAGACACGATGCACTCCTCACCCTTGGAGCAAGCATTTGCGTAGAGGAAATGAGCCATGAGGATGAATCCAACCTCCCCGGAGATGTAGCCATAGTTTTCGTACTGGCGCGCCGCGGTGCCCATGGAGAGGAAAAGCAGAATGTACCAGGGCAGACGCACTTCGAAGAACATCTTGAAGTCGAGAAGACCGAACATGCGTGGGTTGAGCTCCGCACCCATGAAAAAGTCATATACGGGATATCCAGTCATCCGGTGTTGCGCGCCGCGAGCCAAGGCTGAAAAGTACGCGGCAAAGGAAACGAGGTAGCCAGAGATAATGGCGACGCTCAGAAGCGGGCCGAATTCGTCGATAATGGTGTAGAGCTTAAAGATGCCGGTGAAGTGAAGAATAAGCGCCAGCACAATACTGGTGTAGAACGACCAAACTGCCGAGCAGTAGTACGGCAGCTGCTTGCCCTTCAAGTGCGGCAGAGGCCGTCCCATCACCGTGATGCCGGGGAGAAGCAGATAGCAGGCACCCTCGAAGACGAAAAACACCCAGTAGATGGCCCACGCCTTGAGTGAAGGAAACGCGCCCTCATATACCAGGTGTGCCAGATGCGCGAAGAACTCAGATCTCGTCTGGCCCTCCGCCGGCGTCGGGAACTTGCCGTGGTAATAGGTGGCCCCAATCCACATGTAGTACATCAGCATCGGAAAGCCGACCATCATGGCCGAGACGCCCCAGGAGCCTCCGAATTCGAACTCGCCGCTGTAGTCGATCTTGGGGTCCATGCCCTCCGCCCAACCATCCACGACCCGCGCCTTTTCTTTCGCAGCCACATGGGCACTACCGTTGACGCTGCCGTTGGTGCTGTCTTTGGCGCTGCCATTGGCACTGCCATTGGCGTGGCCATTCGCGCGGCCATTCACAACCGAGGGCTTCGACGGTGTCTCATCACTGTTTTCTTCCTCCTCCTCCCCTTCCTCTACCTTTGTTCTCTTTTGCGTGCGTCTAGTCGTCTTGGATCGGCCACGGAGCTCCGCCGCAGAATCGGAGACATCGTCTGCGCTGGTTTCGGAGGGCAGCACAGAACTGCTTCGAAGAACTCGTCGACCGGGGGTTTCGACAAAGCCAGGACGCTCCAGTTTTCTAGCCAGGCACAGTCAGTTTACGAGCGGTCAATGGCAGCGGAGTCAATGGCAGCCGCGCGTCTCTGTGGCCAGCAAACAGAAAAGGGGAAAGTTTAGGTTTGGAAGCCCCAGAGAAAACAAACAGGGCTCGTTTTGACGAAGAAACCACTTACTTGGGCGTCTTGCCCGTCTGAGAACGTGTAACCGTCATAATTGACAAGCCGTTCAAGGAGCGTAGCCTCGGTTGAGGGTTTGGGGCGCGTCGAGAGGGAGAAAATCGCAAGGAGAAGAATGTGAATTTAGTGGTGGAGCTGGACAAAACAAATAATTTCCCCGGACACTCGCCAGTTGGTGCAGAGGATTCAAGGATGATTATTTGCCAACGTCGCCTATCTTTAATTAGATAATTTAAAGTTATCAGCTGTCTTTAACTACTGCTAAATAGTAAGTAGTCTGCTCTATAATCATTGTATTCTAAGGCAGTCACTGGCACTGCTGTTTACCAGTGCTGTTATATTCAAGAACGGAGTATTGCATTGAATTATTTATAGATAAATCACATTTCAACTGTTGGATCCAGTATTGTGCTTGTAGTATGCTTTCCAATATACATCACAGCACCTGGTACATCTTCTGGAAGAAAGAGATAGAACAATTCAAGTGGAAAGCTGGATATTGGCCCTAAATAAGGCGATGACGGGAGCGGCACATGGACCTTATCTCTATGCTCCTCTTTGGATGTTAGTGGACATGAGTGTAATCTTCTTGTTTTTCTTCTTCTTCCCACCAGCGCTGGGGGTGGAGGCACCATTTTGGTCAGCAACCGACTGGGCGATGATCTCGCTTTCCCTATGAGCCTGGAGCTCTTCTTCCCAGCCACGGAGCCAGCCGTCATTCATGGACGTCGTGGGACCACGGGCGTGAGAGGTTGAGGCCACAACCGTAGTGCCCCAGACGGTGCGAGCTCCCGGCGGGCTAGTGGAGGGAGAAGACAGAACTGCGAAACCAGAGGATGCCTGGGGAGGAGATGCAGAAGAAGATCCCAGTTCGAAATCCGGGCCGTCTGTGGCGACGGTGTTGGCTAGTGGTTGGAAATCGCGGTCTGAAAAGGGAGGGTCAAGATCGGTGGCACCGATGCTGAGTCTTTTCCGCCGAGCTCCTGCCCACCGTTTCTCGTCCTCTTCCTTTTCAGCGCGAATCCGATCCTTTTCCTCGCGGGCCTCTTTATCTCTATTTCGTTTTCTCCGTCGGTCAATCTCGGCCCGGAAACTCTCTAGAACCTCTGGGACTACGACGTCACGCCAGTCGCATTCGAGGAAATTGACCTCGCAACCTTGAGGCAGGTGACCAAGATACTTGGCTCGTTTTCGAAGCTCGTCGTCCACTATATGCCCGGTCGATATATGCTCGACTCGTGGAAGGATGGTGGCTGGGAAGAGATGATAGTCGCCGAAGGCAGCCTTGAGAATCCTGATGTCGAGAGGTGACAGGTAAAACTGGGGGAGAGCCTGATAAAAGTAGTACGGCTGGTCGGTAGTAGTATTCGAAGCATGCGTCTCTTTTCCCTTCCCAAAGAAACGAGATGTACCGTGCTCTCTCTGCCTCTCTTTCCCATGTGACTGTGAAGCAACTTGTAATTTGGCCATACCATTTGTCAATTGATCGGGCTTATCCGGTGCGTTGGATTTAGGATCCGAGCCAACACTTTGCTCGGCAGCTCCGGCATAGGGAAAAGATTCTGCGGGAGAACTTTGTCCAGGTTCCTGGGCATGCTGTGAAATGTGTGTTGGTGCAATGTCATTAGGCACTGACTTGAGTGCACCGGGCTCTCGCCCGGTTTGCTCCCCGACAGACTGGCGGGTTATCTCTGGAGGGTTTCCGATTCCTCGAATCTTCTCTTTGGCGTCACTGATGGTGACAATGGCTTTCCGGATCCATTGGTTATCGTCCCCAAAAAGAAGCTCATCTTCCAACTCCTGTCGTCGGAGATCCTCAATCTCTTCATCATGCTGTGATACCATGTAGTCTTCGCCACCCTTCATGATACGTGCGTAGTCTGCGACCTCTGCCGCATGGTACCAGGGCACATCGTCTTCGGGCCTCAGGCTTTCCGCGCCGTCGCGTGGAAGGGCAAGAGTGCTCCCGGCCTCTCGCTTCATTAATCTCAAAACAACATCTCCACCCTCGACAGGCAAATCCCCCTCCTGGCCACGGAACCATCGCACTGGGCGCGTTTCCGAGCTAAATATGGTATCCCAGCAGATTGGACATTTCTTCCAGCGAGCCTTCTTCTCCGGCACAGGGTTATCTTCGTCTGTCGAATGCATGTAGCGGATCAAACAAGGCAGACAAAAGATATGCCCACATCTCGCCATCCGTGGGGCTACCGGAATCGATAGACAGATCGGACAGCTGGCTGCCTGCGTCTGAGCGGAGGCAAAAACCTGCATCACCGAGTCCCAGTCCAGATGCACGTCCGCGTTTGCAGCTTGTGCGTGGTAGCCCCGGGTTGGATCCACAATGAACCTGTAGTTCGCATGAACATACCGCGCCTTGTCCATCGCATGGTACCCGGAGCCCAGCCCCCACGACTGGAACCGACGACTATTGCGCAGGGGCGGAGGATGGTGCTGCGGGCGAGGGGGGAGAGAAAAGTTCATCAAATGAGTAATGGACGTCTGTCCTTTCCGACTATTATTCGACCTCATGGCGGCCTGCACCAATAGTCAGCGCTCTGAAGCCCAAGAAACATACAACACCCCAAAAGGCGAGACGGTGCACCTACAGTCTCGTTGTACTCTTCATCATCCAGCAGCCGAGGACGCCGCTGTCGCTTGTGCTGGCCCTTCCGGACCTGGCTACTTCTGGCAGCCGCCGCGTTCCTCGCCGCGAACCCTGCCCCAAAGCTCCCAGAACCACCTGGGCGTCTCTGATAACCTCCCTCACCGGCAGACGCGTTTGTGTAAGACGAAGCCAACGCCCCTGGCGCAGGATTCAAAGATTTCGCCGCTTTCGAAGAGGATTGGCCTGGTCCTGGATTGGACGACATCGCTCGGGCTCCCCTCCTCGACCAGGCCACAGCTTGCCACACAGCAGACCACGGAACGGTCTTGCAAGATATTCGAATCGACGATAGCCGGGCCCTGACGGACAGCTGCCCCGCGGCACAGAGAACTGCAGAGCTCCAGAACCACAGAAAGCGAAAACAAAGATCGCCAGCAGGGCCCCGAATGGCGGGGGCGATGGCAGGTGGAAGAAGGCGGGTGGTCTGCCGTTGGGGCCTGAGGCACCCGGGCGGGTCCATGTCACTGCCTCAGGCACGTGAAGGTCCCAAAAAAACAGCCCGTCCAGCTCGTTCCCGGCAGACGTCGAATCCTCTGCGTGCCCGGGGCTTGTCTGCTGCTGCACGTCTCCGGTTAGAGCATCTCTGAACACGTTGGACCTGTTGATACGCTGCAAAGGCCTGTTGGATTGCTTGAGAGAAAGGTAAGACCCTGGTTTCGAAGGGGAAGGCGAGAAAATTGCTGAGCTGACAATCGATCCCTTTTAGCCCGCGCAGAGCCGCCACGCACAAAAGAGAGAGAGAGAGAGAGAGAGAGAGAGAGACGTCGACACTGCACCACCACCGCTGCGCCCGTTTGCCTGCTCAGTCTGACCGAGAGGTCGGAATGGCCGAATAGACGGGTGAACTGTTCACTTGCCGCCTATATATTCATTCGCATGGCTCCCTTTGAGGCACGGCGACGCCAATCAACCTGGACATGATGAACCATCATCTGCCCGCTATGCCCCATGGGCAGCAGCCCATGCCGCCGCAGCGACGGCAGCACGAGATGCCCTACGCAGCAGGGCCCCCGAATATGCGACCTCCGCCGGCTTATATGCCTTACAGCCCCCACATGAACGGACACCCGCCCCCGACCTATTCGCCGCAGCAATATGGGCACTGGTATCCGGTCTATACCCAGATGCAGCTGCCACCGCGCCCGTATCAGCAGTCTCCCTATGCACCTTTGATTGTTTCCTCGTATCCTCCTTCGCAGCCTGTTATTCCCGCCGCTCATGTTCCGCCACCGTCGATGCTGCAACCGCGCACCGCCACTCCCCATCAGCTCCCGATGTCTCCGGCGGCCAGTGCGGTTCCCAGTCAGTTAGAGATGCAAACACCGTCTCCCGCGGCAGCCCCAGTTAATGACTCTGTGAACTCCCCGGTATTATCCCCGTCATTCTCGACCAACGTGAAGCTGGCGCCGACAGCACCGGAGCCCTTCCGTGCACCTGTGAGTCATCTTGTGTGGATATGCCCAATATTTCTATACTGACAGTTAGTACAGGTTCCTTGGTTGTCTGTTCCTGAATGTCCATTTCCTGCAAGAGTCCCGCGCAGACGGCGTAGAGGTCGTATCAATCCTGCCTCCGCTTTCTCGGTCGAGCTTCCTGCGAAAGATACCCCCCTTCCCTCTGACCAGACCGAACTCATAGACGCTGTGAAAACTTCGGAATCTCTCGTCCCACAAGCCCCATCCGAGCCACAGACTCCCACCACCTCTGCTGTCCCTTCAGAGGCAGACTCGACACACCCGACCACGCCATCTTCGACGGCTCCCCAGTCGTCAGTGCGGACCCAGTCGAAAGGTTCCAAACCTGCGGTACCTCTCGTTCCCATTGTCCCGATTATTCCGCAGATTGCGGATATTCCTCGTCAGCCGGCGAAGGATGGCGCGGATTCTACGAAGACAGAAGAAAATCATTTATCGACCTCTGCGGCCGATGCTTTCGCAGATTCGACGAAACCGGCTTCTTCAGCTCCTGCCGTCTCTGCCGTCTCCAAGTCCTGGGCGGATCTGGTCCGTTCCAAGGCCGCCTCGCGCGCCGCAGCCGCCTCAGGAACCGAGTCTACTGAGTCTAGAGGCCTTGCAGTTCCCAAAAGCGAAACTCTTGCAGATGTTCTCATGACCATGGGGGACGATGTCTCGCAATACGCTGAAAAAGTGGCCTTTTTAGAACCTCGAGGGCTTGTAAATACTGGAAACATGTGCTACATGAATTCTGTGAGTCTCCTTCCTCGTATCACTGCGTTCGTCCACAGACATTTTCCTGATTTTTGTCTTTTCCATGCTGTTAGGTCCTACAAATCCTTGTGTCTTGCGTGCCATTTCATCAGTTTCTGGACTATATCGGTCGTCGGGCTGCCCACAGCTTCCAAAGCGATCTCCCCTTGATTGACGCCATGTGAGTGAACCTCTTTCTTTCAGTCTCGTCGGGTGTCTCTGATTGTTGGACAGGATCATGTTCGTACGAGAATTCCGTGTCATTGACGCGGCGCGCTCCGAGGAACAATTAAAATTACGGCTGAAGCCAAATGAATTAGAGGAATACGGTGACGCATTTACGCCAGAATTTGTATATGAAGTCATCAGACAGTTACCACGATTCCGTGATATGAGGGTAGGGCTTCATCCCATCTTTTTTTCAAGAAGATTTCTTACATGCTAACACCTTTCAGCGCGGCCACCAGCAGGATGCTCAGGAGTTCCTTGGATTCCTTTTGGAAGAGATGCACGAAGAATGCGTCCGTGCTTCTAAGCATACATCTGTAACCAGGCCAGACGATTCCATCGACGCTACTAACCAATCTGGTGATGGGTGGCTGGAGGTTGGTCACAAACAGAAAGCTGCCATTACTAGATCCTCCGGACATATTGCTTTGGAATCCCCCATCACACGTATCTTTGGTGGGAAAATTCGGTCGGAATTCAAAGTGCCAGGCAACAAGAACTCTGTGACGCTGGAACCTTACCAGTCGCTCCAACTCGACATCGGGTCACCAGACGTGCATAACATCATCGACGCTTTGAAGGGTCTTACCAAATCTGAGAGCATCCAGGGCGATTTCAACTCATCTCGTGGCCCTAATGTCACGGCCACCAAGCAGATTTTCATTGAAAGCTTGCCGCCTGTGCTGATCCTCCATCTGAAGCGGTTCCAGTATGATAGCGTGACGAGAGGCACACAGAAGATCTGGAAGAAGATTGGGTATCCTCTTGATCTGGAGATCCCGCGCGAGGTGCTCCCGCCTCACCGGCGGAATTTGATGACTCCCCAGGGTGGACTGCCCAAGTATCGTCTGGTCGGAGTCATCTACCACCACGGCAAGAATGCTAGCGTTGGACACTATACCGTGGATGTTCGACGCCAGGACGGACGTGAATGGATTCGTATGGATGATACGATGATCAGGCGCATCCGCAGCGAGGAAGTCGCTGAGGCTGGCGGTGAGGAGGACCCCAAGGTCCTCGCCGCGGCTCTGGAGCAACATAAACGCGACAAGGAGCCATACAGCAACATCTTCGATCACATCGATCAGAACGATCTCGAGGACTCGGACGGTGACCGGGGCTGGAGCCAAGTCAATGGATCGGGCACAGCAGGGCACTCCAGCAAGAAGTCCGTTTCGACCGGTGTCAACGGTGTCTCAACGTCTACCGTCTCCGGGTCGTCTTCGGGCGTCAGAACGCCCATCGGCAGATACGGCACGCGCGACAACAAGGTTGCCTATCTGTTGTTCTACCAGCGGATTGCCTAAGCGACTCTTCTAAGCGCCAACCTTTTCCCTCATCAATTGACGCATAGCTTTATTTGGCATGGGTACCATTCCAGGTCTAGACTCTCATCTATGTGTGTTTAGGGTTTGATCTTGTTGTGTTCCCCCCCCCTTATCTATGTCTTTTTCTCTCTGCCGCATTATGAGTCAATCTTGTCTTTCTTAGTCCTGGTCATTTACAGCATATTGTTGACTAACTAGCCAGGCCTTGCTGGGTTTTATCTCCCTTTCCCCCTTTCTTATTTTCCGGCCTCGCTTCTAATGGGCTGTACATATAATCAACGGATATGCAGGTTGCGCGGATGTCATGTCTTGGTCTTTGTGTTTTATGACTCTTTTATCTCCCATGCATATCAAGACTTTACAGTCAGGAGAATGCATTTCGAGAAGCGACATAGTGTCGACGAGAGGGAGAGAGAAATGTTCTCCAAGGACCTCCACTCTGAAGAGGTGCAGGCTCTTGGACCGCTGTCCATCTTGAATGTGGTCGTCTGTGATGATCGAAAGCGGTCACGTCAAGCATTTTAATCCCCATTATGATGATCTTGCCATTTGGTTTATTCTTTATTCACACACCTCTTTTATCTTTCCTGGGCCTTATCTGCACCCCGTGGCTCTGGTATATACCCTTTCTTATTTCCTCTCGCATAGCATTGCCTGATGATTTATTTTTGAGACACCAGTAGGTGTCTTGACCTTATTTTTTTGCTTTAATTTCTTCTTTTTCTTTCTTCATTTGATCTTTCTGAAGGGTGGCGTGGACCAGATTTAACGACCTGCATGACTTTCTTTTTCCCTTATAGACATTTTGTCGGTTCAGAAGGCGGAATCTTGAAACGGAAAAAAGAAGACAAAAAGGAGACATGGACAAAATTGGCGAGGATTAAGCAACAGATAGCGGAGAAAGAAAATAGAGAGAGGGAGGGAAAGCAGGAGAATTTGATGGTGGATTAATTTGCTGCATATGGGTTAAGCTGGATTGATCCATTGCGAGACCGGCTAGGTCTCACTTCGGTTTTGATCATCTTACCTTTTCTTTCTTTTCTTTTATGTTGTATCACTCTTTTTAATCGATGAGGAAGGGCTAGGGCGGAGGACAGTGTGATATTCTCATGTCATCGGAAAATAAGGGAATGGATGGAGTTACGAGAAGAGAGAGGCTGTCTTCTTCCTGTTGCAAGGCAGGATGAAGATCAAGGAAGAGGAAAAGCGTGTTCAAGAAAAATAAAATGAAGACTTTGTCAAATCTAGGGTTTCAATCAAAAACCTCTTATTCCTGATGAATCTTTATAGTAGTTAAATAGTCTTGTAGCCTCTCAGAAAGATCGTTCTATTTCGTTTCGAGCGCATATACAGTCCAAAATCACCCGAAATCCATGTCTTGTCGCTGAGATAGAGCATCAACATGAAAAGTTTTAGTATGTATCTCTAGTATCTGCATGAAGCCGCAAAAGGGGGACGACAATCATTTCCTTGAGCTACGGGCGTTCATCAGCAAAGACAACGCCTTGCTCGGTCCCATGTGTAATGAGGCGGACAGGTCTCTCCGGCTCTTCGGGGTCGTTGGGTCCCGGCTGCCCATTGCCGCGGAAGATAGTCGCCTCTGGAGCACTGCTGGCTGTCTGGGCGCCGCGCTTGCGGCCTCGACTGGTGCTCTGATCCACTTCCGGGGTTGCGGTGCTGCGCGTGTGTTGGATATGGGCGATTCGGACGGCGTTATGTTCAATGGTTGAGGGGGTGCTCAGTGCCTGGGAGATGGTACGGGGGAGGTGATAGCCTACTTTGCCCAGGGGGACAGAAAGGCCGTGCACAATCTGGTTAGGTGTTAGATGCATCACAGGGGGTTACCATGATTTAAATCGGGGCGATTAGTAGTATAGAGTCTTACAATACTGCAAATGACCAGGAACCACACAACGATATTGACCGCGTCCGAGACCCTTTGGGCGTCCTCGCGGACCTGGCCGTCCACAGTGATTGATTGCAGAAAATCTCGACAAACGGAGAGGTAGAAGATGGCGCCTACCCCGATAGGCCCGAAAAATCCCACAAAGGCAGCATGTGACAGATGCTCGATCTGATGGATATATTTATGCATGGCAAACACAATGGGCATCCGGCGGACAAGGAGGATCAGAACCCCCAGGAAGACGAGTCGGTATATCGGGATGATATCGTTTTGTGCAAACGAAGACCAGGGACATACTGCGCCAAACCACATAAAGATGGAAAGATTCAGAAGCATATCTATCGTGGGCTGTAGCGAATCATCCATGGTTTCAATGCGGAACCAGTCGCTTGGTCAATGTCAGCGGAAGGAAAGGTTTATAGATGGTCATAGGTATGTATCATACTCTTGAGTGAAGACATTGCCTGCGATGAAGCAGCTCAGAAGATCATCAGTTCCTATCAATCCACAGGTTCCGATAATGAAGAGCTGAAACCACTTGCGTCAGTATGGTACTTGGAAGTATTAGATTCAGGGATAGTGCGTACTGCAAGTGCAATGGCAAAGACCAGAAAGCTCTCGCGGTCTACATAGCGCTTCTCTTCGGCCCAGTGCAGGAGCTTCCGAGAAAGCCAGCCGACGACAACACCATATGCGACGCTCAGCAGGATGGTATAGCACCAAGTCTCGGAGAACCAGAGCCCGAATGCCTTTGCGGCACCGCCACTGGTTCCTGCCCCGCCCATCCCGACATACTTCATCAAGTACAATCCGAAGTAGAGGAACGGGTACCCAAGTCCGTCGTTGGCCCCGGATTCTGCAATGATGATCCTCTGTAATGGGCGCGGGACATGTTTATCGGCGAACCTCCCTTTCACGATGGAGTTGGACAACACTGGGTCGGTCGGAGTGATACAGGCGGCGATAATCAGCGCATGGAGGAACTGGAGGTTCGGGATCATCGCCCAGATGACAAGACTGCTGCAGATCCACATGGCAGCCATACCGGGCCCTAGCAGCAAGGACAGACTTTTCCATTCGATCTGCAGATAGCGTTTGGGCAGTTGCACCCCGGCGAGGACCAACTGAACCCCCAGTACCAGCCTAGCAAAGTACAGAGTGATAGTCTCGAGGTTTTGTTGCGACCCCTGAGCGTAGTCGAGAGGTCTGATGAAATTGGCTGCATGGGGAGAGAAGGCGATGCCAGCCAGCATTGAGATTACTGTGATTTGAATTAGCCATATGGCCTCCGTTTCCGACAGGGACTTATACGGACATGCTTCGGACAAATAAAAGGTCTCCTTGCATAGATAGGAGACTAGACCAAAGAGAGAGATGAATCCCCCCAGCGTCGCACAGACAATGTTAAAGTTGATTAAGGATAGAGTCGGCATTTTGTCCCCTCTTTGCTTTGTGGGCCTGGCTCTTTCTTGGGTAGGACGGCAGCTGTCACTGACTTATGGAGGAAATGCCTCTATACTGGATTTTTGATTATTATCTAGCTGTCTTCGTTTTTTCTTCTGAATATGAAGAGGTAATTACCTGGTTCCTGGTTGATCGACCCGATTTTCCACTTGTGAGATATGAGGAGCCTTTCAATCCGGCGCTGCATCCACGATTTAATTCACTGTATTCCACTGCTTGAGAATATCAATTCTCATGGAAAAGAAAAGCCAGTGTTATTCGATCATAATATTGATTTTGCGAGAAACAATTGTGCTGCTCATGGGAGAAGGAGTCAATACTTCAAGCGACTTTAGACAAGACGCTTGGCTCAGTCCAGAACGCTTCAATAAAGTTCCGATCTAAGGTCCGAGAGATCTATCGCAGACGACAGGCAAGAATAGCGACTGTGTAAAATCGCTGAGCAAGAAGTCGGTAAGAAAAGACGCAGGGTATAATGACCATGAGAGAGATCGAGTCGAAGTCGGAAGTGGGCATCGGATGCATCCGCCCCTCACGGGCTAGTAACTAACCGGGGGTTTTATGGGACTCAGCCTTGCAAGAAAACGCGGCGACGTTGAAAGGAATAGTTCCAACTCATACGTATCAAGATTTTTTCTGCTGGAGGGGTTTCTATCGCTATTCTAGAAGATTGCGTTGAGCAGTTAAAAATTAAGCACTAACTAGCTACTGGGGAAGGGCATCATAACCTTGCGGAGCGAGGGAGGCAAGAGGAAAATAAATTCCGCGGTAGGATATCCAGCTGAATTGAGTAAATGAGAGACGGAAATACACCCATGGCTAAATGTCCTCCTCGTCATCGAACGCCTCGTCAGGGACATCCTCGATGGCTTCCAAAGCTTCTCTTTTCTCCGAAACCCCTATCCGGGCTCCATTTACAGCTAAGCGGTCGGCCGCCTCGTTCCCTGGGTCCTTGGCATGGCCTTTGATCCATTGAAACAGGGTCTTGACCTTGAGCTCGTTGCGTTCTTCGATCTTGACAAGAATCGACTCGACCAGATCCTTGTTCTCAACCGGCTTGTTGTCCGCGGTCATCCAGTGGTTGCGGCGCCATTTGATATACCAGACGGTGACGCAATCAATAGCATATCGGCTGTCCGTAAAGATGGTGACATCTCGATGGCGAGGAGCAATGTCGATAGCGCGAAGAATGGCCGTGAGTTCGGCCCGCTGGTTCGTTTGACGGCTTCCCTTGAGCGGTTCTGAGACGTTTCTGCTGGCAGAAGTTTCATCAGCCAAAAAAAAAAAAATTCGCCGGTCTAAAAGATATGCACTGAGGCAAAAAAGAAGAGAAAGAAGTCACTCACCTTTCGTCACCAGGGCCAAAGTAAACGCCTACACCCGCCGAAGCAAGCTTCGAACCATTCCTCAAGGAACTGCCATCGGTGTAGATTCGGAGCATGCCCGGCGGACCAGTAACCTTGGTCTTGGTTGCTATCTTCTGCGCCGCCGTCTTGTACACCACCTTCCCAGTTGCCGGATCAAGAATTACATTCGGATCGAACTGGTCCTCCGCTCCGGGTGGCAGGAGACCCTCGCCTGGCTCTAGCGTAGCTCCGGCCTCATCCTTGGGGGGTTCATTCATCAGCCCCGGTGGTACGAATGGCGCTGATGAAAAAGCCGCGGTTCCCTGGCCAGCACGCACGAACTCTTCTGCCTCTTGCCTCGTTGAAAACTTCTTATATCGAGGCCTTGTAAAACCCTTGATCTGATCTTGAGCCTTTGCCCAATCCGTATATACACCTGGCACCCGCCCTCGCTGGATCCCATAATACCTAGTGTGTTCGTTCTCTTGTACATTTTTTTTATTGCCAGAGGGGAGTTGGACGCCGGACAAGAACGCGTTGGCTTCTTCTAGAGTCGGAAACGCTTGGACTAAATGGAAAGAAAAAACAGACTGTTAGCCAGGCGGTTCGTGCCTTCCGAGAACTGGAGAATATCAAAAAAGAATGCCTACAGACGGCACCCTTGTACCCCGTGACCTGCGCTAGACATTCATTCCACTCATAGTATACCCCGGGTTCGAAACCAGCTTTGACTGCATAGTACTTCCCCGCAGAGCTTCGTTTGCGTTTCGTCCCCGCTGCTGAGGCCGGGGACGATCGGTGTGGTGAAGGGGTGGTCGCGTTCATCGGCGAGGATACTGTAGCTGTGACGGAAGGATCGAAAAGGAGTGGAGAAAGTTCGAGTTGTAGGTCTTGTATTGCCCTCCAAAAATTGATTCCAGAACGAAATCCTCTCGCTGGTGAGGTGAAGATTCCAGGGGTCGAGGAGTATCTAGGGATCAACGGGCAGCTCGAGAGGGTACAAAAGCGTCCCGGTCTGGGAGCCAAACGCCTAATAGCGTTGCAAATAGCTTCTGAAGCGTGATGAAGAATTTTGGCAGCTTTGGCGGACGCTCTGTATCAAATGGGATAGGTAGTAAATAGCTCATAGGAATCCACACGGGATTCGTTAAGAGTTGGATGGAGG